GGAGACTTTAAACAAAAATCCTCAAATTTCAACCTCTTTTTCTGATAGTCATCATAGAAGAAAAGATCCGAAATGGCCGATTAAAGAAGACCAAAAATATGATCTAATGGCAGCTTGTTTAAATTTGAGAAATCAGCTCAAGAGATTGAGCTTCCAACGATAAACTTCATGACTGTAAGACACTTCATTTCTTTAGAGGTCCATGTCTCATATGTGCTGACATCTCAATCAGGAGCTCCAACTCAAGAGATTTTGATTTTGCTTTTCAAATGCCCAAATTAATGCCAGCAATGACCACCAAGACTTGAGACAATTTTTATAACTAGAAATCCCATCATAGGAGAGCTCCATCACCGCTAATCTTAACTATGGATCTTGTTTTCTCCTCCATGGTTTTAGAAACTTTGCTTTTCTATATCACAAGATTCTAAGTGTGACTTGAGAGACGATCTTCCTTTTCACCGGTTTTTTAATCTCCTCAATAGCATAACCAATTTTTTGCAGTGCCAGAAGCTTGAACTTTCCACCGATTGCTGCACGTGAGTCTAAACAGAATTTTCTCCAAGATCAAAATTTATTAATCCTCTTCTTTTCAATGTAAGTTTGTAGACAGCCTTCTGATCTCATAATCATATCAGATCACTTCATGAATTCTTCTTCTTTCAAGACCTTGAAGCTTTGATTAAATTCTGAGATGACCTCGTTTTCCTCACAGAGAAGATTCTTACACATCATCTTTATAATGAGACCATCATTCACTGAAACACATGATGTTGACAATGTCCGGATGTTGACCGTTGACATCGTACACCACTACTTCACTATGTAGCTCTAATAGACTTCAATTGTTCAAAGCAGAACATGATAGAAGCATGAAGAAATACTAACATCATCTTTATCTCGCGGATCTGCTCCATCATGTCTACCATGCCTGTATCTTTCTCTTGGCCAAGATCAAAACCTCACACCATAAATATTCGTCTCTCTTTACCCTCAGAGACGCAGAACCAAGACGCACTCCAGATTCCGATCAGCAACTATGAGCAACCGACGACGATTTCTTTGCCAACAATCCTCTCTGGGAACCAACGGAGCTGACAACCTTATATCTTCTTTCACTTAGATCTTTCACAAGACTAGAAGAGAAATCGAACTCTCTTTTTATTCCAATCTGTTACAAATCCAACTCAATTAGAAAGACTAGATTCACTGTGTTTCACGTTCTTCCCCACGAACATGCGTGGCATCAAACTAGAGCCAGCTGATTCAATCCCATGTTCTTCCGAAACACAAAACACGAATCATAACCCACAACAATTTGATCAATTTGACACCGGAGATACAGCTTCTATACCTTATACACTGTCCTCTCTCTTCAACGGGCAGTTAACTCCTTAGCTCTTCTGTCTTACTCGAAAGCTTGAAAACCTCTCTTAAACAGAAGACTCGATATACTCGCTAAGATAGTGGGCTTTTTATGGGCCTTATTTGGTTATATTTGGAACTGGGCCGAGATTCTCCAACAAACCTCAACTCAAAAAATTTCCTCTCCTCGTCAATGCTTTCGCAACACGATTCCGATCAACAACCACTCCTCTAAATCTCTGCAATTTTCGGCGGTTACTTTGTCACCAAACTTGGACTCTTGAATCCATCATACCTAAGAACCTGAGATAATCCCAAATCATAAACGCTTGAAGCTTGCTGTAACGTTCCCAAATTGATTCTCTTCTTAAACGTTCATGAACATGTTTCTTCTTTCTCTCTGCTAGCCACACATCCAGGACCATACCCGAAACGAGAACGGATCTCTGTCGAGAACCCGCTCTGATACCAATTGAAATTGCTAAGTGTGCGCTAGTTCTATACGTTTGTATGATGAGAGAGTGTAACGAGTTCGTTTGTGCATAAAGTAAATGAGACACAAGAGATTTGTTAACGGGGTTCGGTTAACCTACATCCCCGGGACCAAGTCCAGAAACCATTCACTAGAAAAGGCCGCAACCTACAATTGCTATATGGTATCCACCACTCTTTTCTAGAATTACAATGAAAGAAAACTACTACTCCTATTGTCTTTTCCGACGAGTATAGCTTCTCAACAAAACCATCAAAAGATCTCTCTATCTTGTTGATGGGGCAACGTCACACACACATGTGTGCCTCTCTCGATAAACCCTAGACGCGCAAGTCTTCATGTTGCCGTCTCTTGGTATTTATATCAAGTGCCAAAAACCCTAGACAACTTAAGCCACGCTTCAAGTCTCTACAAGCAATTGGGCTTAACTTGAACAATGGCCCACGACCAACGTGGCCGTAACATAACATTATGAAAGACTAAGGGCCTGATTGGTAACAGCTGTAGCTTTATATTTTTTGCTGTAGAAATATGACTGTAGGTTTATATGCTGTGGCTGTAGATTTTATTGCTGTAGTATTTTGGCTGTAGAATTTAAAATTTTGGAAAGTTGAAAATTATGTGCTTTAGGAAAAAAGGCTTTCTACAGCCAAAAAAATGAATTAAGGAAATATTTTGGCTGTGAGAAAGAAAAGGAAAGCTAAAGCTTCTAAAGCTTGATTGGATGTATTTCAAATCTTTAGAAATTTTTTTGCTTTGTAAAGACTCTAAAGCACTTGCCAATCAGACCCTAAATCTCGTTATGATCTTTCGTTCCAACAGCTTCACACCTGTTCCAACAATATCTGCACTTTCAGTCTATCCGTTGCTTATAACAATTTCGATGGCCAAATCCCAGAATCCATATCTCAATTTCTCAAACTCAACCAGTTAGATCTTTCCAACAATAAATTGGAAGGCAAAGTACCAGGTTGCTTATTGAGATTGGAATCGCTGAAACTTTCTCACAACTCATTTAGCGGTGTTGGAATATCATTAGAAGTTCTGGATCAAGAACAAGTACGCGATTTGCGTCTTGATTCGAATTTATTCCGAGGACCATTTCCCCATTGGATTTGCGAGCTTAGATCACCAGAGCTCTTAGATTTGTCCAACAATGGCTCAATTCCTCCATGTTTAAGGAATATCGCTTATCCTCTGAAAGTGCTTAATCTGCGTAACAATAACTTCAGTGGGATTCTTCCAGATGTGTTTCTCAATGCTACGGGTTTACAGGCACTTGATGTTAGCCGCAACCAGTTGGAAGGAAAACTCCCAAAAACCTTGATCAATTGCGAAGATATGGAACTTTTGAATGTGGAAGGAAACAAATTCAGGGACAAGTTTCCATTTTGGTTGGGTTCTCGGCGGTTAAAAATCCTCATCCTCAGATCAAACCAATTCTATGGGCCGTTATATCACCACCACCTCTCCGTTTGGTTTCAATATTTAAAAGTTATTGATGTCTCACATAATGACTTCAGTGGAACCTTCCCAGCATTCTATTTTTCCAATTGGTTTCAAATGAGTCAAATGATTACATTAAACCCAGAAGATGTTGTTACATACATGGAAAATTTCATCGTCATCTTTGATTTCCAAAATGATATTAGTGCTTACATTAGTTCAATGGAAATAGTGCACAGAGGTGTAGATACAGAGTTTGAGAGGATCCGAAAAGACTTTACTTCCATTGACTTTTCAAGAAACAAGTTTTATGGAAAGATCCCTGAATCCATTGGCTTGTTGAAGGGATTACGTTTTCTCAACTTGTCGGGTAATGCCTTCACAAGCAATATACCTCAATCATTGGCAAATTTGACAAATCTTGAGGCATTAGATTTGTCCCAGAATCAGCTGTCAGGTCAGATTCCCCGAGATCTTGGTGAGCTCTCTTTTCTTTCAACCATGAACTTTGCCCACAATAATCTCGAAGGTCCAGTACCACGCGGCACACAGTTTCAAAGCCAAAATTGTTCTTCATTCATGGGTAACCCCAAGCTTTACGGTCTTGATGATATCTGTAGAAAAACTCATATCCCAAATCCGAGACCACAAGAATTTGAGGACGTATCAGAGCCAGAAGAAGAACAAGTGATTAGCTGGATAGCAGCGGCAATAGCATATGGACCTGGTGTTTTTTGCGGATTGGTGATCGGACATATCTTCATTTCACATAAGCACGTGTGGTTCATGGAAAAGTTTTGTAGAAACAAGCCTAGAGTTGTCATCAGAAGCGCTCGTTGAACACTTTCTCTTGTCCTCTCTCCAAGCATTGTCAGTCATATGTATGTGTTTGTAATAATGTTCTCCAAAAACTCTTGTGTGTGTTGTAAATTTCCAATTTACGGTTTATTAATAAATCTCTTTGGTGGCGATTCGTATTTGATACATATTGGCTTGAAAATGCATTGGAAAGCTTTTTTTATACCTAAATTTCAACCTGTGATTGTCAATATATGGGATCACCTCCTTATCCTATGCCTACTGTCTGTGCGGTAATGAAGAATTTTTCTAGCGAATGAGAGAGAGAGAGAGAGATTTTGTTCCAAATCAGAGAAGAAAGACATGAGATGGTTTGGCGAAAAAAAAAGACATGAGATGGTTTTTGTTCAAAACCAAAAGTGTACACATTCATGTGACAACACCAATTGACCAACAAACTAGATCACCAGTACTGATTAATGGTAATGCAACTAATCACGCCCAGACACATGAATGATTTAGGGACTTAATCTAGATTAATCTAAATTTTATGAGTTTTGTCCAGGTGTTGTAGTCTGGTTGGTGACTATAGTTGAGATTAAGTTATACATATGTAATCTCAAATCTAAAGTAGATTAGTGCCATTTTTACGCACCACACTTTATGCATTTTCTCATCTTCCCACTTGTCGCTATAATTCAAAAAATCTGGCACATATGGAAAAAAAAAACAATTAATCAGCTGTACTCAACCACACACAAAGCAAATCTCTCCGTCCAATCACAACAATCCACGTCAGAATTATCTCACACGTGGACGGTCACGATCACTCAATTAACATTCAAAGAGGTTTTCGTCTCCATATATAAATACAGAGAGATAGCGACTGACATAGATTCGCCGCAACTAGAGAAAACAGAGCATGAAGAGACGAAGACCGGCGAAGAAATCTCCGGCGATGGTGACGGTTAACGATTGGAAAGGTTTAGATTCCGGCGAAGATACGAGACTCGTAAGGAGATTGATGAAGTTTGAAGACTTGCCTGAGTATTTGAAGGACAACGAGTTTATACACAACCATTATCGATGTCAATGGTCTCTCAAAGATACTTTTCTCAGTGCTTTCTCTTGGCACAACGAAACTCTCAACATTTGGACGTACGTAAAAATCTTTTGAAGGGGCTTTTCGTAATTTTATCGATATTTTGAAATTGATTTGTGAGAGTTTGGGATTTTGATAATCGTTAGGCATTTATTTGGATTTGTGATATTTCTGTGGATGACGGTGGTGAGTTGCTTGGAGACGACGGAGCTTAGTCTCGCCGGTGTTTTTAACGGCATGTCCGGGTAAGAACCACCGAGGTTAAAATAGTCATTTTAGCTTATGTTTTAAAATGTTAAAATAATATATAATTGGCTTTTTTTGGGGACCTGACGATAGAGTGAGGATTTGCCTCTCAAGCAATCAGACTCTGCTTCATGTAAGTTTTTTTGTATTCTTTTGATATTTTTTAATTGCCGCCTTATCTTATCTTATGTGTGACATTGTCAATACTAAAATGTTGAATATTATAAGTTAAATAGTTTGTTTTGTTTGTTCTGTGTCATACATACTTTAACAAAATTGTGACATTGAGGGAAAAAAAACAAATGGAGAAGTACCTTTAGTCAAGTGGTTAAGTCTATTTGACTTCATCTATCTCACTGGAGTTGTGTTATTCCACGTAGTAAGGATTGGCTATAGATCTGGTATTGTCGATCCAAAGATGTCAAAAGAAAAAAGAGGAAAAAAAACAAAACAAAATTGTGTTATTACCATATTATATTGATTTTAGGATAAGTAACGGAAAATCTTTCTTTTGTTTTACGAAATTAAAGTCTCGTTCAAATAAAAAATTCTGTTTACAAAATAATATGGTTGTGGCATTTAAAAAATTTAAATTATAATCTTTGAATTAAAGCCATTATTATTTAGTTATTAATATATTAAATTGAAGTTTACAAAAATTTGATATATCTCTAATTTAGTAAATATATAGTGACTGAAAACATATACACACTAAAAACATGTTTTATATTTGTAACCAAAATATTGCGATTTGTTTGCAACAAAGTAAATTCATAGTAGACATAACAAATAAACCAAATCTTTGTCATTTTCTAATCATGTAAAGTAGTGGTAAATTGCCCCTACCATGTGTTGTTGTTTTCGATATATTTCTTGGATCTTTTCTCTCTTGAGCTTTGAACCCACCAAAAAAGATCGCATAACTTTTGAGAAAAGAATAAAGAATGATCCTTTTCTCATTCACATGACTAAACTTTATAAGATTCTCTCTGTAACAGGATTCGAACGTGACACAACACATCTCATGTCTTACCTCTCAAGGAGAAGCTATTCCAAAATGGCCATGGCTCGTGTACTTAGTCGGAGCAATGGGTTGTTTAATCTGCAGCTCTGTTTCACACCTCCTTGCTTGTCACTCAAAACGTTTTAACCTCTTCTTCTGGCGTTTGGACTACGCAGGAATATCTCTCATGATCGTTGCCTCTTTCTTTGCACCAATCTACTATGCATTCTCTTGCCACCCTAACTTCCGTTTACTCTACTTGTCCTCGATCTCGATCCTCGGTCTCCTCGCTATCATCACTCTCCTCTCTCCCGCTCTCTCTACGCCGCGTTTTAGACCTTTCAGAGCTAATCTTTTCCTTGCAATGGGATCATCTGCTGTGATACCTGCTACACATGTGCTTTGCCTTTACTGGGATCATCCTAATGTGTTTATCGCCCTCGGTTATGAGATTGCCACGGCCTTGTCGTATTTTGTGGGAGCAACGTTTTATGTTAGCCGTGTGCCTGAGAGATGGAAGCCTGGTGCGTTTGATATGGCAGGACATAGCCATCAGATATTCCATGTGTTTGTAGTTTTTGGTGCTCTTGCTCATTGTGTCACCACTCTTCTCATCATTGATTTTTCACGGGCTTCCCCTTCTTGTGGGTTTTAGCCAGACGAATATTGTTTAGTAAGCTCATGTGATCTTGCATTTTGATGTTTGTGATCTTGGTTTGCTTTGGACTGTCCACGGCTATTCCTATTTGAAACCGAGACTTGATTTGTCGAATCAGAATTTCAAGATCGAAATGATTCTGATTACTAAAGTAGACTATATGTATTTCGATTCCTAAGACATTGCTAAAAAGCTTCTGTGATCTAATACCTGACTTGCTTTGGACTGTCCATTGCTATTTCCAATTTGAAACCGAGACTTGATTTGTCGAATCTCATTTTCTCGATCGAAACGATTCTGATTACTAAAGCAGAATATGTGCATATAGATTCCTTGGAATAGAAGAATGATGAAAAAACCTTTTGATTCCTTTCTTTGGAGATCAAAAATTTGTCAGTTGTAAATGGTTTAGGTACATAAGGATCTTTTAATTTAGCTCTTCACCAAGTTCCTTATACAATCTTTGCTTGGGATAATTTAGTCGCGCACAACAAGCCATTGTTGCTCTCTGGAATTTGTGCAAGCCATATAATGAATAAATCATCCTCTCTCTGAAACTGAGGTTTGTGAGGTACATTATGATTGCTACACCTACATAAAATCCAACATCTCATCATCATCAAGGATTCTAAATGTTATGATCTCCTCTGAAAATAGGGTTTCTTTGGTTTCATGTTCATCCAGACGAAAAAAGAAAAAGATGATTATATAAGGGTCCATCTAAGATTGGAAGAGGAGGGTTAAACAAAAGGAAACAACCAGACAGAGGGCCACAAGAAAAGATCCGCAAAAACAAAAGGACAGAGCATAATTAATAAAAAAGAAAGATTTCTTTAACAGACTGATAGGATATGTAAGCAAACGAGCTTTTGTGCAGCTGATCACTGTGGAGGCTGGGGGCATCCATGTTCACGTTCCAACTCCTCAATCCAAAGCGAAGTTTGTAGAGGAACAACATGGTCAACATTCAGAGCATCAAAGCAATAAGGTTTAGGGACAGTGCAGTCTTCCCTAGACAAGAAGATGGAGTACTTGACAACAGTAGCATCAGCCTTGCCATCTTCCAAATCCACCATTAGCTGCCGGAGCTTGTCGAGATAAGTCAGACTGGGGAGGCATCTCACTGCAACAGTAAACATAAGCGCAAGAGCAGCAGCGTTGAGACGCTTGCATTGGTCGAGAGAATCACAATCATTACTTTTCAGTAGCTGCGCATAACACTTGTCGATTCTGTGAATCAGTTGCCTTGCATCAAACAATTGGTTTCGAGCGAGGCTCAAGTGACTACAGCGCAGGCCGCTGGGAGGAGTTTGACCAACGGAAGGAAACTCATCCAAAACCTTAGTGATCCCATGGTAAAAGAATTTCCGCGCGCTATGAACCTTATTCACGTAGAACCAACGGATAAAAATGTCCACCTCAAAAGTGGGAGCCTTGAGGGCTCGTTTCTGAAGAGCAACGACCGCATCAACAAAATCTTTTTTAGTTGGAATCGCACTCATCTTCTTGAAAGTCGTCATCTTGTTCACCATCTATCTGCTTTATCCCCATCACCAAATATATATATATCAATTACTCTTCTGATTGTTTTGGACAGACAAATTCAATACTACACAACAAAAAACTCCCACTACGCGATAAGAAATTTCAACCCGACACCCAAGACCTAACTGGAGTTTCTGAAAGAATCTTATGAAAATAGACTAAGACTAAGGACAGAGAAACTTACCACAGATCCAAAGGAGAGGGAGAAATTTTGGAGAAATTTTAAGTATAGCACGATGGAGGAGGCGCAACGACCCACTACTCTAGGCCTACCTTTTATATCGCACAGACTAAACTAGGGTTCGCCACCACAACCTGTTTCCATTAATTTTCGTAAAGAAAATTTTATATGCGTATAACTTTCTTTCTTTTTTGTAGGCCTTCCATTGAAGAGATCACAAATGGTGAAGTTTACAAAATAAGCCGAAAACGATGCCACGTTTTATTGCTACCGGTTCACTTATTCCACAGGTCTACTATGCATTCTCTTGCCACCCTAACTTCCGTTTACTCTACTTGTCCTCGATCTCGATCCTCGGTCTCCTTGCTATCATCACTCTCCTCTCTCCTGCTCTCTCTACTCCGCGTTTTAGACCTTTCAGAGCTAATCTTTTCCTTGCAATGGGATCATCTGCTGTGATACCTGCTACACATGTGCTTTGCCTTTACTGGGATCATCCTAACGTGTTTGTCGCCCTCGGGTATGAGATTGCCACTGCCTTGTCGTATTTTGTGGGAGCAACGTTTTATGTTAGCCGTGTGCCTGAGAGGTGGAAGCCTGGTGCGTTTGATATGGCAGGACATAGCCATCAGATATTCCATGTGTTTGTAGTTTTTGGTGCTCTTGCTCATTGTGTCACCACTCTTCTCATCATTGATTTTTCACGGGCTTCGCCTTCTTGTGGGTTTTAGCAAGAAGATATTGTTTAGTAAGCTCTTGTGATCTTGCATTTCGATGTATGTGATCTTGGTTTGCTTTGGACTGTCCATTGCTATTTCCTATTAGAAACCGAGACTTGATTTGTCGAATTTCATTTCCAAGATCGAAATGATTCAGATTACTAAAGCAGAATATATGCATATCGATTCCTTGGAAGAGAAGAAATGATGAGAAAGGGGAATACAGAGGAAACCTAGAACCTTTTGATTCCTTTGTTTCTCTGGAGATCAAAAATTTGTCAGTGGAAAATGGTTAAGGTTAATTATACTATTTTTGCTTGGGACAATTTAAGAACAAATCTCAGAAAGTTACATGGGCTGTTTTGGTCTAATTAATCCATCTCCATGAATGTCGTGCACAACAAGCCATTGTTGTTTTATGGAATTTGTGCAAGCCATATAATGAAAAAATCATCCTCTCTCTGAAACTGAGGTTTGTGACGTACATTGTGATTGCAACACCTACACAAAATTCAACATCTCATTATCATCAAGGTTTCTACAAGTTATGATCTCTTCTGAAAATATGGTTTCCTTGGTGTCATCATTGAATAAAGTACATCAACATTGTGTCATATCTTGTGAACAATAGTTTGCTGTCTACTTTTTTCTACATCTATGACGTTCTCGCAGAGTATGACATCGACAGACAAATAAACTAAAACCTTTTTTGAAACCAATAGGTACTCCAGTCAAATGTGTATTCAGGCTGGTAACTTGGATTGTATAGGATGTCATATGTAACTTTGAATGACATTTGGTTTTTGAGTTTACACTAAACAAAAAATAAACTCTTGATTTTTGATTTTTGAGTGTATCAAAATGAACTAATGGTATGATTTTTTTGGTTTTCTTTTGTGAGTCACACAAGTTAAAACTTAAAAGGAAGCAACTGAAATATCGGTTATATAATTTTATTAAGAACACAAACATAATTCTTTTGTTCATCAACTCAATCTAGTGATCTTTATTGGTCTCTGGATTATCTTGACTGGGCAAAATATGTTATATTCGTTTCGATTCAATCCCAAATTCTGGATATTTGTTGTTCTATGAAAAAAAGACTAAAAATCCGAAATACAAATTTATTCACAAATACTAAAATTTTAAAAGAAATATATATATATATATATATATGTAGTATATATGTATATATTTAAAGATACAAAATTATATATTCATTATTTATTTATATATATGAATTTGCATTCATTAACTTAATTAGAAAAGTATTAAATTTGAATTTTGATATTTTCTCAAATTTTAATATTTTTCTTGTTATTCTTAAGAACTATGAATTGGACTGTATATCCAGCCATATATTTAGATTTAGCGGTTATCTGAACATTAGATATCCAACTAGTTGTAAAGCGGAGAAGATCATAGATTCAAAAAAGTTCAAGATATCCGTTTCGCGTCTACCCTTGCTTTGTACAAACAAATATGTGAGGGCAATAAGTGATTTGGTATAGCCCCACATGAGCTAATACCTGGTCTCCTAATGAGCCGTTGAAGACTTAAAAAGTGTGAACTAACTTTTCAATAATATTGAAGAAGAAAACTAAGAAAGATTCAAATATCATATAGCGGAAAGAAAGTAAGAAGATATGTCCCAGGCCAAAAAGAAAGTCACATTTCATCATTCAAAGTTTCATCAATATTTTAGAGAAATATTTGACTGACTATAATATAGTTCAATGAGTCACATTAAGCATTCAAAGTTTCATTAATATTTTCCAGCTCTTTTCTTGGTATCTCATAATTATTTTAGAGGACTATTAACCTTTTTCTTTCTCACAGTTTAATGAGTTTATGAATGGCCCTTTCGAAAATTAAGAATCTTTCTGCTTTTAATGATATGGACAAAACATAATGATCAATTTTTTGGTCAAGCGTGGCTTTTGTGAATGATAAAATTTCCCTTTTTTAGTCTTTTTTTCCATTTATTAGGTATAATTTTGTCTAATTTAACATTTTAGTTTCCAATGTGTCCTTATTATACACAAAACTTTTCCCCACAAAGTGTTTTTTTTACATCTTTCTGAGCCAATTTTGGGGACTAGCTCGTCGACAAAACTCGTGTTCTTCTACAAATTTACCAGGTATAATGAGATTCTTTTCTTGATTTCAATAATAAGATTCTTGTTCTCTAGAACTTTAGAAAAAACTTCAGATTCTAGGAACTATAGTGTTTGAAGTAATTTATTGAATAGAAATTTTGAATATAGTGTTTTAGCAATCAGAGATATGGTAGGAAGAAGCTATAGCTTAGATACGCGTGGATTTGAGTCCACCAGGGATCTTAGAATAGCTCTTTATGAAATGAAAGAAGATGTCCAGAGACTTGAGGAAGAGTTAGATGCTGAGAGAGAAGCTACTGCTACATCAGCGAGCGAAGCCATGTCCGTGATTCTTAGGCTACAAGGCGAGAAGGCGTTGCTTGCTATGGAAGCTAGCCAGTACAAGAGAATGGTTGAGGAGAGAATGTCACTTGCCGAGTTGTCATTGGAGCTTTTGGAGGATTTGAATTACCAGAAAGATGTTGAAATCAAGAATCTTGAGTGTGAATTACATTCTTATAGATGTAAGCTTATGAGTTTGGGATGGAGTGGACTTGATGATGAGGATTGTATGAGATTTTGCGATAGGTCTCAAACACCGTCTCCAGAACCGATTGAGACGGTTCCTGTGGAGAAGGGAGTTATTGAGCAGAGCTTGGATTCAAGAAGAGATCAGGAGAAAAAATTAGATTTGAATTGGGATCAGATCAAGAAGGTGGATGAGCAGTTGAAAGAGCTTACGGATTTTCGAGATTCTGTAAGAGATCAATATAAGATTTTGAAGCAGGAGACAAGTTCTGTGTCTGAAACTAAGAATGGAGAAAAGGGTTTGTGTAAATCTGATTTGTTGGTGAAAAAGATGTCCAAGAAATCATCAAAACAGAAAAGAGATAAAAGCGTCAAGAGAGATCATACGCGGGGAAATTGTTCTGCAAACGATGCAGAGTATCAAGCAGAGTTGCAGCGGTTGCAAGAGCGAGTAGAGCGGCTCGAGCAAGAGAGATGCAACAACGAGCCAGCTCAAACTAGTGGAGTAAAGCAAGAAAATATGAATCTGCAGAGAAATTCAGAAGAAGAGTTAAGTTCTGTGCAATCTGCAATGTTTAGTTATGACTCAGCTATTGTTTCTGTTCAAGAGGTATGGTGATGAAATCAAATTCTGTCAGTAAATTTCAGACAGTTCTTAAGTACTAACAAATCTTGGCATGTCTATTGAAACAGGCCATGCTTTACTTCCGGCTATGAGCCACGCCTTTCGTCTCTGGAGTTGACGGCATTAGAGAGCTAGTTATGATATCTACAAATAGGAAGACCATCTAATATAAGTTAAAAGCGTGTGATTAATATTGTACTTGCATTCGTTTTTTGTTTGAAGTAAGATCTACATCTTGTGTAAAGTTTGAGCCTTTGAGAAACAAATCTTCTACTATTTTCTTGATATCTCATGTTTCTTTTTTGTAATCTGAATTTATTAAAAATGGATGAAATTACATACGTAAGCGGAAAAAAGAGATATCCCTGAAATATTTCATGGTTTTGATCATACTTTTTCAAATTTTGGTGGACAAAAAAGAAGGAATAAGAGAACCATGAAAGTGAGAGTTACCAACCTGAAGATTTTTGTGGATGCTCTGTCATTTATACACCAAAGAAAGTTTGAAATCTCACAATCACCAATCTTAGATTGTCTTGGTTTGGAGTTATAACCCTTTCTTTGATTGGTTGAAATCAGAACCAATGTTAACCGGTAACCTGATAAGGTTACTAGTAGCTATCATACCAAACTTCTTCTAGTTTTATCTTAGCATAATCTTTTTTCTCATGCTTATTCGTCATCATAGCTCTCCACATTCTTAAGCCTAATCCAAAAACTATTCCTTTCACCATCCCAAATCCGAAAACTTGTATAAAATCATTTTGTGTCACTATCAATGGAAGTAACATTTTCAGTTCACCACAACTTTGTGATTACTCATAGTCTCTGTTGGATGTCACACTCAAGAAACAAATCTCATCTCTTTTACGAACTTATACCGTCCTCCTTGTGTGCGCACCCGGATTTGCTAAGCACTTGAAAAAGGTTTATTGTTTGATCTTTTTCTCTTTTGCACCTACCTCATCATCACTTCTAGCTTGTCCTATAGCATCTTCTTTCGCCCATTAATATCTTTACAACAAAGCTATGTTTCTACTGCAAGTACTTTAGTGACGATAAGACGAGGATTAAATATCGACTTTCGCCAAGTTAGAAGACAAATATGAAGCATCATTTTAAGAAGTTCATTAAATCTTTCTGTCAAAACCAATAAAAAGAGTTTTATTGTTGATCATCTATGTAAAAAATGTTCTTATATGATACATGATCGCTTAATTTTTGCTGCAATATCAAACTCAGCATATACAGTATAAGGAAATTTTTGAGTGTCAAAAAGATCGTTTTTGCTTTTGTTTCTTGGCTCATCACTTCTTTCTAAGATGGCAGAAAGAGACAAATCTGATGACATGTTGACCTTAGTTTGATGTTGATGTCAAGCATTAATTCTTACTTAATTTAGAAATATTAAACTAATAAAGGACTAATGATCAAGACAATTGTAGAGATTATTATTTATTAAGCAGACATCATCAGCTTCCACTTACAACATAAATCTCTGGTACAAATTTTGTTTCTTTAATCCAAAGTTAGGCAAAAAAGGATATTGATAAGATTATAATGCAATGGAAGATTAGGAGAAGCTTCATTGCTAGATTCATAGCACATACATAAGATATGATCATGAGTGCAAAAAACCCACCAAATCTTTTCATTTAAAATAATTAACCAATGAATGTGAAATATAAGATTTGGTTGGTTTATTTTTGATCTGAATAAGACTTTAATCCACAAAATCTAACTTCAAAAAAATTCAATTCAACTCAAGAATCCAAGAAAAAATCATTGAAAGAATGAATACAATTATCAAAACTCTCTGAAATATTGATTCAAGAAACCATTATGAACTAGCTTCTCCTTGTGTTTCTTGAGATGAAAAATGCAAAAGAGAAGGACAAGCAAAGAGATACTCTTTAAGCCGTCCCATTTCGTGTGCGACATCGAGCATATCAGGCCTAGTTGAAGGATTGTATTGAGTACATATCAATCCTAACTCAATCATTTCCATTATGACTTCTCTCCATAGCTTCTCACATCTCTCTGGTTTCCCCTGCGGTTTCCATCTAATCAACGCTTGTTCGATGATTTCCTCTAGAGAATTCGGGTAATGTGACTTCATAAACTCATGTAAGCTTGATCCTTCATTGACAAGAACATCAGTTGGTCGCCTTCCGCTTGCAATCTCTAGCAGGAGAACACCAAAACTGTACACATCTCCATGTGTCGATGCGCGTTTCCCCATCCCGTATTCTGTTGAAAAATGACTAACCACTTAGTTTAAAGACTAATGAGACTACTTAGTGAAACTTTAATGATGTTGTGAGAATTTTGTACCTGGTGCAATGTAACCGACTGATCCACATAACAATCCATCTGTTGAGCCAAATGACACTGAATCATCTGTAGAAACCGTTTCTTCAACGCCTTGAACCAATCTTGAAATCCCGAAATCCGTAACCAGAGCGGTCATTTCATCGTCGAGAAGGATATTGCTCGGTTTGAGATCACAGTGAACGACTTTTACAGGTGAATAGTGATGCAAGTAAGCTATTCCTTCCGCGACATCGCTGCATATATTCACCAACTGAATCAAATCAAGGTTCTTGCTCGAGTACTCTTCCGGGTATAAGTGCCTCTCCAAGCTTCCATTTGGCATTAGTGGCAGAACAAGAGCCTTGAAACCAGGTTTGCTGCAGGTTGTGATGATCCTGATCAAGTTCCTGTGCCTTGTTCTCTTCAAGATCTGACATTCTCTTTTGAAACTCCCTGAGAACTCCAGTGCGGTCTTTGGATCAAGTACTTTAACTGCTATCTTAGTGTTGTTCCTCAGAACTCCCTTGTAAACATGACCAAATCTCCCTGAACCAATCAAGCTAGAAGCATTGAAACCTCCAGTTGCTGCTATGAGCTGCTGATAGGATATTCTCGGGTATTTCGGGTCATTTCGGTTCTGTTTTTCCTCGTCTTCCACCTCTTCTTTGTCGTACACTGTTAGATTCTTTCCAAATCTTGATCTTTGGACAAGAGGGTACCCAAAAACACACAGAACAGGAGTTACGATCAATGATAACAGAACCGGTAGAAGAAGAGAAGGGTACTTGTGTTTCTTCTTGCAGGCTTGCATCCCTTTTATAGAGCCACACAAGAGAGAATCTCCAAGAAAAGACTCAATAGTCAGCTTAGAGAATGATCCTTTGTCAGATACATTTCCAGAGAATAAGTTGAAGGAGAAATTCAAGTGCTTGAGAGTCGAAGACTGTTGAAAAGAAGGCGGTATAGCTCCGGTTAATCTGTTTGAAGACACATCTAGCTCTTTTAGATATGGCAATTGGCCTAATGATGCAGGAAGCGTACTGGAGAAACCGTTTCTTGAAAGATTCAGATGCTCCAATGCAATGCAGCTTCCCAGCTGAGGCGGAATCTTCCCTGAGAGTTCGTTGGAAGACAGATCAACGGAGAGAACCATATCCATTTTGCTTAGCTCCAACGGTATTGGCCCGCTTAAGTGATTGCTAGAGAGGTTAAGATACAACTTCAGGTTTCTGAGATTGGAGACAACTTCAACAGGTATGTTCCCAGTGAGGTTGTTGTGAGAGAGATCAAGAATCTCAAGATTGATACATTTTCCGAGGCTTTGAGGGACCGTACCAGAGAGATGGTTTCCGTACAAAAGAAGTCTTCTCAGCTGAGTAAGGTTTGCGAAATTATCCGGGATTGAACCAGAGAGCTTGTTTCTAGAAACATCAAGAAGACCAAGACGAGGTATATCCCCGAGTTCCACGGGGATTTCGCCGGTTAAGAGATTATTAGAGAGATAAACCCTTTCAAGCTTGCTTAGCTTACAGAGCTCGCGCGGGATAGGACCGGACAAGAGGTTACTCGACAAGTTTAGAAGAGTTAGGTTCAAAAGGTTTGATATCTCTGGTGGTATAGAGCCATGGATACGGTTTTGATCAAGATGAATCTGTACAAGATTTACAGAGAGGTGCCTTACGGAAGAAGAAATCTCTCCTCCGAGGCTATTTCCGGCTAACTCAAGCTCTTGTAGGTCAGAGGAATTGGCGAGAGAGGCGAAAAAAGGTTCGAGGTTGGTGTTATTGTTATGGCTAACGAAATGGTTATAAGAAAGGTAAAGAAATTGAAGTTGTGGCATCTTGCTGATGACTTGAGAAGGTAACTCTCCGGTTAACAGATTTGACTCCAAATCCATCCATTTTAGATTTGTAGAGTTTGAGAGCGAAGACGGGACAGTACCGATGAGCTTGTTCGACCAAAGAAGAAGAAACCGAAGTTCTTTGAGCTGACAATGATTCTTTAAAGGGATTTCTCCGGTTAAAGAATTGTTGGAGAGATCAATGTATTGTAGAGATGAAGAAGAACCGTTGCATAAGAGCTGTACCGGGATTGAACCAGTTAATCGGTTGCTTCCAAGGTCGAGATAAACAAGACGGTTAAGCGAACCGAGTTCTTGTGGAATGTCCCCTTGTAAAAGATTCTCGGAGAGACTTAGCTGCTTCAAGGTTTTATACAATGAGCCTATCTCAGGTGGGATTTTTCCAACGAAGAAGTTTCTTGAAAGATCAAGAACCGTTAAAGCGGTTAGCTTAGCGATCGACGGTGAGATTTCACCGCCGAGATCTTTACCACTGATATCAAGCTCGATTACTTGAGTGCTCTCTTTGTTACACTTCACACCATACCAATTACAAACATCAACAAGCGAAGAAGGCGAAGAAGAAGAAACCGAAACCCAACTGCTTAGAGAGTTGTGAGGATCTGAAACAATTGATGATTTGAAAGAAAGCAAAGAGATTTGATCACTTTTTATCAACTCATGATCGTTCTCTTTAGAAGCAAGAACGGTCATAACAATGATCAAGAACGAGAAAAACAACAAAGAACAAGAATCCATTTGTTTTGTTTGTGTGTGTTTAATTGAGACAACAAAGAATCAAAAATGATGTTTGACTATACACACATATATATAAATGATATGTTTATACAATCGAAGAGAGACAGTATCTCTTTTATAGTTTGTGCCTAACTAACGTTTGAAGATAACGAAAGACTTGGGGGGCTAATTGTTGGTGTCGGATCCCGCACCAGTGGACCGGGACCAACCAAAGATTGCCACGTAATCAAGATGAAGGCCCGCAAAGGATAAGGCCCATTAAGCCCATGGATCACAAGATATAATCGAAGTGGGCGTCATCAGAGAGAGAGCCCGGAGTGGTCACACCTCGGGATAAGGCCCACTGAGGTTTTAATTAGGGTTCATATAAGATAAATTAATCAACCTAGCCCACCACACAATGCAACCACCTTCTTGTTTATATCTAAGTGTTGATTATTACCATATGGATTTAAATAAGTTGTTGCTCCAATATCGATTATTTGTCTTTCGTGATTTTGTTAATCATCACAATCTGGTCCTTATCGTACGCGGACACCGTCATATTTTATCTCGTTTTTGTTCGTCAATTTTTAAAGCAAAACTTGTTTTTATCATTTGTGTTAGCCGTTTAAGTGTGGTCTATACAATCGTTGAGTTTGTTCATTTGAGATCGTAGCCTTATGATAACAATAACATTGGAGACAGAAACATCATGTTTAGACAAAAGCTTTAAAAAGAAAATTGAAAGACTTTGTCTCAAACAGAGGTTTCAGATTCAGGTAATGTGACAGGAAAATATAACTTTCAAACTTATTTTTCTTTTTTGTTGGCTATTTGCTTTGGTACACTTTAATTTTAGTCATTTGTGTTATTCATGAGTAAATTGTGCTACTAATCTAAATTAATTGTAGAATTAGCTCTAAACTTTAATTATACTTATAGTAATCATTATATTTAATGTTATTCAGAGCAAATAGTTGTTGATAATTAGCAATATTGAAATAGTTTACCTCAACAAAGTTGGTTACATATCATGAGATCAGTAGCTGTAGTTGTGGCAAGAAGCTCTAGATTCGAACTATAGGGATCGTGCGCGAGTAGCAATGTCAATTGTTTTTCGCATACAAGCTTAATCACTGTTGTGAAACCTTATCTGAGGTTGCAACGAGCAATGCAGTAGGTGGCTTATGATCGAGAGCCCACAAAAGAATGACCTCTGTCATGGCAAGCCAGGTTTGACCTTGACTACTTCCAGGTCTTGTAGTGTTGAGAACGGTTGAAAAGAGCTCTCGTTGAAGGAATCTTTGTAATAAAACGCAGTGATGGAGTCCATGAAGAACCCTTTGTGGAGAAGGGTGTTTTTGATTTTTTCGATTGCCTATACAGTCTCTAAGCTCTTAGGAAAGCCGTAATTCTCCTGGTCGATTATCACCTTCATTAATCGAAGTTTAATAGAGTATTGGTTTAAGACAAAACTTATGGTGTTGGCAAGGATGGGTGTTTCACTTTCGCTCATTCTTTTGAAAAGGATGAGCAACCTGCAATTGAAATGATGAACAAAAAATGTGTATACGGTGAAGCACGTAAGTTTTATTGGATGTCCGCTTCCTGCTTCAAAATCATAAGCTATCAGAAGTTTTCCGAGTCTCGCTTTTGTGGCGTTTTCGGGAAATCCATTTTGAAAAATTGTTGGAAGCTTACGATTCCATTTTGTTAGCTTGCACTTCTATTTTAAATATTTAATGTCACAAATAAAATAAAAATATGAAATTACATTTGGTAATTTTTTATGCAAAAACTCAAACTAATTTTGCAATTTATAATTTTTGCATACTATCTAAATTTTTGACTTTGAATTATTTGATTTTATTTTCTGTAACAATTTTTTTTTTAATTCTAATTTATAATTGAGTATTAAAATGTATTAGATTTGTATGGTTGAGTGTAATTTGATATGATATAGTGTTTAATGTTTTCATTATATTGTAAATTTTGTATAAAATCGTTTCTAACCGCTTCGTTTCTGCGTATCCGCTTCTGATTCCATGCAACGTACTTTACACTATTAACCAAGTTGACCAAAAAACAAAATCAAGATAAAATCCTTTAGATCATCTAACGTCATGATAAAAAAAATCTAACGACATGATTTTAAACAGTGGTAAAGCCAAAAATATTTTTATCGAGATCAAATTGTAACAAAATAATAACAACTAATTTTTAAATAACAAAATAAAAAACATCTTTGTTTAACAAGAAAAGCACAAGTTAATTAGATTCAATATTTATGGATTAAACAATCAAAACCCCCAATTAGAACATCTGAGTAATGGGGTCAAAACATAGAAACCCAAAATATATATTTTAAAACTTAAATGATCATAACATAATTTTGAAATTTTGGAGGAGTAAAAATTTAAATAATGAAAAAGGGTCATAACACAAATTTAGAAGTTTAGTCGAGTTAGCTAAATAACCTCTTTAACAAAATCAATCCACCCTTTATTGTAAATAGAACAAAATCAAGCCATCCTTTGTTGGTCGTCTGAAGTGATTCGTTGTAAAAAAAAAATCAATTAGGTTGTACCTTTTCTTTTTTGTTAGTCTGCATTGGCTCTGGTTGTCTATTCTATATATTGGGTGTGACTTGTATGCTAAGGAGAAGAAAATAGTTTGTTATCAAATGAATTTTTCAGTTGAAACAATATAATTTTCTTATATATTTTTGTAATATATTTCATGGTCACATACATGAAATTATCAAAATTCTAAAAGTGGATATGGGTTATTTTTTATAGATATTTGATTTAACATATTATTTAATATAATTTTATCAATTAGACTACAATAGCGAGTGATTAAATTGCATAATAATTTTGATTTCAAATGACTGATTTGTATTTTATTGGAAATGTCTTGTAAACTTGTAAAAAATGACAATTAAGAGAATTTTTTTTTGCATAAAGTTTATTTTAAACAACGATAAGGTAGCTAACAATATTTTTTTCCCAAAAAAATAATATTGTTCATATTCCCTGCATTTTATTTTTTTAATAGAATTACAATGGAAGATTTGTTTAAATTATTTTTGATATTTTGGGGGAAATATCTATTGGGAGAAAAAAAAACAAAAGAGTAGAGGTTTTAGAGAGGTTTGTTGGATTGTTTTGCTCACAAAATTTCTCTCTTCTTCAAATGTTCATTAGAAGACCAATACCTTATCTTCTACTATCTTCACCTTCCTTCCATGGCTTCCGCTGCGGCGGCTTCTCCTTCTCTCTCCTTAAACCAAACCTCTCATTTCCAACACCAAACTTCTCTCGTCACCTGGCTTAAACCTCCTCCCTCCTCCGCCCTCTTCCGCCGCAAAACCCTTCCTTTCTTCGAACGCCACTCACTTCCGATTTCAGCTTCTTCTTCTTCCTCTTCTACTTCTCTCTCCGTTCACGAGAAACCCATTTCGAATTCGGTTCATTTCCACGGTAATCTCATTGAAAGCTTCGAGAATCAGGACTCTTCATACGCTGGAACCATTAAAGGAGCAAGCTTGATTGAGGAGCTTGAGAATCCTGTCGAAAGGAATGGACTTTCTGGTCGGAGAAGACTGTTTATGCAAGACCCACCATGGATCTCTGCTTTGTTTCTCAAGGGTTTGAGTAAAATGGTTGATCAGACTTTGAAAATCGAGCGGAAAGATATCGATAAGAGGAAATTTGATTCCTTGAGGAGACGTCAAGTGAAAGAAGAGACTGAAGCGTGGGAGAGGATGGTTGATGAGTACAGAGATTTGGAGAAGGAGATGTGTGAGAAGAATCTAGCTCCGAATTTACCTTATGTGAAACATATGTTCTTAGGGTGGTTTCAGCCGTTGAAAGATGTGATTGAGAGAGAGCAGAAGTTGCAGAAGAATAAGAGTAAGAAGGTTAGAGCAGCTTATGCTCCTCATATTGAGCTTTTGCCTGCTGATAAAATGGCGGTTATTGTGATGCATAAGATGATGGGTTTGGTTATGTCTGGGCATGAAGATGGGTGTATCCAAGTTGTTCAAGCTGCTGTTAGTATTGGTATAGCTATTGAGCAGGAGGTATGAGTGAGTAGTCATTCACTTTGTTTCTATAAAGAGATGATGTGTTGAGTTGTGGTTTTGGTTGATCTCTTAGGTAAGGATTCATAACTTCTTGAAGAGAACTAGGAAGAACAATGCAGGGGACTCTCAAGAGGAATTGAAAGAAAAGCAATTGCTTAGGAAACGTGTTAATAGTTTGATTCGAAGGAAACGGATTATTGATGCACTAAAAGTAGTGAAAAGTGAAGGTACCAAACCATGGGGGAGAGCTACACAAGCTAAGGTTTGGCATTTATTATCCTTTTTGAGTGAAATTGATAGTATTTGCCTTTGGTATTGACACATTTCATCTTTGTTGTTGGACTTATGTTAAATTTCAGCTTGGAAGCCGTCTTCTAGAACTATTGATCGAAGCAGCTTATGTACAACCTCCCTTGACCCAGTCAGGGGACTCTATACCCGAGTTTCGACCTGCATTCAGACACAAGTTTAAAACGGTGACCAAATATCCAGGGTGAGAGAGAATCCTCAAAATGAGTACCTATCTCTTTATTTGTCTTTCTACTCAGTTGTTTTATGTATAGAACCGCCTATTGCAAGAAAGTTGTTTTTTTTTTCTCAACTGGGATATATGCTTAAGGTGTAGAGTTTATCACTGGAACTTTGGAACTTGCAGGTCGAAGATGGTGAGGAGATATGGAGTTATTGAATGTGACTCGCTCCTTCTTGCAGGACTGGATAAATCTGTGAGTTAAGACGTCTTTTTATCATCCATTCATGAGCTTTTAGGTGATATTTTGTTGTTACTTTCTTATGCAGGCTAAGCATATGTTAATTCCTTATGTTCCGATGTTAGTACCACCAAAGAGATGGAAAGGGTATGCTTTGATAAAAAATTTCTTCTTTGGCTCTATATTTCGTCCCCTTAGTTAGGAAGCATGCCCTATTATTGAGAACCTCATGCCCACACATTATTTTTAGCCATGGGTTTCTCTTACTTATGTAGTAAATGCTGTGACATTTCCTTCAGATATGACAAGGGTGGTTACTTGTTTTTGCCTTCCTATATCATGCGTACTCATGGATCCAAAAAGCAGCAAGATGCACTTAGAGATATTAGTCACAAGACTGCTCATAGAGTATTTGAGGTACATTGGTATTTTTGCTCTTGTAGTTTATATTTTGTTGTTGCTGTCTAGTAATGTTTTACATTAATATTCCGAATTTGAAGGCATTGGATACACTTGGGAATACCAAGTGGAGGGTGAATAGGAATATACTTGATGTGGTGGAAAGGCTCTGGGCTGATGGAGGCAACATTGCAGGCTTGGTTAATCGTGAAGACGTAAGTCACTAGAAATGTTATAGGTTTTCTTAACTTTTACCTTTCTGGGTTTCATTTCAAGAGTCAATTCATCTACAGAGTTATAGGCTTTAATGGTATGTGTCTGATGTATTCTGTTCTCTTTCTTGTTTGTTTGTTTAGGTTCCCATACCAGAGAAACCATCCTCTGAGGATCCAGAAGAAATCCAATCCTGGAAATGGAGTGTTCGAAAGGCCAACAAGATTAACAGAGAGAGGCATTCTCTAAGATGTGATGTTGAGCTCAAACTTTCTGTAAGAAATACATTCTTACTGCGTACAACATTTCGTTCCGTCTTCACTTAGCTAGCAAACGATATGGACTAAAGATAATCAATTCAGGTGGCTAGAAAAATGAAAGACGAGGAAGGATTCTACTACCCTCACAATCTTGACTTCAGGGGGCGTGCATACCCAATGCATCCTCATCTGAATCATCTGAGTTCTGATCTTTGCCGTGGAACCCTGGAGTTTGCTGAAGGACGACCACTTGGAAAGTCAGGCTTGCATTGGCTGAAAATACATTTAGCAAACCTCTTTGCTGGTGGTGTTGAAAAGCTCTCACATGATGCGCGTCTGGCTTTTGTGGAAAACCATTTGGATGATATAATGGATTCAGCTGAAAATCCTATACATGGAAAACGATGGTGGTTAAAGGCTGAAGATCCGTTTCAGTGTTTAGCTGCATGTGTTATTCTGACACAAGCCTTGAAAAGCCCTTCACCTTATTCAGTAATTTCCCACTTGCCTATTCATCAGGTATTCTACTCTTTTTTGCTACTTGACATTTGCTTTCTGTAGAAGATTCTAGGTTGGGGAATTTAGTAGGCTGTTTGCTTATCCTTGTTGTATAAGTTTTTAACTGGTTTCACTAGATGTGGGGTTTCCCTTGGGCTGTGAATCAACTATAGTGTACTTTTTTTTAATTAATCCAATTCTTAATCGACACTTTTTCCTTGAACCATTTCTATGTGCAGGATGGGTCGTGTAATGGTCTACAGCATTATGCAGCTTTAGGAAGAGATAGTGTAGGCTCTCTTGTTAACATTTATAATCTGCTTTTCTCTTATTTAAAGTAATTTTCAGTCTCATATACTTCTCTTCGTGTAAACTGGCTTCTCTCAGTTTGAAGCTGCGGCAGTTAATCTAGTTGCAGGAGAAAAACCAGCTGATGTCTATTCTGAAATTTCACGGAGGTATCATATCAATTTTGAATGGAGTGGCTTTCAATTCATTTATTCGAGTTGGAATCATGTCAAGAGTAATTTCTAATGGTTTTCCTCTCTGTCTCTCTTTCTCACTCCTCTCTTCTTCGCTTGTGCTGAGATAGAGTCCATGAAATAATGAAGAAGGACAGCAGTAAGGATCCTGAGTCAAACCCAACCGCCGCATTGGCAAAGATCCTTATCACTCAAGTGAGTCTCGTAGGTTTTTGAATGAACATTATGCCACAGCAAAAGTTCTTCCCAATGATGCTATGTTTTCTTCTAATTTCAGGTCGACAGGAAGCTGGTAAAGCAGACGGTAATGACGTCAGTATATGGTGTCACCTATGTTGGAGCGCGTGAACAAATAAAAAGAAGATTAGAAGAGAAAGGTGTTATCACTGACGAGAGAATGTTATTTGCTGCTGCTTGCTATTCTGCAAAAGTAAGAAGAATAGTAGCATTCAGACAGTTAATTTTTATTTTGTTTTTAGTTGTGTACTAATTTTATAGTTGAAACATTTCTCCTCAGGTGACCCTAGCTGCCCTTGGAGAGATATTTGAAGCGGCACGTGCCATTATGAGTTGGCTTGGTGATTGTGCAAAGGTGTGGTCTTGTAGTATGTTTATTAATTCTGCTCTTTTCTCATTTAGTAAATGGGAGACCTAATAGAGCTGGTTTTCCTATTGACTTGTCAACTTTACAGATAATTGCTTCCGATAATCATCCAGTGCGATGGATCACCCCTCTTGGACTTCCTGTTGTGCAACCCTATTGCAGAAGTGAAAGACATCTGGTAAGTGTTATCCATTAAGAATCCTTCATGTAAACTACAATTCATACCATTGTGGGATCCAATAATTTTGACTGTTGGTATCAAATATGACCACTATGGTTGCAGATAAGAACATCTCTTCAGGTTTTGGCTCTGCAGCGAGAGGGTAACACGGTAAAGCCTATTTGCTCCTTTCTTTGTGAGCACTGAGCAAATTTCACTTTTATGATTCCATATACTTAAAGACTTTTAATTCTCAGGTGGATGTTAGGAAACAAAGAACTGCATTTCCTCCAAATTTTGTGCACTCGCTGGACGGCACCCACATGATGATGACTGCTGTTGCATGTCGAGAGGCCGGCCTAAACTTTGCAGGTACTCCTGTTAATTCAACTAATGGCTTACCAACAAAAAAATTTGGACTCTCTTCTTATTCAATGTCTGGGTTTTGCAGGTGTGCATGACTCCTACTGGACCCATGCATGTGACGTTGACACAATGAACAGGATACTTAGAGAGAAATTTGTTGAGCTTTATAACACACCGATCCTTGAAGATGTAAGTTTTCGTGAACTCTCTGGTTATAAGAAGCTTATGACTGAACGTCTTGACTTTCTTTTCTGCACACCTGCTAAAGCAATAGAATGCTGTAGATCGTAAAACCACCACATAATTTTCAAATTGCGTGTGAAGTGTTTTCCAGCTTGTCTGAATTGAAAAATCATGGATTCACTTATAGTTGCATACTTTACCACAATCACAAAGCTTTCTTTCTACAATTTGTTTTGGGATTTGATTAAAGCTTTTGTGTTAATTACAACCTCATGTGTTTTGTTCTTGATACAGTTACTCCAAAGTTTCCAAGAATCATACCCGAATCTCGTGTTTCCTCCAGTACCAAAGAGAGGTGATTTCGATTTAAAAGAAGTTCTCAAATCACAGTACTTCTTCAACTGAGTCAAGCACGTAGAACCAGCAAACCATCTGAAAAAGGAAGCAAGTTTTTGACTTAGGGATCTTCCTTGGTGGCCTGTAAATAACATCCACCACCTCAAAACGACATGGAAAGAACCAGAAATGTGCAGGAAAGACAGACTGCTGCTGCAACACACTAAGATTCTGACATAAATTATCTTGCAGCAGAAGAGGAGGAATTCAGACAAATCTACTTAGAGCAATTTTGGCATCATTGAAGAAGTTTCTAGGTCCTAGACAATCTTGAATAATTGATGTAAGGTATGACTTATGAGTCATTTGCATCAAGCTTGTTTTTATGTGTTTTTGGGGATGAGATTAGGATTAGAGTTTTGTTGTATCTGTCATTCGTAATGTTGTACAGAGAGAGAGAGAGAGAGACTTCATATACAAAACAAGAACACAATAACAATGAAACAAATCATTTTCAATGCTTAACCGGTTTTAAGAATCAAGCCTTCCGTGGTTGTTTCGTATAAAATTGCGTATTAGGAAGTTTAAGCTTGATTCGGTTTATCTATTTTCAAGTTAAGTTTAATTCGGTTATTTCAATTTTAGTAAAAAACCATACTCAGTTTGTCTCTGTTTAATTCGGTTGGGCTGATTCGGTTAGTTAATTTAAAAATTATTGTTTATAAAAAAGAAAGAATGACGTAAATTGAAGCAAAAAGAAAAAAGAAATTTTGTTGTTGGGATCCATTAAAAAAAAATTGTTAGTCTCACTAAATTTGAATAGAATATTCAATCAAGACGTAGGTGAAAAAAAACTCAAAAGATGGTATATATATATATATATATATATAATTTTTTGAAATATCGATTGATAATTTTCATGTTTTAGATTTGACATTCGGATAATAGATTAGTTTAATAACTAAAGTTTTTGGAAACATATTTACATATTTGAGTAAAAATGAGTGAATGAATTAATTGGTAAAATAAAAAATAAAAATCAATGGTAAAACTGCATAAGCATTATTAAAAAAAAAAAAAAAAAATTGTTGTTAGTTATTATGAATATCTTGAAGATGGTTATGTGAAGTAAGCGTATGGAAAAAGGAACAAGATGACGTTTTGGTATCTATATTTATAAAGGAGATGAATGCACTTTGGTATGCTTGCAAATTTAAAACTGTTGGGATGATATTGAACTTGACGTGAAAGTAGAATACTATTTATGAGTCAAAAGTAAAATGTTATCGATTAAGATATTGAAAAAGAATCGAAAACCAAAAAACGTAAATAAATGGTAGAAATATGATAAAATAATATATGTGTATGGGATGCTTAAGGGATAAATTAGGTCCATTAGGATATTATAATTTGATAATAATACATATAGAAACGAACAAAATAATATTTTTTTCTTTTAGAAGTGATAAAATATGTTGATTTTAACTAACATGTAAATCTACGACGATGATTTCTTATAATGTAAAAAAGCAATAAAGCATTTTGATGGTTTTAGCTGAAATCTAAAGCATTTTTTATTGAGCTTGGGTGAGCTGTAAGAAAACTAAGTTTTTGAAGTTGTTCGAACAAAACAAATTTTACCCTCAAAACGTTTTCTTTCTTATTAAAACAAATTTTTTAACAACATAAATGATACTAAAAATATAAATAAATAATCAAAAACAAAACTCTATATTTCATTTGCATTACTATATGTCAATGTATACTTAAATGAATACTAAGCCTAAAAATATATTTAAATAAATAAAAAGCGGGCGTTAATAACCTAGTATTATTAACCAATAAGATAATAATTCAATGTTGTTAATCATTCTTTCTTTGTATTTGTCTAAGTGCTTTTTTTTTCATTTCTGTTTTCTTACCTCATTGATTCTCTTCTCTCATTTATTTACCTATATCTTCTTTGTTAATCTTTTTTTATCCTTTTTTTATATTTTGTTTGGACTTATTGTTGATCTCAGAAAACTCTCAATACATAGACAAAAGTTTGTAAATATTTCGATAGTTTCTTACTGCGATTTGCAGGGCCTTAAATAACCAATAACATGAAGACTAAGTCTTCAAAGATAGAAACTTGCGGCAACAAATTAAAGAATAGCACAAACTAAGACTACTACAACTACTTTGGTTTGACTCTTACAAAACATGAGCTTCTTCAAAAGGTTAATAACCTAGTAAGTTTAAAGAAAATTTAGCATTGAATAGGCCATCAGGGTGTTCAAAACAAATCATCATGAACAGTAACGAGATTTATAAGATTAATTCCGATGAAATCTCATCAAAGTAATGATTTTTCTATAAATTATGTATGACTGCGGTATTGGATTAAGAACAAGTAAGAAAAATTAGTAAGTTTGAAGGGCTACTATTTGAGGAGAAGAATGGATCAACAATTATGGTTAGAATAATAAGAAATGAAGTATTATTATAGTAGCAGTGATTTAGTTTGTATGGGATGATCATGTAGCATCAAACAACAATTAGTATTGAGAATCTAAGTGTTGTAAAAAATGTGCACATCATATAATTGTTTGTGGAATCGTTTATCATAATTGTATGTGATGCACATAGTTATTTAATGGATTGATCATCATTATAATAGGGTCATATTTATAATATCTTTGATGATGATGATGTAAAAGACTATAAAAACTAAATTTTATATTAAAATCAAGAAAAAATTAGAAGAAATCTAGATTTTGTTAAGCCAAATCTCATGATTTGAATTAAAAAAAAAAACAAACAAGAAATAGAAAAAATGGATATGTGATTCTAAATAAAAACATGTCAATTTATCTAAAATAAACATAGAATATGTTAATAATTTGTTATTTTTGGATAAGGGTTTTAGTCTCAAATGTTGTGGAGGTAGTATCTTTAGAGAATTACAAGTGCAAATAATATATAAGCATTCACTTGGAAAACAAATGTTTCAAAGTGATCATCACTACACTAATAATAAAATTTATATAAAATCGAGAGAAGCGAAAAAGAAACAAAGAGATCTGAAGAAATCTTTGAAAATTTTGTTAAGTTTTTAGTTCAATAAACTATTGTTATAACTAAAGCATAATGATATATATTTTTCTCTGTTTTTTACTAGGTTTCATAGACCAATCGCTTTGGTCTTGGACCAATGCAAATCGAAATCTTCTTCGAGAGATCATGTTATAACCATGTGATGTCTGTTGGGGAGTAGCAGCCACAAGACATTTGGAACCTTTTTATAAACTTTCAATGTTGCCATTACCTGATGATTTTTGCTTGTCAATCCAAGAACTAATTGATTTAATGTCTTGAACAACTAAGGCTACTACTACGACCACTTGGTTTGACTCCTACAAAACAAGAGCATATTCAAAAGTGAGATAATAACTTAGACATATTTTACCCAACACTTATTAATATTTTCTTATATATTAGATATCATATTTTATATATCAAAATTTATCTAAATCACCAAAACTATTTTTGTTTTGTTAACATACATTATGTCGAATTGAATTCGGATGACGTTGGTAGCCTTCTGTTTAATTAGAACCAAACTGAATCATCAAAAATTAATTTGCTTATAACCAAAAATAACTGAAATCAAATCTATCTTATTATCAAACATGTTTTAGTATTTGAACCAGAACAAAATCTATACTGAATGGAAATATATGAATCGAATGATAATGCCTTAATATTATAATTCTATCAATAACTTAGTATCATTGAAAACAATTTAACTAAATTTTTTTTTTATCAAAAATACGAAAAATTAAACAAAACATAAGCAACAATAAAAAGTAGAATAAAAATAGAAGTTATAGAATAAATTTAAGATATTAAACAAAAAGTGGATGATTTCTAATTACCAACTATCACTTCGTTGATAGTTTATGACTCGCTAACTATAAATTTATGATGGTAATGTTAGAAGATTCTTGTTCCTTTTATTTTCATAATCCTGTATTAGTTTTTTTAAGAAATGTTTTTCATTGGATAACACTTATGAACTCAATGCCTACATTTACCGTTTTAAGTATGACTGAACTTTTTTTGTTTACATTTTGTATGTTGATTACTAGTTTTTCTTATGATAATTGTGTTTCACTTATTAATATTAATATTAAGGTTTTTCACCTTCAAAATAATTATAGGTTGCATTACAGACATAATTTGTACAAAGTGAAATAAAATTCGAGGTTAAAATTGGGGTTCTGATGCTCTTTATAGGTCACTCCGATTTACATATTTTAATGTCACATCTCGTTTAAAGCCTAAATCTCGTTTAAAGCCGATTTACGATATGTGAAATAGAGAATGGTGAAAGGCCCAATCGTTGCCTTGGGAAACGCACTTTTCTCTCTCGTTTGTAGACGCCTTCACAGATCTAGATCTAGGATTTTTCGTTCTTGCGCTTAATCGCTGGCTGGAGGCTTAATTTTCGAGTAGCAGTGGTGAGTCGGATCCCGTCTCCGTCAACGGCGGTGTGGTGTCTTCTCCGGTGATGTAGCAGTGGCTCTAGCTTGGCGGTGGGGAGCTCTATGCGTTTGACCCCGGTTGAGGACGCTGGTGGTTGTGTGGAGTCCCCCGTGGCTCAGCCGGCGAGCTAGATGGTGCGGCTACGGCGGAAGTCGTCGGAGGAGCGGTGGGTGAGTTGAATCGTTTGATAGTTAACGGCTGATCCCGGCAAGATCGGTTGGCTACCGCGGATCTAGGGCCAGGAGTGTCTTATTGAGCCGTTTTGCCTCTTGGTTCGCCGTGGTGTTTCTTTCGGACCGGTTGATGGAGTTCGTCTCGAAGGGTTATCAGATCTTCCGGTGGAGGTTTGAGAGGTTAGATCCCAGTGTGTCGGGTTGCTTGGAACGGGACCTGACATCGCGGAGCTGGCCGTCGGAGAGTTGGGCATACCGGGAAGAGTGTGGCTGGTCTGGTGCGTCGAGGACGTGAAAACGACGGTGGGAACCGGATTCTCTCGCCGTTGGTTTCATGTCTGAGATGCGGCCACAATGCTGTCCTCTTTGAATCCGCCGGAGCTTGTGTCTCTGACTCTTCGCCGCCGGTCGTCAGCAAGATCCGAGTCTCGAACGTCGCCGGCAAGTTTTTTCTGATTTCTCTTCATTTTGTAACTGTTAATCTCGAATTGTAAGGCCCAGGCCCAAAGCCCGTTAAGGGATTTATAATATTAAAGTATTTAATTTAAAAAAAAAAAAAAAAAAAAAAATAGAGAATGGTAGAAAAATATATGAAAAGATAAGTAAATTTTTAATATTAAAACTGAAATCCAAACCAAAAACCAGGACTGAATTTCAAATGCTGATGTCCTGTCTTGGTTTGAATTTTTTGATAAATCCAAAAAAAAAAGAAAAACGAACACGAAGCCAAATTTTTGGGCAAAGATTTGATTGGGCTAAAAGTAAAAAACTGAGTCCCAAAGCCCATTTATTATACGAATCTGCCACTTTTGCGATTTAGGGTTTTCTTCTCCTTCCACAAGCAGTTTAGGGCTTCTCTCTCTCGATACTCTCTAGCAACCTCAACAATGGCGGAGCAGGTTTCTAATCTCTTTTCCTCTTCTCTACTTTCTATCATTTTTGTTTGTAAAACATCATTTCTCTCTTTTTTTTTCTTCTCCTCTAAGCTCTAATTTAATATGTGTTGCAGACGGAGAAAGCGTTCTTGAAGCAACCAAAGGTCTTCTTGAGGTAAAAGTAACAAAAACATCTTTTTTTTCTTCAGTTCTTAGAATAACTTCTCTTATTCCGAATCGATTTCAGCTCGAAGAAATCTGGTAAAGGAAAGAGACCTGGAAAAGGAGGTAATCGTTTCTGGAAGAACATTGGTCTTGGTTTCAAGACTCCAAGAGAAGCTACTGAAGGTACACAATTCCTCTATTACATTTTCTTAAAGCTTGTGTTTTTGTTGAGATTGTGTCTTAATTTGGATGAAAGGTCATCTCTTTTTACGATTTTCATATTTGGTTTCTGAAATTGGACTGAGTGATGTGTTTGTGTAATGGTTTGTCTAGTTTTGAGTTGTTTCTTGTTTGTGAATTTTGTAGGTGCATACATTGACAAGAAATGTCCGTTTACTGGCACGGTTTCGATTAGAGGTCGTATCTTAGCAGGTACTTGTCACAGTGCGAAAATGCAGAGGACTATCATTGTTCGGAGGAACTATCTTCATTTTGTTAAGAAGTATCAGAGGTGACAAAAGATCTTTACTTTTGTGTGTTTTGAATTCCACCTTTCAGTCTTTAACATCGACGAATCAATAGGTATGAGAAAAGGCATTCGAACATTCCCGCTCATGTCTCACCGTGTTTCCGTGTCAAAGAAGGAGATCATGTGATCATTGGGCAATGCAGGTAAGGACAGTAATGAATTATCCTGAATTCATTAAAATCTCTGTTACCATATGAAATCTATTACCATTGGCTTAAAATGTTGTTTCAGACCGTTGTCAAAGACGGTGAGGTTTAACGTGCTAAAGGTCATTCCAGCTGGGAGTTCTGCTATAGGGAAAAAAGCATTCTCTGGAATGTAGAGACTTGTTAAGTTGTTGGAATCGATGGACTTGAGCGGATTTTGGCTTTCATGTTACATTCTCAAGAAAAACCTCTTTTGCATTTGTGTTTGCTGCAAACATATGTTTCAAAACTCTCTCTTCCAGATACCATTATATAAGAATGATCCTCTTCTGTTTGTTATTGTTTTTTTCTATGATTTAGATTCAGAATATAGAGCTGGCTTTGGATTTAAGTGAATTTATGGCAAATGTTTCTGTCTTGTGTAAAATACAGAAAAAAAAACACAGTACACTGAAATGTGTTTGAAGGAATATTTTGGTTTCAAAACCGAGAATTAAACTAGCAAGTAACACAACCCGTCGATGTGTTATTCCACCGGAAACTAAAATGTTTGAAGGACGAAGAACTGTTTCCGGCGAGTGTCTCCCGACAGGCGAGGAAGAAATATCAGATAGACCAGCTTGCCTCGCCTCTGTCCAGGACTCTCAGACTCTCAGACGACAAAAGACACGCCTTGACTTCCGTGCAACTCTTTAACCTTTTTCCTTGAGAATTTAGGCAATGAACATTGGCTTTATCACAGCTTTCTCTGAGAACCAAAATCCTCTTGAACCCTTAAAAGGTTTTTGGTAAATCATGCTGATGTTACAAGTGTAAGTCATAGAATCCCAAGAAGAGTACAAGGAGTTTAGAAGTGAAGCACCAAACACGTGTTTTGGGTAAACCATACTGATCCACAAACCAAAACCACTTGTTTCAGTGATTCACTTCTCATCTCCTTGTACCCCTTCTCGAGACTCTAAGACTATACATTCTTGTAGCACTTTCCATATTGTGCAGCACTGTCTATTAACTTCAGTGGTTTCCACTACACATGAAATCAAACAGATTAGGATTTTGAGACGATAAATCTTTCATGCAAAGATAAAGAAAAGCCTTGTTGATACCTTGTGAGAAGTATCTCCATTCCTCTCCTCTATTTAAAAACTTTGAGGTAGATGAAACGCTTGGGGGAGGCAAAGGTTTTTTGGTGGAATTGAAGAGGCCTCATAAATTAGTTGGACTTGGGCATTAAAACCAAAACAAGCCATGTTTAAAACTGAAACGTGTTTGAAGGAAAAATGTTTCTTGTCAAGAAAAGTTACTTGTTTGTGCCTCTCTTTCATCTCTAGGGTAACAAATAACACGAGCTTAAGCAATATTAAAATTTTGTTTATGTCTCAAAACAAAATGGCTTTTAGAAAACGCCATCACAAAAGCATTTCTTTACAAGGATTCATCATCAAACACAAAAGTTCCTCCAAATCCTTATGAACGAGAGAGATAATTTGATTTACAGCTACTTGTTCAAGGTTCCTAGAACAAGAACTTTTCGGTTCACTATCTACTAGTCTTCTTCTGAAATGTTGAACAAGAACTTTGGGAGTGATGTGATCCGAGGAAGGTGTACCAGCAAATCACTGAATGAGTCTTTCCTTGACATCCCCTGTAGTGGCTTGCTGCTTGAAGCAGGATCAACAACTCTTTTGCCTCCTTCGGTCATGTGTCTATTGTTATCGACCCCAATCTCTTTACCGGTGTCAGCATTTTCGATACTGAGATGTGAATTTGCAGCAGATTGCAAGAGGTTGCAGAAAGAATTCACCTTTGACATGACAGACTTCTCATCCGATGGATCGGTTTGAGTGTCACTTAGCAGTATCTGTTTCATTTCCTCAAATTCTTGGTTGTTTTCACAAGCTTGATCTGACAAAAACATAAGGAAATCGTTCATCGAGATAGACTGGTGTAGTCCAGGCATTTTTATCTGACTCCAACCGTTTGTATTCCTCGAATCAACGGAACCACCAACTCCTTCGATTGCACAAGCATCCATCACTATATATAAATAAGAACATATGAGCACAAGTAAATGGAAATGAATGTGAAAGATAGATAGTGGAAACAAACAAAATACCTGAGCTAGGCGATAGTGCGTCATGAGATAGAGACACATGTTCTGATGACGACTGAGCCCCAACAGGAGATGCAATATTATGAGAACCAGACACAGAGGGATCCTCAAATATAGATTGTCGTGAATCAAAGAACGGTGAGGCCAAATTTATCTCTGGCTGTCGGCTTAGACAGAACAAGCGATGATCACATTGGACAAGCTTCTCGAAATGTTTAGTCAATATCCCTGGGGCACACTGCAGAAAATGTTGCCTACCATATCACAAAGATACAGAAACCATTATCAGTTTTAAAGTCTATACTTACGAGTTACGACTAAGGACATAAGAGATGTTCTTACCTGTTCATGCTGGCTTGACCATCGGTAAAATCCGATGTCGCCTGCCACAAAGTATGCTTTCTAGGCTGCGGATTAGTTTCCCTAAAAAACAACGGCCGCCTAGCCAGCTGAAAAACAGAACAAGACAATCAATCAAAACATAGGTCCTTTAAGGTCTACCAAACAAACGAATCGATCACAAGAACGCATTTTATACCACGATAGTCAGCGTTCCAGGTTCATCCTCCGGTAAATTAGCCTTCAAAGCCATAATATCAGACCACTGAATCTCAATCTTGCTCTTAAGACCTTGTTCCAACACTTCCCATACAAGTTTATGTTTTGCAAAATAACATTTCGCCACCAAATCACCTTCATACCTTGACTTATACTACAAACAAAAGCCAAACTCAGATTCCAAAACAAAATCCATAAAAACTCCAAACAAAAACCCAAAATTTGAACACTCACCTCCCATTGACCAATCCTGAGAACCGTAGCAGGAAAATTAGAAGCTTTAAGCTTCTCAACGGTTCCTAAACCAAAACAAAAACTTTCTTTCTTAACCGACTTTGACTCATCACCACTTTGAGAAAGTTTCATCTGAATCAGTTCTTGAAAAGATGGGCTCTTCTTTAAACTCAAACCCAAAGGACTTGGCTCTTCAAGTAGACTAAACTTAGAGACACTTGTTCCATTGTTGCTCCATATCTGAATTCATTTCAAAACCCAGAAAATAAAAATCCAAACTTTATAAAAAAAATCAAAGTTTTCACAAACAAACCTTTGATCGTTTGTTGAGAGGAGCGTGTTCTTCTTCAAGAGAATCTTCAAAGATCTCTAACTTCACCGGAAAATTGTTCCGATTCTCTGATCTCATCATCTCCACCATGAAAAATTCACAAAATTTGAAGAATTTATGCGAATGAATTTATAAACCCTGAGAATCTAAGAGAGTAACGAATTTTGATTTGAAGATCTAAAAAAACGCGAAGAAGACGCGATTGAAGAGCCACGCGCTTGAGAGATTTATTTATTTAATAGAAAAAAAGTTGAGTTTCTCGAAAATACCCAAATTGGCCTTTTTTGGTGTCTTGACTTAGGAGGCTATTTTTGTCATTTGCTTATTTGAATACTTGGTTGAGATAGGCTGTTTAGGTCCCACGTTTTGCTTTTTTAATGACGGCTATTGATGGATAATTTGACACGTGTCATATTATTCGGACGCTAGCTTCTTATCTGATTTCTCTTTCTCCTTTCTTCGGCTTTGGTCTGTTTTGTTTTGTCGTCACATACAGTAAAACCTGGACCAAGAAATTTTATTAATTTAGAGAGGTATTAATTTATCGATAAATATACAGAGATTTTCATAATTTTGTAATTTCTTACAAAAATTTCTATCTAAAAATAAATTTTTACTTTATAAACAATATCTTTTGAAAACTAATTACAAGTGGAGAAACAATTATTAAGTTAAAAAAACAAGACAAACTTTTTTCGAATAATAGAGTCATATTTCATCAAATGTTTTACATATAATATATTAAATATATATTATAGTAATTCATATATTATATATATATAAATTTATATAATGTGTATATATATATATATATTGAGAAGTTAATACAATTATTAATTTATGATATAGATGGGACCATATGTTTACATGAGATTTTCAAAAAAAATATTATCTTATTAATTTATCGATTTATGTCATATTTTACACTAGTCCCAACTCGGGACCGGCAAAATTTATTAATTTAGAGAGGTTATTAATTTATAGAGTATTAATTTATAGAGGTTTCACTGTATAATAAAATTGTTTCAATATTTGTAATGTATCACACCAAGCATTAGCAATTTTTTTATAATTTATGATGAAATTAGGATATTTAGTTTACTAATGTGTTTACATTATAGTGTTCCAATTTTAATTTTTTGTGTCTCTAATAGAAAAGGTTTAGAAGATGTTAATCAATCATAGATATTATTGACATTTGAATCCAATCATAATTCATTACTTTTTAGTAGATGTTAAAAACTGATGATTAAAATTTTGTTTTTAATCTTTTTTGACATTTTAAAACCTTTTTCTATTAAAATTAGGTGTTACATGAGTTAAAATTTATAAATTATGTTTTTTTAACATCTTTAATCAATTTACGTTTAGAATATTTTAAAATTTGGATCTTTTAATTCAATGTATAGGTAATTTAAATAAAATATTAATCATGATTTATATATTATTATAGCCTACAATGAATACAATCTACAATTTACTGTGTATTTTTTCTTTATCTCTTAATGAACTCTCATTATCAATGCATTAGCTAGTAAGTCACTATCTCAGCCGCAATTTATCTTGTAATGATTTTGACAAAAGAAAATGGATTTGGTTGGGACTTGAGAGTTGAAAAGAGTTATAAGTGAGCTTGGTGTGATTATAATAATTTGAAGTCTGCCTCTAATTTTCAACCCAATCACTGATCAATGACCAAACTCTTTGATGATGTATATGTTACACCTAGAATAGTATTTGTCATGCGAGACAAGAAAAAGAAGACACAAATATGAAACAAAATCAACTCATTGACCAAATTATATCACAATACAAAAGGATATTACCACAACTTTAGATTACAAAATGAGAATTGCAGATAAGAAAAGGTTCAAGCCTACTCTGCTTAAGTCGCCTTTCGATTGACTTTCAAGTATGGTAGAGCTCCGATCACGTTGTCATAGTCGCTCCGGTTCACTTCGGTCTGCATTTATAGAAGACAGAATACAAAGCTAGACATGTAAGAAAGAAGAGGGAAAAGAACAGAGCAGTGAAGTTGCTAATGAACAAAGCCGAAACAAATAATAACTTGAAGTTGTGATCATCAGATTGATGCCATAATTTTTTTTTTCTGTTTCTACTAGTTAATGATAATAGTGTCTCCCTCAATCACATTTCTAATGGAAGCCATTAAGCCAATGCAGATTTCAGTGTCATGGTTTCCATTTCACAATATTATTCTGCCAACGGATTAATCCCCCATCTTAAGAGATTCAACCAGAGGTGCACAGAGACAAATGCACAATGAAAGACGCGAAATGTGGGTTTTGACAAACGAAACCGTGCATTCCCAAGATATTAGCAGCCAAGTCTCAGACTTCATAACTAGGTTGAAAATATGAGTTTTATTTTTGCCAAGAGCTCGATCTTTTCCCAACGAATCATACCCCACGCTTAAACATTCAGCAAAAGCCACTCACAGCTAATCACTAAGGCTTAGAAAATATGAATCCATTTCACACACACACAAAACTATATACCCATCACGATATGCAGAATCAAACAATGAACCTAAAGGGAAAAAGAATGTAGTTTGCAAACAGAAACAAGATTGAAGAAATAGAAAACAAACCATTTTCGATAGACGCAATTTCCTCTTGTTGTTCTTCTTAGCTAACAAATGCTGCTTTCCGGATCTCCTCCTCACAATCTTCCCCCTACCCGTCACCCTAAACCGCTTCGCTGAGGCCTATCAACAAAATACATTACACATTCTCATAATTCCATTCAACAAAATACATTACACATTCTCATAATTTCACTCAACAAAATAGATTACACATTCTCATAATTTCATTCAACAAAATACATTACACATTCTCATAATTTCATTCAACAAAATAGATTACACATTCTCATAATTTCATTCAACAAAATACATTACACATTCTCATAGTTTCATTCAACAAAGACTTAACACCAATCAAGAAAAGCAAACTCCTTTGCTTTACCAATTCAAACCTTCTAAAGCTAACATGAAGTTCATAGTTTCAGTAATCTTAAACTTCACCAGATATACTCTTAAGTCTTAACACTATGACACCAATAGACACAAGAATAACCAGTGAACCGAAGAAAAATCCAAACTTTCGAAGCATTGATTCCAATTTCCGCCACTAAACTCTCCAAATCATAGTACTTAACTTCAATTTCAGCTCTAACTATACCAAAAACCAGAAATGCAGAGAAAGAGAGAGATAGTGTAAAAGGACCTTGTGGGTCTTCAATTTGTAACCCTTATGAGCGAAAACGGTAAAAGACTGAAACTTTTGTGAATTGGGAGAAGCAACTGTAGAAATCTTCTGAGGAAAAACCGCGCGAAGCCCAGAAATGGAGTGACTTGAAGCAAGACTCTTCGCGAATTGAACGGAACTGCGAAGTGAAACCTTTGGAGGAGAAGAAGAGCGTAAAGGATGACAGAAGCTAACGTTAACGGAAGCCATTGAGAGAGAAGCCATTAGGGTTTGTGCTCTCGGCGATTCTTTGATTCTTTTGCACTCACTACGATTGAGAAAGAGATGATGAAGAAGATAAGCTTTTTGTGATTTGCCTTAGAGAGAAAGAGAGTTAACGGATGATGTGAAATCCGGTTTATTCCGGTTTAGATGAAAACCGGTATAGTTGGTTTTGCTCAAACTGAAAACACTTGGCCAAGTGTGCATAATACAGAAATCCAGTTAACGGTTTATTCCGGTTTAGATGAAAACCGGGATAGTTGATTTTGCTCAATTTGAAAACACTTGGCCAAGTGTGCATGATACAGAAAGGATTAAATCAATGAAAACCAAAAGATCACAACATCTTAACATTAATCTTTAAGCCAAAGCTTTTAAACACGCATTAATGGGTCTGATTATTGTTCTTGTGCTTGCTCAAACATACTCTAAGACAACCCTACCTAAATCTCACCAACGTTTTTTTAATGGATAAAACTATTATATTAATTGAGTAGTAAAACTATTTGTGGTAACCGGTGAAAACCGAAACTTTTTACAGTAAGGTTTGGATAGATATTTTGTATCCAAATCTATTAAAAAGTATTTTAAATTATCCGAAAGTATCCAAAATACCCAAAAATATATTATAATCCAAATACACTATACCTAAATCTATCCAAATTTCCTAAAAATACATGAAATACCCTTAAAAAATAGAATATCTAAATTATCAGAAAGTACATGAAATACTAGAAAAAAGAATTGTAATTTTGGGTATTTGGATTATTACATATAAAAATATTACTAATATTTTGGGGTATATACTTACATTTCAGATATATTAGGATACTTGTTCGATTCTTGGATTAGATTTATTTAGGTTTAACCATTTATGAGTTTGCTAGAGTTTTGCCTACAATATTTGTGAAATTGAGAAATATAAATGGAGAGATGGAGTCGGGTGTTTTGGTGGAATTCAGAGAAATTGTGAATCATATTGATGATTATATTCAAGATGAGGACAATCCTAGAATAATAATGGACGAGGTACATAAGATTTCGTTGGTTGATGTACGTTTTGGCAACATGGATCGCAACGAAAAAAACATCTTTGTCACAATAGAAGAAAACATACTGCACCTTATTCCTATTGATCATGAGATGTGTTTCGTCAATGCAAGGCAGAACTACAACATACGCTGCCCTTATTGGTTAGGCTTGAAGATGTTGGACTCAACGAAGTTTTATCTCAAGAATGTATCGATTATGTGGCAAATCTTGATGTGGATGCAGATATTGCGGTATGAATGAAATTTCCCAAGTAATACATTGAAAGGTTCAAAATCTTTACAACTTCTCTAAAGAATACAGTTTCACGAGCACATTGGGAAGATTGTTTCATATGAGTACAATGATCTAAGGTAAATAATTAAAAGCTTATGTATTCAATTACGTCGATTTTGCTTCATATTAGTGCAATGTAAGTACAATGATCTTATATAACTAATCAATTATTCAACTACGTAATTGATTGCTATTCTATAGAAAATGAGAAATGAAAAAGGTAAATAATTAAAGTCTTATTATCAAATATAAGTAAATAATATATCTAAAGGTTTCTTGCCGAGTTTCATATATATTAATTTGACTCTTAAAACCAAAAAAAATATCACATGATTTACTACGCCTCTCTTTCTCTAATCGACGTAATGTCGTGATTAAAAATAACATTTCTGTTTTTTGTCAAGAGTAAATAGCAAATACTTTCATTTATTGTTAGTTTTTTTTTTCATGCTAAAAGTTTTTGATGGCTTTTCTCTAAGCTAATTTCAATATATTATATTATTTCGTCATTTTTGGCTATCTTTAGTCTATCTCCGATGATTTAAGAAATATTTGTCTTTCAATCTTTTATGACTTCCGGCATTATTTCTTCTCTTTTTCTCTGTCACTCAATTGTCCCTTGTTTCTGCGAGAAATATTTAGGTACAATCTATATATAATAGCAATCTAATAAATACCATTTGCACATCTGAACGGTTGCGTCTTTTTATCGCAATCTTTCGTTTAAATTGGTTATTTTTACGGTTATTTTGGTTGCGTCTTTTTATCACAATTTTCGTTTTAATCGGTTATTTTTTTACGGTTATGTCGTTTCCAATAAATATCATTTGCACATCTGAATGGTTGCGTCTTTTTATTGCAACCTTTCGTTTAAATATTTATGGTTGTTTTTCTTACAGTTATTTTTGTACGGTCATGTTGTTTTATTGAATTTCTTTTTACGTAAACCAATAAACTACATATAAAATTGGTTTTATTTCATAGTTTACGTATGGATATATTTAGTAGTATAACCTCTTTAATTATATCATTCATTTAACATTTACGTGATATCATGGGAAAACAATAATATAGAGGTTTAAATAATTTTGGACATACGTGAATGAAATGAGCCCTACACATTAAAGCTGTAACGGACACGTTCGTCTACGTAATGGACTTATCGAATAGTTGTAAAATCGTGCCTTTTCAACTCTATATATTGTCTTTCTTTTCGAAACTCCAATTTTTTGTCCTGCTACAACGGTTATTTGTTCTAAGATGATAATAGGCAAACCCTATCCTTATTTAGTAGAACCATTGCAACATTTAGTTTATTTCATGAACAATTACAACTTTAAGTTTATTTTATAAATCTTTATAACATTTAATCATCTACTGTCGGTGTAACCTTTCATAAATTATTATTTTTAGTTCTTAATTTTTAATTATTAAAATGTATTTAAATGAGATTGTAACTATTTAATTGAACTGTTGCAATATTTGGATTATTTGACGAATCATTGCAACTTTTGGTTTTGTTTTACAAACCATTGTAATCTTTAGTATATTTGATGAACCATTGCAATATTTGGTATATTTGACGAACCGTTGCAGCTTTTGGTATATTTGATATCTACGGTCACGTCTCTCGGTTAAAGTTTGTCATATTTTCTAAAAAATATTTAATTACTAAAATATATTTAAATAAATTATTGTCACCGTTTAATTTAACATAGTAGCATTTGGTTTATTTGACGTTGAATATTTTGGTTTATTTATCAAACCGTTGTAACTTTTGGTTTATTATTTGATTCTTTTTGCATTAGGGAATAGTTTTTTAGTTACAAATTAATGTTTTTCTAATATTCATATAATTAATAAATGCTTGTGAGGGTTTTCTTTATCATAATTTTTGTAAAATATATATTGATTTGATATTTAAAAACAAATCAAAATTATTACAATTCATTATGATTTTTCGTTTGATATTTTTTAAACGATTTTTGAAATATATTCCCCCGCGACATCGCGGGGGTCTTGAGTCCTAGTAAGTATAATATAAATTATCTTAATGGAAGAAAAAAATATCAAATTTCTCTTCAAATATCTAACCTATTCTTTCATATTTCAAAACTACATATCTTTTTTATTTGATTAAAAAAAATTAGAAACTACATATTAAATTTCTGTTTCTATAATAAGAGTTGTTGCATATACTAAAATTTGCTTTTTCAAACCCGGTTCAGATTCCTTTTTAATTGTACCAAAACGATATTTATTATGGTTTGGCTTTTAAATTGGGGATGCTTCAGCATTAATACATGTTCTGCTATTTAAGATAAGTTATTATATTATTCACAATTTTCCAAACTACACAAGTTAGTAAACACATCTTGTTTGCTCAAAGATAGGACCGAAACATTTGAGGAAACGAGAAAGTGACATGAAACTCATTAGCAAAAGAAAGACAAAAAAAGATGAAACACTCACTCAACTTGCATACTTCCATGAACTTCTGGACTGCGTTATGATACTGAGTTCCCTACAACCATGCAACAAACATTAAGCATCTCCGGTCTCCCCCATCTTTCTCTCATTCGACGGTGAATTAGAGAGACGAAAAACACATCAGAACTTATTGAGAACTTATCCAAAAAAGGGCATCCAATCAACATTTTACGTATCTTCGTGAACTCGTAGTTAAGTTTCTGATTTTGATCACTATTCATGCACAACCGAAAATGGCTCTTCCATAAGCAAAACTAAAATTTTCTTCCTTTGTCAAATAACTCATCGATAAATGGATGCAGACTATGTTGACATGTTATATATGCAAAACGACACTTACCTCACAGTAGAGCTGATGGCAGTTCATGCACTGCCAAAATTTCAAATTTTAGTTTGGAACCTTTAAACTGCATCATGTTTAATATGATTTTTTTTTCATCTGAAAGATTTCATTTATAATTTGCACCAAGACATACACTTAGCCAGCAAGAAACACAATCCTTCCGGAGACGAAGAGTACGAGTTCATAGGAACCTCGCACATGGCTATAAGCCCCCAAACAGGGAGAGTAAAAGAGGAATGGTATTCCTCGAAGAAACACAGCATAATATAAGGCCAAATATAGTCCACAAAGGTGACATGACAAATAAGGACCAAGCACCTAAACAACCGGACCCGCGGCTAACTTTTCCAAAGAAAACTCGACCAAACGCTAATTGGTTGCCCATCCCAAAGACAAAAAATGAAGAGAGGCATCAATCATCAAAACTGAGGAGGGTTTGACTCTAGAACTCTCTCTTCTCCGACTCCAACAAGAGGGCAGGCCAAAGATGGATACCTCTAGGTGGATTTACCGAAGATATATGAAGCAGGCAATAGGAACAAACCTCCAAACTCCTAAGTAGATCGTTATCCTATTAGAATATAAATTTTTTTGAACAAATCACATTCTTTTTTTTTTTGTGTGTGTAAGATAGATAAGTAGTCTGAGTTTATGAATGAAATGTTGGAAATGGGTTTAAGACAAAGAGTACGGTCCATTAAAAAGTGATCGGCCCAATAAAAATATAACCAGCGACGATGAAGATGACCGGTTCAAAATTCCACTGTCCGTATGCATTATAAAATGGAAAACTGTTCATTAGAGATGTCAAAATTTGTGTACGAGAGAAGAGATCATCCCCGTTCTGTTAATGGAGGGACTAGATCGACCAGCAGCCGTAGCTGCAAAACGAAGCGGGAGTCCTAAATATAATGAGTGTGCTAAGGCCATGCGTCCGGCTTTGGTTGGATCTCCATTGTTGTTGCTGTCTCAAGAAGAGGGTGGTATTCGTCTGTGCAAGCCAGGCGAAGATATGTTTTACGAGACGACGACTGACTTTTCAGGGTATCGATTCCTGGCAAGCTCGGGTAAGTGGTTCCTGGTGGTAGATTCTCGATCGGATCTCTATATCATAGATGTGTTTAGCGATGAGAGGATCCGTCTTCCACCTTTAGAGTCAATCAATGGTGGCCTTTATATGGTTGAGCGAGTAGGATCTAATGAATTCAAGGTTACTTTAATTAGAGGCATTTTCAATGGTTCTTGTTCTGTTCACACTACCAAATATCTACGAGGTCTTTTGTGGGTAGACGACAAGAATGGAGACTATGTTGTTGTGTGGCAATTTGAGCAAGGCCAATTTTTAGGGTTTTGCAAGAAAGGGGATTTACATTACCGCGATATTCCAATACGAGTCGATGTACGCAGGGAGTTTCGAGGCCTAAAAGATGTGGTGCTTAAAGGTTATAGTCTTTACTCACTGGTGACTCGCAGCTTCATCCGACACATTGATTTGTCTGGACAAGATGGTTTCAAGGATGTATCCGTGATCCCTAGGTTTCCAATGTGGAAACCAGATACGCCTAGGGTTGATTTCGGAGTAACGGAAATAAAAAAGGTCATCTCTTTTAGCGATAGAATTGCTGTTACAACATCAGGAGAGGTTTTGTTAGTCTTTACCAAGGCTTACGAGCCATTCTGTGAAAGGTATAGGATCTTCCGCGTCTACAAGAGGGATCCTAAAGAGCTAGACCCGAATACATACGACACCAGTCTTGTTGAGATGGAATCTATAGGTGATGAAGCCCTGTTTTTCGATTTGGGTATTACCGTGCCTGCTGACCATACCCTTGGTATTGAGCCTAACTCCATCTATTTCACCCGTAATGACCGTTTCGGTCACAAGTACTGTTCCATTCCATGCCTGATCGACATATGTGTGTACAACATTGCAACAAGGACTATTAAACGCTTCCCTAGTCTCTCCAACTTAAAACTCAAGGATGCACAGTGGTTTCTCCCCTCTTGAGATTTGGTGTTCTCTTGCCTTGTCATTCTCCTGTTGAGACATTCACAGACTCTGCTTTGTTATCCTCTTTTTCTTTTTCATGTAGTATAATATTTGTCATTGCTAAGTGTTTAAAATACCTTTAAGACTTACGTTCCAAATTTCAAACCATTACTTCAGATCAAATTATCATACACTCGTTGTAAGCATTATTAAAGAGTTTTTTTTTTTTTAATGTCTTTGTGACAATCAAATCCTTATCGATGCCGGTCAGCAATTTCACTGCGCTTCTCACAAAGATTGAGAGCTCCAAGTTAGAAAGATGAATAAGAAGAGAGCATTGAGAGTACTGTCACAACGATCACAAGAGAATATGAGAGTCAAAAAAAAAAAGTCTGGTCATTCTTTTAATTTTTCCATTTTTCTCAATTATGCAGCCTAAATTCCCAAAAATCAATCATATATAATTAATATAATTAGATAGTCTTCTCTCTTCTTGTTTCCAAAAAAAAAAACAAGCCTTCTCTCTTCTTAAAGTGTCCGTCCACCTAATCAACACAATATTTTTCGCATTAAAATATATTCAAAATGTTTATTTAATGTATATTTATGTTACTTATAATTAATAGAAACTTTTATTAAATAAAAAACAAAATATGCAAAATAAATGAAATTTAAAATAGTAAAAACAATACTTTTAGTTTTTTACTAGATATAATAATATAATTCATTTTTTAACGAGAACAAAATAAAGAATATTCCTATTTTAAATTTTTGAATGTGTTAATGAGTTTTATAATGGAAGTAAAATTTAAATGCATGGTAGAGTAAAAAGCAACTATGTAATTGTGTTTCTAAAATTTTGAAGAAGAATTTTTTTTAAAATGAAACATTAATTTCTAAAAACAATATACTACAAAAAGAATTTATTTATTACTAAATACTCACTTCAAAATGAAAATATTACTAAAATCATCAATTTTAATTTAGGATAAACAAATTAAAAGATTACTAAACTCATCAATTTTAATTTAAGATAGACATTGTTAGGTCACACTTTTTTGTGAAATTATTACAAAAATCTTGAAATATTTTAAAATATTATAATATATTTTCTAACAAAAATAATTATCAATATTCATATTATTCATGAGTTGTACAACCAAATATACAAGAAATAATATGTAAGCCGGTTAAAAAAGTGATATGTAGTTTGTATAACATATCTCAAGTGAAACTATAATTTTATTAAAAACATGTTTGAGATGTGAATCAAATGCTTTTAACACAAAAAATCAGCAGAAACAAAACATTTAAAGTAGATTAACAAGTTCATTTTTTAGAGGATGAAGTTGAGGTTACATCACAAAATTAACATTTCAAAATAACAAAAAGCGACACGTAAAGAGTGATTTGAGGTCACGAAGACTACTATTATAGATGAAAATGAAATCACATTGTTTAGTGTTAGATGTGTAAGTGTTGTAAAAGACAAAAACTATAATTTTCACAAGCATGGAAAATCAAACTCCTCCAAAAATAATTTTTTTTTTATGGCAACTAGTTCAAGATCCTTGGCAGTTACTTCTAAACTAGCTCATCATAGGATACGATACGATATTATCTGTCAACGATGTGAGATGGTAGAGGAAACAATTAATCATGTGCTCTTTGAGTGCCCACATTCTCGAGGGTGTTTTCCTCTAACTTCGGAATATTCAAACCTAGATTACCTTTATTGGAGGTTACCACCTCCTTTGGAGGGGAGGGAGAAAAATTACTGTTACGCTTGGATTTTGTGGTTCATATGAAAAGATAGGAATAGAAAGGTTTTTAAAAGATTACAATCCGAACCCATAGATATTTAAAACCATGCTCTGAGTAAAAAATTAATGTGGGAAGAAGCTCAATTGGATCCGATTGAATCTACTGCTATTAGGAAATCTTTGGATGTTCTAATTCAAACGATAAGATGTCGGATTGATAGCTCATGGAAGTGTTCGGATTCAACTATGGGTCTTGGTTGGTGGTGTTTTCAAGGAAATGATCATACAATTATGTTTGGTTCTAGGTGTCTTCGCAGGTGTCCTTCCTCCCTTCACTCGGAGTGTGAAGCATTAATTTGGGCTATGAAAACTATCCTTTCAAGAAGGATTGATTGTCAAGCGTTTGAAACAGATAGTTCAGAGGTAGTCTCGATGGTTCAGTCTCCTGAAGAATTGCCCACTTTCTCCAATCTGCCAGATGATTTTGGTTTGTTCCGTGCTTCATTCCCCCTTTTCTCGCTTTCTTCTATTTCTCGTTGATGTAATTCTAAGGCGGATTGTTTAACTCGATCTTCTAGACTTTTACTTTCGGAAGTTACTTTTGTAAATTCTTCTCCTCCTGATTGGGAAACCACTCATGGAGTTACTTTTTAATTAATGTGTGGTTGACAAAAAAAAATAACTTTTTAATTGCAATTAGACATTAAACTATGAAATTAAGTTTTTTTACTGAAATTTAAACACATTTTGCACAATAACATGCATAATAAGAGTTTATATATAAATAGTAGTGATACATCGACAACACTATCAGAGACTTATATACTACGAATTGTAAGAAAAAAAGTGTAAACACTTAAAGTTTGAAATAAAATAACAATTAGAACATACTAATATATTACTAAACTCACACAATTTTCTAGTATAAACTAAAGGGAGAAAAAATAGAATGTGTGTAATATGCAAAAACTATAGATACAAAAAGATGTATAATAGGTAATGATGTATTAAGGGGTAGTTTAGTATATACGTATTGTAATAAATACAGAGAATTAAATAGCCAAAAACTTTTCTGGTCATCTGATGAATTCTACAAAAAAATTATTTTATTATAACTCGATAACGATAATTACACAATTATGTAGGCGTGAAACCTATGTCAGATACTAAATTTTTTATTGTAAGGTTTTTCTTATAAATATAATTGAAGATTTATTGTAAACAAAACAAATTAACAAGGATAACCGCATAAACACTTTTTTTCTCCTTGGGGAGTAGGCACGCCAGTAGAGCCTCCTTTTGGATACTTCTTTATACACATAGACAAACACTCATTGCAAAATAAATTACAAAGGTCTTTACCCTTAATTTATTCCCAACACTTTCTTTTTCTTTGATTCACATCTCCCACCACTCCTGTCATATGTTTCAAATATAACATTTTAGTCTCTGTACTTAATATATATATAATTATTCCGCTTATTGAGAAGACTAATGTTTTGAAGAGTTAACTATATTAATATTAATTGAAAATATTATATAAATTTTCATAGAATATAAAATCTATTTTTAACAAAATTTCATAAAATTAGATATAAAAGCGTAAGTAAAGTCAGAAATAAAAACATAACTTCAATATTTATGAAAATGAAATATTTTTCGATACATTAATCTATGCAACATGAAAACAAAAGTACTATTGTTTTAAAATAAAATAAAAATAAAGTAAAATTTATTTAACCAATTCAAGTCATAATAATTCTTCATAATATGTAAGACCATATAACTTTATCAATTAGGGAGTTCCAAAAATATATATGGGAATCAGTTTGCTGTATAGATATATAACTAAAGTATGTATTTGACATTAAAAAAGAAGAAGGCTAAATTGATATTGTGGCATTATATACTAAACAAAACAAATTGAAACCTATTTACATATATAAAAGGTGAGTTGGTATTTCACAGAATTAATATCCAATTAAAAAATTTGTTACTATAAATGTAAATACAAACCTAAAACAAGAATAGTAAAAATAATCAGAATGATGAGTGAGAGTTGAAAACTTTTCTTCATCCTAAATGATAGAAATAATTTTATAGTGTTTCGAAAAATTGAAAAGAAAGCACAAAGTGTAGTTAGATGATTTAAAAAAAGAAGAACAATGTTTAGTTATATTTATAAAAAAATTAGATGTATCTTCTAATTAGACATATCTAATTTAAGCTATGTACCATTTTAAAATTCTGAAATAAAAGGATCTAGTTTTACCAAAGTTCCAGATGATTTTCTTATATGATAAGTAGTAAAAGCTTTTTACTCTGCATGTTTTCCCTTCTTTATCGTATTTTTCTCCCAAAATTTAACTGAAACAATGAACATTCTCATGGCCATATGCTCTCTTTTGGTATAGACTCCGACCTTGTCCGACGGTCAATGTGATACACTGGAATGATAGAAATATTTGTTTCATAATCCTATTACTAAACATGTGTACTACTCTAACTACACTAATAACGAATAATGGACTAAATTCATCTGTTTTTGTCTCCTGCCAAAGAGATTATCTACATATTTCCGAAATTCTTTTGGTATGAAAAAAGTCTCTTTCATCTCACTATTTTCTGCACTTACATTGAGCTAATAAGGGCATCAATGAATCTCGGTGCAAAAAATACCTCCAAACGAAGGTTTATGAATTTAGATAACAATGCTCAAAACATAAGCTGTTTCATATTGTTGTAAAAAATGATGTTCATGTCTCATTAACTCTAATGCCACTTCAAAGCCATGGAGTTGTAGATCATGTAGTGGTCAGAATCAAGATTGAGTATAAATGGCATGATTGCTCTGGTCCTAACCAAAGCAATTGATGGCTCCAACATTCTCATAACCAGGCCGCTTCTATCTCCACACAAAGACTAACATTGGTAGCCTGATGTCAATGTCTGTTAGATCATCAATCACTGCTGCTTCTGTTAGATCATAAATCTTTCTGTAATTTTGACGCTTAAATCGACACAAAATTAAAACTCCATAATTTTTTTAGATTATCATAAAACTTCAAACAAGTAGATCATCAATCACTGCTGCTTCTGTTAGATCATCAATCTTTCTGTAATTTTGACGCTTAAATCGACACAAAATTAAAACTCCATAATTTTTTTAGATTATCATAAATCTTCAAACAAGTAGTATTTAAGTCTAATTTAAACTTAACATTATAGTAATCAAAACATAACACTTGTGGTCATTGTAATTCAACATGCAGCTGAAAACATCAAGCTCTTCTTCATCAAGTTTGACCTCTTGTCCAAGTAGACCAAAGATGCTTGCCGTTTTCGTCGCATCCTCAAAACTATTGAAAGTTTTGAAACAAAAGTCTCCAAACACAATAGGGACAACCTAAACAACACAACAATCTATGATGAAGTTTAAGACTTAAGAGATTGATAATATAAATATATAGACTGAAAATTACCTTAACCACCTCAATTTTTTTTGAGATGAGATTTGAAGAGAGACTTTTGATCATGAAGACTTGTTTGAAGTTGACAAACTCTCCCTTCTTGAGCTTGTCAAGAGCCTCCATAAAATTTGAGAGATCATTCATCAAGAATCTATCCTTCCCCTTCTTCTCTTCATCCTCACCAAAGCTCATAGTCTCTAAGCTTAGGTTTTGAAGCTCCGTGGTTACATCTCCCATCAACTTAGCCAAACCAACATTCTTGAGATTAGGAGTGAGAAGTATAAACTTGTATTCAATGTTCTTGCTCATCTGACCGAGCTTATGTTTTAATTGATGGACGAGGTACATAAGATTTTGTTGGTTGATGTACGTTTTGACAACATGGATCGCAACGAAAAAAAACATCATTCTCGCAATAGAAGAAAACATATTGCGATTTGTTCCTATTGATCATGAGATGTGTTTCGTCAATGTAAGGCAGAACTACAATTTGTGCGGCCTTTATTGGTTAGGCTTGAAGGATGGTGGTCTCGACGTAGCTTTATCACAAAAATGTATAGATTATGTGGCAAATCTTAATGTGGATGCTGATATTGCGGTGTGAATGAAACTTTCCTAAGTAATACATTGAAAGGTTCAATATCTTTACAATTTTTCTAAAGAAAACAGTTGCACATATACATTGGCAACATTGCTTCATATGAGTGCAATGATCTGAGGTAAATAATGAAAAGATTATGTATTCTATTATGTCGATTTTGCTTCATATAAGTGCAATATAAGTACAATGATCTTATATAACTAATCAATTATTCAATTACGTAGTTGATTGCTTATGTATTCCATAGAAAAAAAGAAATGAAAAAGGTAATTAATTAAAGTCTTATTATCAAATATAAGTAAATAATATATCTAAAGGCTGCTTGCCGATTTTCATGAATATTGACCCTTAAAACCAAAGAAAAAATATCACGTGATTTACCACGGCTCTTTTTCTCTAATTGACGTGATGCCGTGATTAAAAATATCATTTATGTTTTTGGTCAAAATAAATAGTAAATACTTTCATTTATTTGTTGTTTTTTTCATACTAAAATTTCTTGATGGCTATTCTGGGAGCTAGTTTCAATATATTTTTTTTTGACAATGAGCTACTTTCAATATTAATATATTATTTCGTCATTTTTTTTGCTATCTTTAGTCTATCTTCGATGATCTAAGAAATATTTGTCTTTAAAATTTTTATGACTTCCGGCTTTATTTCTTCTCTCTTTCTCTGTCACTCAATTGTCCCTTCTTTTCGCGAAAAATATTTAATTACAATAAGTATAGTATAAATTATCTGAATGGAAGATTGAGGAGAGTTTTACCGACAAGAGGGCAAGCGAGAGATGGATACATCTAGGTGGTTTTACCAAAGATGAACATGCAATAAGAACAAACCTCCAAACTCCTAAGTAGATCGTTATCCTAATTTTTTTTGAGCAAATCACATTTTTTTTTTTTTTGTAAGATATAAGTAGTAGTATGAGTTTATGAATGAAATGTTGGAGATGGGTTTAACACTCTTCCTTTTGACTCGTTATAAGACGAAGACGGACCATTAAGAGATTATCGGCCCAATACGAAGACGATCCATTAAAAAAGTGATCGGCCCAATAAAAAGATAACTAGCGACGATGAAGATGACCGGTTCAAAGTTCCACTGTCCGTATACGTTATAAAAGGGAAACACTATTCATTAGAGATGTCAAAATTTGTGTACGAGAGAAGAGAAGAGATCATCCCCGTTCTGGTAATGGAGGGACTAGATCGACCAGCAGCCGTAGCTGCAAAACGAAGCGGGAGTCCTAAATATAATGAGTGTGCTAAGGCCTTGCGTCCGGCTTTCGTTGGATCTCCATTGTTGCTGCTGTCTCAAGAAGAGGGTGGTTGTTGTCTATACAAGCCAGACGAAGATAAGTTTTACGAGACAAAGAGTGACTTTTCGGGGTATCGATTCCTGGCAAGCTCGGGTAAGTGGTTCCTGGTGGTAGATTCTCGATCGGATCTCTATATCATAGATGTGTTTAGCGATGAGAGGATCCGTCTTCCACCTTTAGAGTCAATCAATGGTGGCCTTTATATGGTTGAGCGAGTAGGATCTAATGAATTCAAGGTTACTTTAATTAGAGGCATTTTCAATGGTTCTTGTTCTGTTCACACTACCAAATATCTGAGAGGTATTTTGTGGGTAGACGACAAGAATGGAGATTTTGTTGTTGTGTGGCAATTTGAGGAAGGCCAATTTTTAGGGTTTTGCAAGAAAGGGAATTTACATTACCGCGATATTCCAATACGGGTGGATGTTCGCAGGGAGTTCCGAGGCCTAAAAGATGTGGTGCTTAAAGGTTACAATCTTTACTCCCTGGTGACCCGTAGCTTCATTCGACACCTGGATTTGTCTGGACAAGATGGTTTCAAGGATGTATCCGTGATCCCTAGGTTTCCAATGTGGAAGCCAGATACGCCTAGGGTTGATTTCGGAGTAACGGAAATAAAAAAGGTCATCTCTTTTAGCGATAGCATTGCTGTTACAACATCAGGAGAGGTTTTGTTAGTCTTTACCAAGGCTTACGAGCCATTCTGTGAAAGGTCTAGGATCTTCCGCGTTTACAAGAGGGATCCTAAAGAGCTAGACCCGAATACATACGACACCAGGCTTGTTGAGATGGAATCTATAGGTGATGAAGCTCTGTTTTTCGATTTGGGTATCACCGTGCCTGCTGACCATACCCTTGGTATTGAGCCTAACTCCATCTATTTCACCCGTAATGACCGTTTCGGTCACAAGAACATTTGCATTCCATGCCTGATCGACATATGTGTGTACAACATTGCAACAAGGACTATTAAACGCTTCCCTAGTCTCTCCAACTTAAAACTCAAAGATGCGCAGTGGTTTCTCCCCTCTTGAGATTTGGTGTTCTCTTGCCTTGTCATTCTCCTGTTGAGACATTCCCAGACTCTGCTTTGTTATCCTCTTTTTCTTTTTCATGTAGTATAATATTTGACATTGCTAAGTGTTTAAAATACCTTTAAGACTTACGTTCCAAATTTTAAACCATTACTTCAGATCAACTTATCATCACTCGTTGTCAGCATTACTAAAGAGTTTTTTTTGTTTTGTTTTTTAATGTCTTTGTGACAATCAAATCCTTATCGGTGCCGGTCAGCAATTTCACTATGCTTCTCACAAAGATTGAGAGATCCTGTTAGAAAGATGAATAAGAAGAGAGCATTGAGAGTACTGTCACAACGATCACAATAGAATATGAGAATCAAAAAAAAAATTCTGGTCATTCTTTTAATTTTTCATTTAATCAACACAATTTTTGGCATTAAAATATATTCAAATGTTCATTTAATGCATATTTATGTTACTTATAGTTAATAGAAACTTTTATTAAATAAAAAACGAAATATGCAAAATAAATGAAATTAAAAATAGTAAAAACAATACTTTTAGTTTTTTTTATTAGATATAATAATTTAATTCATTTTTAACGAGAACAAAATAAAAATTATTCATACTTTAAATTTTTGAATGTGTTAATGAGTTTTTGATGTATAATATGTAATGATGTATCAAGGGGTAGTTTAGTAGTATATATTGTGATAAATACAGAGAATTAAATAGCCAAAAACTTTTTTGGTCATCTGATGAATTCTACAAAAATTATTTTATTATAACTGGGTAATTACACAATTATGTAGGCGTGAAACCCATACTAAATTGTTTTATTGTAAGGTTTTTCTTATAAATATAATTGAAGATTTATCGTAAATAAAACAAATTAACAAGGATAACCGCATAAACACTTCTTTCCTCCTTGGGGAGTAGGCACACAAGTAGAGCCTCCTTTTGGATGCTTCTTTATACACATAGACAAACACTCATTGCGAAATAAATTACAAAGGTCTTTACCCTTAATTTCTTCCCAACACTTTCTTTTTCTTTGATTCACATCTCCCACCACTCCTGTCATATGTTTCAAATATAACATTTTAGAAGACAAATGTTTTGAAGAGTTAACTATATTAATATCAATTGAAAATATTATATAAATTTTCATAGAATATAAAATCTATTTTTAACAAAATTTCATAACATCAGATATAAAAGCGTAAGTAAAGTCATAAATAAAAACATAACTTCAATATTTATGAAAATGAAATATTTTTCGATACATTAATCTATGCAACATGAAAACAAAAGTACTATTGTTTTAAGAAAATAAAAATAAAGTAAAATTTATTTAACCAATTCACGTCATGATAATTCTTCATAATATGTAAGACCATATAACTTTATAGCTCCAAAAATATATATCGGAATCGGCAATTTTCTGTATAGCTATATAACTAAAGTGTGTATTTGACATTAAAAAAGAAGAAGGCTAAATTGATATTGTGGCATTGTATTCTAAACAAAACAAATTGAAACCTATTTACATATATCAAAGGTGAGTTGGTATTTTACAGAATTAATATCTAATTAAAAATTTTGTTAACTGATTTTTGATAAACTAGATTCTCAAGCAACAATTATATGTAATATATAAAAAACATACTAAAAATGTAAATACAAACCTAATACAAGAATAGTAAAAATAATCAGAATGATGAGCGAGAGTTGAACACTTTTCTTCATCCTAAATGATAGAAATGATTTTATAGTGTTTCGAAAAATTGAAAATAAAGCACAAAGTGTAGTTAGATGTTTTAAAAAAAGAAGAACAATATGTAGTTATATTTATAAAAAAAAAATTAGATGTATCTTCTAATTAGACATATCTAATTTAAGCTATGTACCATTTTAAGTTCCGAAATAAAAGGATCTAGTTTTACCAAGTTCCAGATGTTTTGCTTCTATGATATGTAAAAGATTTGCACTTATATCGAGCTAATAAAGGCATCAATGAATCTTGGTGCAAAAAATATATCCAAAGGTTTATGAATTTAGACAACAATGTTCAAAACATAAGCTGTTTCATTTAAGATATTCACAAATTGGCTGCCAAAACAGAGTGTACATTAGCCATATAAACACTACCAAAGCACCCTGGAATTATTATTATTATTATTTTGTTTGCTCTTTTGATACATTAAATAGTTGTTTTGTTGCAACTATGAATGATTTTTGGATTCAGGCCTGTTTTAAAATTTTTATTTGATCTTTTAGCATCACATCAGATCCTCTGATATGTCTCGTTCACAATCTCAAGTTCCTAGAGTTTCCTTGTGATTGAAGATTTAATGGGCATCCTATGTCAACTTCATTTTTCTTTTAAAATATTAAAAAGGTTAGTTTGTTTTGTCCTCAAATTCAATTCATGATTTAACTCATAAATTTCTACTATATATGTTTGTGTGCATTGATTAAGAATCTATGCACAGTTCTCTTAGATTCTTAAAAATACATTGTCGTCACCAAGTTTTTATGAGTTCCTAGTAATATAAAACAATTTGACAAGACAAATCTTTGCAAGTGTTCATCTAATGTACACTTAAAGACGATATCAATCTCAATTTCTTTTGGGTAAAGATAATAACTTCCAACATATATATGTCTGTCTGATAGAATTTTATTCAAATGAAAAAGGAGTTACTCTATTTCACCAGTTTGTAAGCAAACTCAAAATTTTTATTGGAGTTATATATCATCCCATTAGATACATTTTAATTAAGATGTTATGAAATTTGATCACTGAATCATGAGAATATATACACTAGATAGCCAAATTTTAGCCTCTTATTTTTGCAAATAAAATAAAATATGGAGAAATTGTAAATAAGTTGGCTCAACTATCATATGTGTTTTTTAAAAATAATATAAATTTCAAGCATATTTTAACAAATATTATTTTACCTCACTCACACAGTATTTTACATGATAGCGTACTACATGTTTTCTCACACGCAAAAAAAAACAAACACACCATATATTTATGGTTTGGCAATTGTATTTTATTGTCTGGTAGTTTGCTAGAACACTAAATATGATTATCCAGCAGATAATTTGTAATAAAGTGGCATTTAATTGATCATATGGGAGATTCATGTCTGAATCATAAACCAAAGTAAAATTCGGAATTTTAAGTACAAAATATTATAAGAGGCATATCTATCTAGCTACTATTTGTAAGTGTATAATTGTATTTGTTCTCACTTTAATATAGATGAAGAGAGTTAATGAAATAGAGTGCAAAAGATTATATATTGTATAATCTGATTTTGAAAGATACTAGGATTCAACTCGCGGTTCACCGCGGGCCTCGGTTTTATGCGGTTTTCTTATAAGAGATTTGATTATGTTTTTTTTTTTTTTTTTTTGTCAACCACACATTTATTAGAAAACTCCTTGATCGGTTGCCCAATTATGAGGAGAATCGTTTACAAAAGTAGTTTCAAAAAATAAAAGTCTAGAAGAACGGGCTAAACAGTCCGCTTGTAGATTACAAGAACGAGAGATAAGGGAGAGTGAGAAAGAGGGAATGGAACCTCAGAGCAGACCAAACTCTTCTAGTAGGTTGGAGAAAGCTGGCCATTCATCAGGTGACTGTACCATCGAGACCAATTCTGAACAGTCTGTTTCAAACGCTTGACAATCAATCCTTCTTGAAAGGATATTCTTCATAGCCCAAATTAAACCTTCCATCTCCGAGTGAAGGGGTGAGGGTGATCTCCTAAGGCATTTTGCACCAAGTAGTATAGTTTGAGCGGTCCCCTGAAAACACCACCATCCTAAACCCATAGTTGGATCCGAAGATTTCCATGAACCATCTATCCGACATCGAAATGAATGGATTGGGAGTTCTAGTGTCTCCGTTAAGGTATTTATTTCGGTCGGTTCCACTTGAGCTTCTTCCCACAGTAATTTCTCACTCAAAGCATGGTTTAAAATATCTGTGGGGTCTGATTGTGTTCCTTTAAAAACTTTTTTATTCCTGTCTTTCCATATGAACCACAAAATCCAAACAGAGCAATTCGTTCTTCCCCCCCCCCCCCCCCCCAATCTTGAGGAGATGGTAACCTCCAATAAAGATAATCTAGATTTGAATGTTCCGAACCTAGAGGGAAGCAACCTGGAATCATTGGCACCGGGGATAATTCCCATATTTTATATTGGTTGGTTGTTATTTAGTGATTAGAAGAATGTGTTTTAATATGTTTAAATATGTGTATTAATTAGTAAATGTGTATGTAATTTTAATATAGGTAAAGTAGTTATTAAAATGTGAAATAGTAAAAGTGGTGTAATTGTTTTTGTCATTATAAGTGTTCTTTTACTATATGATCTTCTCTATCTCTTTCTCTCTTCATCGTCATTCATCATCATCATGATCATCATTCATCATCATCAGCATCATCGGCATCATCATGATCATCATCATCATTCATCATCATCAAATCTCAGGATCTTCAAGGTGGTTCTTCTCGTTCGTAGCTACCTTCTAGACTGTGATTTCCAATCTTTGAACTCTCGGTGAGTTTCTAGGTTGGGTTTTATCTCTCTTTCGGAAATCCCGTCACACCTCCGCTTTCAGAATTAGATCAATTTCATTAGCTTATCAGTTTTAATCAATTTGGGTAACAACAGAGGATTGCAAGAGCTGCTGAGTCCACGAGTTCTTCCCCATCAGTAGCTTTCGGTGATAGAACCCTAATCCATGATGATGAATTCACTCAAGCCAAGGTTATATTGTTGTCAAGCTAGCAAATCCCTAATCAAGAGTTTCTTCAAATTCAGTGTGTCAATATAATCGAGCAATGAGTGAAGTAGGCGAGATTGTTGGTGAATCCTATTTTCACGTTTTACTTAGGGAGATAAATCTTCACTTTCGATCAATTCATGTCGTTTTCTTCTTATATTTCATCAAGTATCGGGCAAGCATGGAAATCTAAGATTTATTCTTTCAGGCAAGCATAGAAATTTTCGATTGGTGCTCGAAATGCTAAAGAACATGCATCTGCCAAGAAATTCCTGGTAATGTTCTATTTCTTCATTTGGTTGCTAGATATCAATTAGTCACAATTTCGAAATGTTAACTATTGTGGTTAGTGATAGCATCTTCCTATCTCAGTTCTTCGATTTGTGGTTTTTTACATATAGACCAAAGTCACGGTCTTTTTTTGTTCTTTTCACAATTTTTTTTTTATCAGAATTTGCAGATATTTAACCAAAGAAACAACAGATAAATGTTCTGTTTCTTGAAGGTGAGTTCTTCACAAAACTGGATGGTTCGATATGAAGCAGATAGTACGCTCTTTATATTCATACATCAAATGCCTTTTGGACCAAGAACAATAAGGTTAGTTATCGACGAAGCTATATTTTAATACAACTTTTCTCATGTTATCATTCGTCTAATAAACATCTTGGCAAACATGCATCCTTGTATGTCTCGTAGACAACACATTTGTAAGTCCTTAAATCTTCATCGCATGTTGGACCTTTTAGAAAACGAAAGAGAAGTTTCAAATGTGAATCTCTTTCCATCTTATTTGAAAGAAATGTTGTCCTCTACTCTTGATTGTTCTTTGCCTTCTTTGAGAACATTTTTCCTCTTTGATTCCATGTAAAATCTGTTTTCTTTTAGATATAAAGGTTAGTAATAAGTTATAGTAGCTTTAATATGAAATTCAATTAATACATATTCTTGAGTTAGTTGAATAACTTGAAATAGTCCAATAAATAGAAAATAGATTTAATTTTTTTGATGACGTTTGATTTAATATTATCATTGGTTTAGGATCGGAATAACTTTACCTCAATCATCTCAAAGACCCCTTTGATGGTTTCTTTTGTTCCCTGCCAAATTACAAAAATCAATATTTTCATTTAAAAAAGGATACAAATCAATGTTATACAAACAATTGCTTTTGAATGATTTATTTAAAAAGCTTACATGTCGAAGGTTTCACCAAATTTTGTGGTGTATGTCTTCCAGGTACGAAAAACTATCACTTGGATTGGTCGTAAATGTTTTCCATGTTTGCAAGACACTGACTTGCACTTACCAACCCATTTTGTACGGCTTCACATCATCAAGGAAAGCAAAAGATGAGACATTGTCAAAAGGAGAAGAAAGAGACGTTTGCTGTGAATAGAGGTAATTGCTGGATGAAAATGGTATATGAGAATGACGTTAATATATAGTGTAGAAGGAGGGTAGGGTTTTTGGCTCCAGTATCTTCGAAAATCTTGGAGAGAAAGTTAAAATATCTTAAATATTAACGAAAATATATTTTTGACAAGGTATCGAAATGAATGATACACGGATTTAAGGGAAATAAAGATATTGAGTAGTAGGTTATAGTTAGGATTTAAGAGGAGAGAAGATTTTAGAAATATTTGTTTATCAATTAGGCGAGATTCATAGATATCTTCTTATAATTAGTGCGAATATGCTTTTATAAGATACCATAAACGATAAATGGTTAGGATTGCATGTTATATTTTTGTAGATGATCAAACCCGATTACTTATCCGTTTTAGTATTTGAACCACTAATCACCCGTTTAGGAAATGCGCGGACCCTATGATTTTAATGAGACTTTTTGACCAAATTATCCTTTTCGATTTTGATTAAGCCTTTGCAAATGCCAAAATTGAAATTGAAATTGATGGCAATTTAGACCATTTTTCAATTTGTACTTCCCTTTTAATAATAAGGGGATTATAAATTTGCACAAACTAGATCCAATAACTTAAGAAAAAAGGGAATGGAAAACATAGGAGAAGCATGGCATATGCAATAAAAATGGTGGTCACAATATAATCATTTGGCTAAGCACATGAATGCTCATCATTTGGTCTTTCTTTGCTTATATACTTAACAACACCAAACGCCAAACACAATGTAGAGTAATCTAACTTATCTTTCACTTTCGGCATTATAAATTTGCGATGGTTTCAATAATATAAGTAATTATTATCTTACATACAATTTTTTTTACAACAATCATTATATACATTACTCTTTTTTTGGCTAAATACATTACTTTGTTTTTTAGCTAAATATATACATTACTTCGTTACATTATATAGCGTCATTATCACTCTTATACAAAATTCGTGAGTGCGGTTAGGTAAGCTCGTGGTTTGCTTACCAGTTTGTTTACATGTAATACTAGTGTAATTAGTCTTTTCTCTTTCCCTTGGTCGTGTTAGATATATTAATTTACTTTGTTATGTTTGGCTACATATATCAATGAATGAATTAATAAAGTTATGATCTCTATTCATATACTTCTCCATATCTTCTTAAAACATTTAACTGTGAGTCTGATTTGGTGACTGGTGGAGTTCAAATAGTGGAAACAAAAAGTAAAAGAACTTAACCAAAAATAGAAGTAAGAGAGAAACCGTAAAGGAGATGAATTAATTTCTCCCCACTTAAGAAGAGTAACGAGAAAGAGACTAAACCTTTTTCCAAACAAAAGAATTTTATTTCAGTGATGGAATCCTATGTTGTTCAAAACAAATAAGTCTAATTTGTTTGTAAATTATATTGAAAATATTTAAGTTAAAATTTTATAAAGCATGAATCTATACTATTAATTGGGAATCATTCTAACTTAAATAACCTTATAAAGTGTAAGATATTACAAAGATTGCCATTAGTTTTTAGTGTTTTTAAATAACTTCATTAAGGGTACAATAGTAATCACAAAATTAATATATTTAAATTAAAAATAGTTTAATTCTTTTAAATAATTATTAATTTCCAAAAAATTAAACTAACTTTCTCCCTCCTATTAATTATAAACGAAAATTTGAAATTAATTTTTAAAAAATTGTTAACCAATGAGAATTGAAAAAATAAGATTTGATATCCAACTAAGATTTTATCTAAACCAATCGTAATAGACTATTCTATATCAAAAATAAAAAAAAAATTAATATCATTTTAATTCAAAATTAAAAACACTATCGTTTAAAAGATTTATCAATGGAGGACTTTAAGATTGAATTTAAAATTTCATAAGAAAATTAAATACAAATATTTTAAGATTCAGTTTTCTTATAATATTTTCACAAATTTTAAAATATAAAACAAAATTTTATTTCACAATTTCTAAAATACGATATTAGATATTAACAACTATTTATATTTACTATGAAATAAACTCAAATAATAATAAATTTAAAGTAATTATCAGTATAGCCTTCGTTTAGAGCAAGTTTGATAAATATCTAAACAAGAGATTGTATATATTAATTTCTAAATTATTTTGCGTTTTATTTATTGTTTTTTAACCGGATCTTCCTTAAATAAATCCCTAATATATTGCACCCAGTTTTCAAATAATGTAAACTAATTATATAATTTGAATTCAAAACAAATTATGCAGCAATAGCATATCCCTTTTAGAGATGTATTTCAAATTTTTATTTTTAGTCCAAAAATCAAATTAATTACGATTAAACAATAAAAAGAAGAATATGCAAAATTTAGCTAAGGAAAGAAACAATAATAAATTTGTTAAAATATATTTGTAACTTTAGCAGCATATATATTAATCTGCAAAACTCACAGTATGTATTGTATGGTATTTAAATGTAAGCAAACAAGAATTTGGAACATGATTTTAATGGTATGAAATGAGAATAGGAATTACGAGACGAGATAGGAGGGGAACATAAATTAAAAATCAAACTAAATACCTAACTGGTATGAATTCGGGTTATGAGCACTATATAAAATAAATTTGTTTTACATAGTGTACGTACGTTTTCAGTTACACATATTCTATTTATGCCGGATACTGGACCGTCATATTTTTATTTCACGTATACGATACGGGTTATGGGACTAAGAATTTATGACATATACAAGACGAGATAGGTTTCCCGTTCCAAAGTAGTTACGCCTAGCTAATATACATGAAATAACCAAACTCAAACCGAATCTATATCCTATTTAACACATGTAATCAAACTATTAGAAATTTTTTGATTAGTTTAGAAAATAAAAAAAGTAACATCATTTAACTTTTGCAACTAAATTATATCTTAGTTTTATCTTAAATATAATTTTGCACGTACGTGTTGGTCAGGATCTTAAAATATAACTATGGACTAACGCAACTGAATTTCGTTCATTACTCTAATTTTATAATATTTATACTATTATAAAGTTCACTAACACAACAAATATTTTATATTTTTAAAATCTATATAACAATTTCTATAAAAATATCTTTGCACGTAGGTGTGAATCCAGATCTAATACACTAAAATATATATCATAGAAACAACGAAATAATCTATATTGAATTAAAATTTGTTAGAATTATTTTAAAAATATGAAACCCCGCACGTATGTGCGGGTCAAGATCTAGTTATTAGTATATAATCAACTATATAGTTGTAAAATCATTAATTAAAATGACTTTATGCTAGATTTTGCAATTTCTTTCCTCTATTTAGTCAAATGTTAATTTTTCTTAAATATGTTTAGATTTGGCTGGTAATATCAGCTGAATAGTATAATAGCGGAATAGTCACATAATCAGCTATAAGGGGATAAGTGTACTGGACAAATTTTTACAAAATTATCAACGCTAAAAACTAGTATTAGTAGATTAATGATGGTGAACAAAAAAAAGTAGGTTAATGACATTTTTAATTATTTTTTAAAACGCTCTTTATATATAAGATGGAATCACAACATTTAAATAAAAAGAAGAAAAAACATAACAACTTAAAATGATACTATAAATAGTAAAAAAAATAACGGAACTATATTTTCAAAACGTAAAATCGTGAAGTTGTGAAAAAATGATATACCTTTGGGTTAGTTCGGGAAACGTTGCTTATCACTTTTTCATAAGATACACCATAATCTTTTTTTCTTTTCTTCAAATGGTTGTATAAAATCAACACTTCCAAAAGTAATCACTTAAATATTCACATTAACATTGTCAAAATGACAATCACTATCATCATACGATGTTTTGTAGGGTCAATGATTTAATATATATAACGAATAACATTTTCTCTTACGGTTACCCAAAAAATACTAACAAACATAAGTTGATAATTTTGAAAATAGCAAAGTCTTGTCAACGATCTAAATACAATGTAACAAAAAAAACATTCAAAACAAAAATTCCTCTGTTCTCTTGTGTTGCGTCTTTACCGAGTTTCAAAAACAAAAATTGTCGAAGATAGAACAATTTCTGGGGTTTGGTTACTTGGTGATCAAGCGTTCTTCATCACTCTCTCGTTTTTCTGGTGAGTTTCTCGAATTTCTCACTTCGAATTTCTTATTTTAATTCACTTTTTCTTCAGTGGTAATTTCTGTTAACACTATTTTGATAAAAAAAAATATTAGAAACCCTATTTTTTTTTCTCGATTTTAATCTGAGACAAGTACACAAAAAAATGATGTTTTGTGTAGAAATAACAGATCATGTTTAATATAATCGACAATAATGTCAAATTCTTGTTTCCGTTTCTGGAGTTTTTAATGAGTTAAGCCAAGAACAGTTTAAGATGTTGCAGAATTTAATTAAAATAAATAAATTCCAAAAATAGTTTTAATCGATAAAACTTGTCTGCTTCTTCACAGACACAAGTTGTGTTCACATTCAGACAAATTTTTTGTATTCTTCTCTTTTTTTTTTTGTTTCTGAATCACAAATTTCATTGTTTCACGAGCTTTATTTTCCCAAGAAATTATGAAGTTTTTTTCTTTCTAAAATGGTCAAAACATAAACTCTATTTTAATCACCAGATATTTTTGCTCACTATATTACTGCAAATGTTTTCACCATTTTTATCAGAGAGTAGATACTGATTGATTCTATAAACACGTGGTCCTCTTTGTCTCTTCCCATATAGGAAACAGATGAATCTGCAAAATCTCCATTTTTGCTAATTCTTTAATAACTCATAACATTATTATAATAATCCAAAAACTGTTTCTAAAATGCATTATTAATAATTCTTGAGATTCTAATAAAGGAAACTTCTTTTTGTTAACTTTGAGGTTTTGATTTTGATGAGAAGAAGAAGAAAGGTGGGTCTGTGAAATCTCCATTAAATTTTCTCCAGCCCATCCGACCATGGCACACCCGTGACAATGACACTGAAAAAATTGTTTTTTTTTGCTCAGAAGTTTTTAAAGTCTTTGATTGAAATTAAGAATATCTCTGAAACTGTGAAACTCTACTAGTACTAGTACTAGACCTTTCTTTAACTCTGCTAGGTCTCAGCTTGTTCTTGTTGTCACTTTTTCTTTTGGGACCTAACTTTACTTTATGGTGATTTGATATTAGTCAGCTTGTCCCATGGACCAAGGATTGTGTTTTTTTTCAATCTATATGTCTTGATCTGTTTTAGCTTCTTGATCAAAAAAAGATCTAACCATTTTTTCTTCTCTTTAAGTGATTCTTGATCTGTCTCTCTGGTGTAAAGATTTAATCTTTATCTAAAATATTCTCTGCTTTTGATCAGAATAAAAAGAGTCTACAATGAGAAACATTAGTTGCTGAATCAAATCAATGCAAGTTGGTTTTTTGTTAGCTTGAATGGAAGTTTTATATGGTGCCAAGAAATCATCAATGGCGAAGCAGCAGAAATCGGTAACAGATGCTACAAGACCGCCTCTTGTTCCAACGGAGAAGAACAATGCGGTTGTTGTGACGCGCCGTGCTAGAACAATGGAGGTTAGTTCAAGATACAGATCACCAACTCCTACTAAAACTAGGAGATGTCCTTCACCTATTGTCACCAGGACTGTGTCTCCTTCAGCCTCTCAATCGCTATCGAAAAGAGCGGTTTCAGCGGAAAGGAAACGTAGTCCTTCGACACCAACTACTCCGTCTACACCGGTTAGTGATGTATTGATAGATTTACCGGTTTCTTCTAGGAGACTATCTACTGGTCGTTTACCTGAAAGCTTATGGCCTTCTACTATGAGAAGCCTCAGTGTTTCTTTTCAGTCTGATTCAGTCTCAGTTCCAGTTAGTAAGAAGGAGAAACCGCTTGTTACTTCTTCGATTGATCGGACATTGAGACCGTCTTCTTCGAATATAGCGCATAAGCAGCAGAGTGAGACAACCTCTGTGTCGCCTAAACATATGCCCGAGAGGAAAAGAAGTCCACTGAAGGGAAAGAATGTGTCTTCTGGTCAATCAGAGAATTCAAAACCTGTGGATGGTTCTCATAGTAGGTTAATACCACCACAGCATCGATGGCCTAGTCGAATTAGGGGGAACAGAAGCTTTGATCTTGGCGATAAAGCGGTCAGGAGAGTGTCATTGCCTTTGTCCAAGAAAAGCTCTAAACCTTTGCATTATAAGTCTTCTAGTGACATAGAAAGGTTGTTGTCTTGTTATGAAAATGGTGGACTAGAAGTTTTGTCTTCAACAACTTCAGAAGATAGTAGTAGCACTGAGTCTCTCAAGCTTTTTTCTGCAAGTTCGATACCCAGGTTGCATCCAATGTCTGCTCCTGGATCACGCGCTGCTTCACCGAGCAGATCCTCATTTTCATCATCATCCTCTAATTCTCGAGGCATGAGTCCTTCAAGAGGAGTGAGTCCTATGAGAGGATTGAGTCCTTCAAGAGTGGGAAACCACTCTTTTGTGAGATCGCCTACACCGTCATCAAGAGGTGTAAGTCCTTCCCGGATAAGACAAACCGCGCAATCCAGTAGTAACACAACCTCGGTTCTTAGCTTCATTGCGGATGTCAAGAAAGGAAAAAAGGCGACTTACATCGAAGATGTTCATCAACTACGCTTGCTCTATAACAGATATTCGCAATGGCGGTTTGCAAATGCTCGAGCTGAGGGAGTTAGCTATATTCAAAGCTTGATAGCTGAGGTAAAATACTCAAAACAGAAACAAGTGACATTGTATCAAGTGTATTCTCTGTTTTAACAATCTTGAGGTTGCAGGAAACTCTATACAATGTTTGGCATGCAATATCAGACTTAAGGGATCTCGTGACAACACAAAGAATTTGTCTCCAACAGTTGAAGCTAGAAATCAAGCTAGAATCCATTTTAAATGATCAGGTATGTCTTCACTCGCGTGCATTTGTGTTCATCAAAGAATCATCCTCATGATCTAAATGCAAGTATTTGCGCAGATGGTTTGCCTTGAGGATTGGGCTATGCTTGAGAGAGAACACATTAGTTCTTTAGCTGGAGCAATTGGGGACTTAGAAGCAAATACACTCCGGCTTCCACTAGCCGGAGGAACAAAGGTACGGTTTACGTTTTCAGAGAAAACTAGAAAACAAGTCCAAGTCCAAGACCGAGTTATGATTTTGTAAAAGTGCTTGTGATCACAGGCGGACCTCGGATCTCTGAAGTTAGCTATGTCCTCAGCTCTTGATGTAATGCAGAGTATGGGATCATCCATCTGGTCTTTACACTCGCAAACCAAGGAGATGAATAAACTTGTTTCGGATCTCGCTGTTATAGCTAAGAAGGAGAATTTTTTGCTTGACAAATGCAAAGATCTTCTGACATCAACTGCAGTCATGGAGGTAACAAATCAAACAATAATCCAAGAATTTAATATGGTTGATGGTTCAACACATTAAACCGAGTTTTTTGTTGTGAAATTACAGATAGAAGAGAGAAGCCTCAAGACTCATATGATACAAAAGAAGAAAGAAGCAGAAGAAGTAAGAAATGATGCAGAGTCTCCATTATTGACATTAAGCAAGATTCCATGGCCTTAACAACAACACACTTAAAAAATGACTTGTAAATTGCCCTTTTTGGCTCGCATTTTCTTCTGCCATTTTGTCTTTAACTTGTAGGGAAAAGATGTGAAGAGGTTTAAAGAAAAATCAATGAAGAATATGCAATTTAATTATACACATGTAAGCTCAATTAGTTTAGTGATCAGTGTAAAATAAAAACGATTGGCTATTAAGTAAATTGCATTTTGCACACGAAATAGTAAATCTATACTATTAAGTGTGAATTAACTAAGCTAAGAAGTTAAACAAAAAATAGATTAGAGAAAAGATCTACAAAGAAGAACATCATTCAAACAGGACTAATTCTATTTGTTATACACCTCTTTGACTCTCTTGAGACATGGTAGAAAAGTAAATATACAAAACTTTACTTTAGCTCTCAAAATCCTTACCACAAGTTTATACTCCAGACTCGATTTGCAGAGGCTCAGCCGTTACTTCTGCAACTGAAACTTCGTTTTCCGATTGTTTTTTCTTCTTTCTTGTGAGTGGTTCTTGTGGTTTCCGAATCATTTCCTTGTTTGGGACCAAGATAATGAACATATTTCTGTCCCTAAAGTTTTTGCTCTCTTCAGTCGCAAGCTACAGATCCGGAACAAGATTCAGTCACATTTAAATCTGATACCATACTTTCTATATATAGGAAAGAGAGGAGAAAGAACAAGTTACCTCCCCTATTTCGGTTTGAAATCGTCTAAGGAGTTCAATAGCGATATTTCTGAACTCGTTTTCTCGTCCTTTCATGCTCACAATCACCTTAACCTGTGTGCATTACAAGTAGTGCATAAACAAAAAAATACATTCAGATGGGACAGACTCTCGCAGCTTATGAAGAAAATGGGAACAACCTTGTCACCATCTTGCAAGAACTTTTGGGCAGCCCTTAAACGAACGGAATAATCATGCTGATCAATGTTGTAACTGTCAGAGAAAAAAAAGCAGTAACCTTTGAGAAAATTTAGTTCTAAAGAAGTCGTTTGCAACATCACAAACAAAAACGAAAGCCGTACCCCATTTTAAGCTCCTTTAAATCCATGCGAGTGGCTGATACGATATAACACAAGAAAAAATACATAATAAGCGTATAATCTCCAACTCTAAAACTAAGAAGGAGAGGAACAGTCAATACTTTTCTTTTGCTGATCTTTTTTCCTCTTTTGCTGTTCGTATCTGTATTTACTGATAACGCAAAAAAAAAAAGCATCATCGCTTATAATTCTGCGCGGTTTGGTATACATATAAGGAGCCATTTCAATACATATTTTGCTACTCACCTGTAATCCATCATTTTAACAACCGGAGGATCTGCATCAGGCGATAGTATCACCTGCAAACAAACAAAATCAATCATTACATTAGAGCCTTGGTGTAGCTTAGTTAATTTGTGAAGTTCTGGTTTGCTTAGTAAAGAGAATTCTATATATACCAATGTACACCCTCTTCTTCTTCAATAAGATAATAACATAAATCATTCACAATTCTTATCCAAATTCTGTTATGCTAATACGGTATCAGAGCATTTCTTCTAATATTTGCTTTCGTTCTAGTTCAATCTTCTATCTATTAGCTCAATTCCGCTGATTATTCGCACATTCAGGCATCGATTCGAGTTCCTATTCATTTTTCCAACTCATATCATACAAGAAAACATTGCACATACCAAATAGCTAATGTATCACAAGTCAAAACATTTCAATTGAAACACATACCAGATCAAGCTCAGCATCATCAGCCATTCGAACGGCTTCGTCTTTAGACACTAAACCAAGCTATAGAGAGCAAACCAAACTGGAAATTTATGAGTCTATTTTGCAGAATCAAAGCTCTAATTTCTCACTGAAATCAAAGACATTGAGTCACATTTACCATGTTTTGTTGCCCATCGATAAGCCTAACAGTAGCTGACCTACTCAAACAGAGATATTATCATCAACAAATCGAATCAGCAAGAGATTTCAAAATCACAATTCTGCTTAAGAAACCTCACCTAATTGAGGAGATATCAAGCGCTTCATCAATTTCGGCTTCTTTCGGCCTACCTCGTCTAGAATCTCCAGAGAAACGATAACCTCCGCCACCACCACCACCACCACCACCGCCGAAGCGGCAAGTGACGGTGAAGCCACGGCGAGGAGTAGGAGTGAGGTTAGCGAAAGACAGTTCGGTTTTGGAGAGACGAAGACCACAGAGTTTTGAATCGACGGAGAATAGTGAATGTGATGATACTGTTTTGGTTATTCCGGCGAAAACGGCGTTGAATCCGACGGTGCTGGTAATCCCAGCCATGGCGCTTCTTCTTCACTCAGAGGTTTCAAACCTTCGCAAAGCTCTTATCCAGAATAAAACGCAACGGCGAATGAAACTACGTCGTTTCACAAGTTATTGTTGGAGGCTAAACGTTATTGTTTTTTGTAATGGGCTTATTGGGCTTTTAAAACAAAGGGCCCAATTATATGAAGCAATCGGACACAAACCGGGGTTAAAACGGGAAATTTATAAAACTATTTGTTTCTTAGTATTATGACAGGATCAGATAATATTATGTGACATTAATTGATAATTTCGTCTACGAAATTCCGATAGTAGCCTCTTATTACTTTATATAATTTTAGGAATATCTTTTTTTTTTCTGACTGAATGATTCAATAAATTAACTATCAAAGAGTTCAAAAACAGATACAAAACGGAACAAAAGCAATCATGCAACAGAACAACATTACAAAGTAATGCATTTATCATTCTCGTAAACTTTCTGAAGCAAAAAAAAGTAGCCTTGAGGTACATATGATTGGTGGAGGGCATAAGATAAGGGAACTAAGAGTTAAAATTTTTTAGGAATATCATATTCATAATTTAAAAGGGAGAAAAGTAAAGTTATTAATCTTTTTGCAAAAGGATTCATGCATATTAAAAATATATATTTAAAAATCAAATATTAATTTTTATTATACAGATGTATATTTGACAAATATACTATAAATTCACAAACATAAAAAATCAGTGATGAAATTTTTAAGGAACTAAAAAAATAAAGTCATACTCATTTGGTTTCTAAACGAAAAATTTTCTTTTTTAAAAAGATTTATGCTTTTTAGCTTTTTGTTGTATTTTTTAATAATTAATAATAACAAACTGTAAACTTCAAAAATATTTATTAGAAAAATTCAATTTATTGAATTATTATTTGTTTAGTTTTATGAAAAAAGATTATGCATTTATAATTAAATATTTTTAACAAATGTAAAAAATCTAAAAAATTCATTATTTAGAAATGCATGGACTAGTAATTTTTTATTTTTTGGATCGAGTAATAAATAACTAATAAATCGAAGTAATCTTAGAATTACTTTGCTTTAACTCATGCAAGAGCCATGCCAAAAACACTTTTAATGCTAAAATCATGAAACATAAGTAGATTTGTATTTTGATAATGATGCAATAAATACAACAATTTTTAATTCTTTATTTTGTAAGATTTTCCAGATTTTTTTCTTTTTTTTTGTAAAAGATTTTCAATTTGTTTCCAAAAATTAAATTAATTTGCTTTGGAGATGATATATACAGTAAAACCTCGGTAAATTAATACTCTATAAATTAATAACCTCTCTAAATTAATAAATTCTTCCGGTCCCGAGTTGGGACTAGTGTAAAATATGACATAAATCGATAAATTAATAAGATAATAATTTTTTTTAAAAATCCCATGTAAACATATGGTCCCATCTATATCATAAATTAATAATTGTATAAATTTATCAATATATATATATATATATATTTAACTTAATGTATATATATATATGATATAAATTTATATATGTCATATATGAATTACTATGATATATATTTAAAATATTATATGAAAAAATAGAAATATGACTCTATTATTCGAAAAAATATTGTGTTGTTTTTTAAAGTTAATAATTGCTTCTCTACTTGTAATTAATTTTTAAAAAATATTGCTTATAAAGAAAAAAATTATTTTTAAATAGAATTTTTTTAAGAAATTACAAAATTAGTAAAATCTCTCTATAAATTAATAATTATTAATTTATCGATAAATTAATACCTCTCTAAATTAATAAAATTTCATGGTCCCAACATTATTAATTTATAGAGGTTTTACTGTAGAGGATAATTTTTTAATTAACAATATAATTTACACGTGAACAAAACAAATCAAAAAAAGGGAAAAGAACAAAAAAAAAAAAAGAGGAAATTAGGGCAAAAACACAGAACACAGCTTCAAAAAAAAAAAAAAAGGGAATCGAAGTGATTTTATCATCTTCTCCACCGTCAATACACACACGTATATATACACTATATAGCTCTATCTATCTGCAAATAAATTTATACTTTATTTTATTCAATCCTCCTAATCGCGAAGAAAACAAGAGAATCGAGTAATGCAACAACAAGGTGAACCATCGGTTTTGAGTTTGAGACCCGGCGGTGGTGGTGGCGGCGGCAGAAGCAGGCTTTTTGTCCCACGCTTTAGCTCCTCTTCCTCTTTTGATCTTACCAATTGCGGCGGTTCCGGAGAAACCCCTTTTCCCGTCAAGGTATAACACATTGAAATCCTCTGTTTCTCTTCAATTTGATTTTTTTTTCCGCAATTTCGAGTTTAAACAAGGTGTATAATTAAGGGTTTGATTCGTTTCCGTGATTTTGAATCGAATTTTGTATAAAGTTTGGATCTTTTAGGGTTGTTAAATTCTGAATATAGACAAAGATTGATACTTGTGGGAAGTTAAGTAATGTTAATACGGACAAAGATTGATACTTTTGTTGTGTAATGGAATCCTGAGCTCTTGAAATTTTATGTTTTTGTAGAGAGATGATTCTGGTGAACGTTTGAGGTTTACCCGAGAACAGCTGCTTCAGCATAGAGAGGTATTTACTTAATTCTGTGATTCTGATAATAACTTTGCTTTGTTTATGTCTTTTGTGAATCAAATCACTCACAATTGTGTTTCTTAATCACAGTCTGTTCAAGTCTCTGATGAAATTCTTAGACGATGTAAGGAAATTGCAGCTGAGCTTTTCGGTGAAGAGCAGAATTGGGGGAATCGTGTAGCCGAGAATAAAGTGAGTGTGTGTGTGTAATCCTCATGTTTTGCATTATTCAGACTTCTTGAGAATCTGTCTTTTTAAACTACATTCTTGTTTGTTTTTGTTCAGTTAACAAATCAACCTCAGAATCGTTATTCCGAGCCTGATAACCGTGACTGGCATAGTCGTGCGCAGATTGCAACCTCTGGTAAGGAATGGTTAAGGGACGACCCTCGTGAAGCTAGAAATGCATCTCAAGGGGTAAGTTTTCTTTACTTGTTATCTGTTGGCGTACCGATACTAGTTTTCTTCTGTTGCTAATATGATCATCTTTTGAAACAGTCTGGTCCTACCCCTGTGCTGGTTAAAGCAGAGGTTCCGTGGTCAGCTAAAAGAGGAGCTCTTTCAGATAAAGACCGAGTCGTCAAGAGCGTGAAAGGGTATTGTCAACAACTAATACTATTCTTTTCAGCTTTTTTGCTTGAAGTTAGTTGTGATGTATATTCTAACTGATTCTTTACAACTATGATTCTATGCAGTATTCTGAACAAGCTTACTCCGGAGAAGTACGAGCTTCTTAAAGGTCAATTGATTGACGCTGGCATCGATTCTGCAGATATCCTAAAGGTTTCTTTCAATTCCTGATTTCTATTGTTGTAGTTATCTCTTTCATGGTATTGATTTGCCTCTTACCTTTGATTGCAGGAAGTGATACAGCTAATTTTTGAGAATGCTATACTCCAGCCGACATTCTGCGAGATGTATGCTCTTCTGTGTTTTGATATTAACGGAAAGCTCCCTTCGTTTCCGTCTGAGGAACCTGGTGGGAAAGAAATAACTTTTAAAAGAGTCCTTTTAAATAATTGCCAAGAGGCATTTGAGGGTGCTGGCAAATTGAAGAAAGAAATCAGACAGATGACTAATCCAGACCAAGAAATGGAAAGAATGGATAAGGAGAAAATGGCGAAGCTCCGGACACTTGGAAATATTCGTCTGATTGGAGAACTTCTGAAGCAAAAGATGGTGCCCGAGAAGATAGTTCATCATATTGTCCAAGTACGTATGACCCATGTTTCTATTTTTTTTATTATATAGTCTATATTACATATAGTGTTTCCTTGTAGAGCTCATTAAACTTAAAATCTGGTTATACAGGAGCTTCTAGGAGAAGATAGTAAAGCTTGCCCAGCAGAGGGAGATGTTGAAGCTCTCTGCCAATTTTTTATAACCATTGGGAAGCAACTTGATGACAGCCCACGATCTCGAGGTATTAATGACATGTACTTTGGTCGGTTGAAGGAGCTAGCAATGCACCCTCAATTAGAGCTGCGTCTCAGATTTATGGTCCAAAACGTTGTTGATATGCGAGCTAACAAATGGGTACCAAGGCGTGAGGAGGTAAGATTTTATCATTCCATCTCAAATCTTTAATAACAGTCTTTAGTTCTCGATCTGTGCTTACTTGTTGTTGTACTTATTTAATGGCAGGTGAAAGCGAAGAAAATCAATGAAATCCATTCTGAGGCAGAGAGAAATCTTGGGTTGCGTCCGGGTGCAATGGCAAATATGAGAAACAACAACAACAACCGCGCTGCGGTTTCTGGTGCAGCAGACAGTATTGGCTCTGGAAATATCCTTGGCCGTCCTGGTACTGGAGGAATGATGCCCGGCATGCCAGGAACTAGGATGGTGCCTATTGTTGATGAAGGCGGCTGGGAAATACCACGGACCCGGTCCATGCCCAGAGGTAATAGACAAACAGTCCAGCAGCCGCGTGTTCAGCCACCTCCTGCTATCAACAACTCATTCTCAGTCAACTCAAGGCTTCTTCCTCAGGGTAGCGGAGGTCTCCTCAATGGTGGTGGTAGGCCAAGCGCACTTGTGCAAGGTAACGGTTCTAGCTCAGCTCCTCAAGCCTCTAAACCTATTCCAACTGTGGAGAAGCCGCAACCACGGTCTCAACCTCAGCCACAGCCACAGCCACAGCCACAGACACAGGCGGCTCCTCTGGCTAATAGCCTGAACGCAGGAGAGCTCGAAAGAAAAACCAAGTCGCTTCTTGAAGAGTATTTTAGTGTCCGTTTAGAGGATGAGGCATTGCAATGCGTTGAGGAACTGAAATCTCCATCTTACCACCCGGAGCTCGTCAAGGAAACCATCTCACTCGGTCTAGAGAAAAACCCTCCGTTGGTTGAACCAATTACCAAACTCTTGAAACATCTGATCTCGAAGAATGTGCTGACATGTAAAGACTTAGGGGCGGGTTGTTTGCTCTATGGTTCTATGTTGGATGACATTGGAATCGATCTGCCAAAAGCACCAAACAGCTTTGGAGAGATCTTAGGGAAGTTGGTCTCAGCGAAAGTATTAGACTTCGAGCTGGTGAGAGAGGTTTTGATGAAGATGGAAGATGAGTGGTTCAGAAAAGCCGTGCTTGATGCAGTGATACAGAGTGTTCGCGAGAGTCCGTCGGGACAGTCTGTATTGGATTCGCAGGCCGCAGAAGTTGAGGCATGCCAGAGTTTGCTCTAAAGTATATTGGTTCTCGCCGGCGAAGTCTTAAAACATTTACTTGAGTAGTCTGAATCATTTTTTTATAAAAGTTTTGAGTTAATATCATAATATACTTGGAAGATTTGGTTCAGTTTTGTTACATCTTTGTTTTTTTCGTTCATCTTGAGTTTTGAACATTTCAGGGTGAGAAAAAAAAACATACATTTGTTGATTGTTATCTTATTCTTAGAGCTACAAAATTATAGCATTGTCGACGTTAAAACTTAGATATATACTTATATATAATGGTAGTACCATTACCCATTTACAAAAATAATACTTCGAGAGTCAAACAACCTTTGCGAGACGGGGAAAAAAGTATTTTCATACTCGTACAATTTACAAAGTGTGTTTTCGTACCTGAAGAAACACGTAGGTTAATTTTAATCCAAACTGTAAAAAAATTTGAATTTCATACCCAAACTTTACATTTAGTGTTTTTTCGGAGTCGTAATTAACCAGTGTCAGTCAATCGTCACGAATGCTGAATTAACTGACACGTGTTTGATGGTGTGGCTTAAAACGACATCGTTTTGTTTGTTGGAATCAATATTGTAATTTTTTTTGCAAAAATCGGGTCTTGAACCCTTCAAATCTCACTGGTTGTGGATTATGAGTTGTGTAAAGTGTAAACGAGTGAGATATCGGGAGTTCGAGATTCGATTTTTGCAAAAAATAATAATAATATAATTCCAACAAACACAACGACATCGTTTTAAGTCATCTCATCAAACACGTGTTAGTTGATTCAGCAACCGTAACAGTGGACTAACACTGGTTATTTACGATTCCGAAAAAAATACTAAATCTAAAGTTTGAGTATGAAATTCAAAATTTTTTTACGGTTTGTATTAGAGTTAACCTTACGTATTTGTTCAGGTATGAAAACACATTTTGCAAATTGTACGGATATGAAAATACCCTTTTCTCTGCGAGACCATTGAATAACATTTTTTTTTAAGAGTGGAGGTCCAAAGAGTTTGAGAGAATAGAATAGGCTAAATTTAAAATTTTCAACTAAGAAATTATTGACTAAACTTCGGATGTATATGATAATGAAAATTATGAAGCCAACGAAGCCAAAGAAGAAACCAAAAATTCTAACTCATTGAAAAAGATGCAAATTAGTATTGAAGAGATATGAAGAGATATGAAGAGATATCACATACTAGCAGTGTTAAACACCAGATTCATAGTCGTTTGGTTCCCTAAATCAACAGGGATGATCTCACCGAGGGAAATGTTTGTAGCTCTGAGATCACGCCCGAGCTCTGGACCTATTTAGTAATGAAAAGATAAGAAAAGATATCAAAGTAAAAACTGAACTAGGGTGGGTTAAGAACACTTACCAGCAGTGTTCATGGTCTCAATAGGGATGATCTCGTCGAGGGAAGAGTTTGTAGCACTGACAAAATAACTAAATTTTTTGAGAAATCCTAACGTAAAATATGAATAGATAATAGTATAGTAATTTAGCTAATGGTTTAAGTAGGTTATTTACGTTAATCTCTATCTATATAATATATTACAGAGGATGAGGAGTACGTAAGATGAGGTCCATCATCAAATTTTTGAGGTTTTTATAATCACAATATTATCATCTATAAAATTGGTTTTAGCACGAATATTGTTACAAGATTGTGTGAGTGATACATTGTTGAGAAGGTTGATAGAAAAAAAATACTTTGACTCTAAGAGTAGTTGTTGATAGCATGGGTGGATGATTATAAATTAAAAAAATGACATTTATCAAATATCACAATAAATAAAACAAAGCAACAAATTGAAAAAAAAAAATTGCAGCGTAACGCGGATGATCACCTAGTGATATATAAAAAAGTACAAAACTCTCTAGAATCATCTAATTAAGTATCTTTGGTAATAATTATAATTGATATACTAAATATATGGAATTATAAAATACAATTATATATAAGATATATGTAAAAAGAGGAGCTCATGCATCTCACCATCATACGTAAAGACAATTTGATGAATGCTTTGGCCGTTTAACATATGGAAACTATTAATTCAAATCATTTTACTATGGTACATAATCTGTCAGTATTTACAGAAAAAAAGTAAATAAAATTAGTTACATTTAAATTTGAAGATATGTTTCAGCCTATATAAATCTCAATTGAATTCTCAAACATTTTGATAAAAAAAAAATGGTTACATATAATAAAAACAATTTTTTGGTTTTTTTTTTTGACAAAATGTTTTGGTTAGTTCTTGTACTTATTATACTTCTTTTGTTTGTATCATTATATGCGAGATTTAGTACAAAGATTACAAAAAAGTGAAGTCAACGACATCTTCACACACAAAGAAACCAATGTTTCATTTTGCCTTGAGTTCATAAACTCATCCCCTTAAATTGCAACACTCGATCTTTTTGGCCTAGCCAATTTTTTTATCAATTTTAATTCTCAAAAAGCCTCAGATATGTTGAAGCAATTCCTATCACTTGAAAACAACACAATTGATCGCAGTTCTATGGGTTCCTATAACGTATGCTCAGAAACTTTTAGGCCTTCTATATTAGTCGTTTTAATTCGCTCTAGAATCTTTGGAAACCATGAACTATGACACCTTAAACATCAATGTTGGTAGTACAATTACCATAGCGGATACATATTAGTCCAAAACCCTTAAAAGAGGTTTCTATTGTCGAAAATCTATCTTCCACTGTTCTAATGATTCTGGAATGTTTTTTAAGAAACGAGAAAATCAGATTTTAATTAGTAGTCATTACCTCAATCTACAATAATATGTACTTGGTTTGGTGTTGTTTGTCATTATCGATTCACGCGCGCCGATCGATATTTAATTGTTTTTGGAATGTATAACCATGTTGTAGCCTATATTTGGTGTAGGTAATTATCATTTTCGCATACATATATAGGTCATGGCATGATAAATGATAGTTAGCTACATTAAATATATAGGTCACAGTATGGTCATTAGGTCGTACATCCCAAGTTTGCAAATGAATAATAAACTACACCAAGTAAATGTATCACATGTCCACATATACCAACTAACATATGATATAGTGCCAATACAATAATTAACTATCATATTTTGGTACTCCATTCGTCCGAGTCCGGCAAAGCCCCGCGTTGATCCACGTTGTTGATCAAAACAATATTCAAAAAATACTTAATTTTAATTATTTTTGATTTTGAAAAAAAGAACTAATAAATTATAAAAGAGTGTTTTATTTTAAATTAATCTAAGGATCTAAACTGTAAAATTATATAATAATCTTTTTGCAAAGATCATGTGGTCATGGCCTTGGACTGTGCAGTTCTACTTGACATGATAACGAACCAAGCCTGTCTATATATAAGATAAATACGATATCAAATCGCAGTACATAGATCACAGGATGTATTCAGATCATGTAGGGAAAAAGAGACATTAAAAGAGTTTGTAGATTGTTTGTAGATCCGAGGTTGTTGGTGCATGAAGTTGCAGTGGGATGTGTAAATCATTTGGCTTATATTACAAGACCGAGTATATATGTCTTCACTTAAGAATTCTCTGTCCGTTAAAAACGGTGAATGTAACAAGAAGATAGTAAATCAATTTCATTATGTTTTCTTTATCTTTATATTGGAAAGAAATTGTGTTGTGTAGACGACTATATCAAATTTTTTATCCTTTGTTCATGTTTCTTAGGTTTCGGTTTTCTGGTTTGATTTTAGTTTACTTGGATTTTCTGGTTTATTATAGGGTCCTAGTTTATTTGGATTTTAGTTAATAAGAACAAAACCCTAAGAAAATCGCAAATTAGGTTTTGCTAAATTACAGATGGTGGAGGAGGACGACGTCACCGGCGGTGTAAGAGTCCCTAGTCACCGCTACGATCTCCGTAGCAAAATCGCAAGAGAAGTAGACATAATCAGCTCTCTACCAGATGTGATCCTCCAACATATCCTCTGCTTTAATCCGATCGAACTAGCCATCAGAACTTCCCTCTTGTCCAAGCGATGGAGGTATGTATGGTGCGATACACCTTCTCTCTCATTCAATGGTGGCACACTTAAGCTTGCTTCGTTATACAAAACCCAAAATCGTTATACAGCTCCCAAGATGATGAATTTGCAAATCCGAGCCAGCGAGAACCGCGATATTCCAAACCTTAACAGTTGGATCGAATTGGCCATGTCCCGCAACGTGGAGAATATGTCCCTAGAAATGGTTTCACACTTGGTTGACAAGTATGATATTCCTGAATCCTTCTACGTCAATACCTCTCTCAAGCAACTCAACTTTGAGTTCTACTTTGCTGATCTGATTCCTAGACGCTCCGTGTCTTGGACATCTTTGAAGAAGCTGTCTTTGCGTTTTTGTAAACTCTCTGATGAATCCGTAGCTAAGTTTTTATCAGGTTGTCCTATCCTCGAAAGCTTAACTTTGTATTTCTGTGATGAACTGAGGGTTCTTGATCTTAGCAAGTTGCTGCGGCTACGAACATTACAAGTTGTCCGCAACTTTTGGGGTACAGATCCATTGAAGATTGTGGCACCACAAATCCATCGTCTCATAGTGAGAAACTCTCAGTTTCCATGTACTTTAGTTGATGTCTCGTCTTTGACCGAAGCTAAAGTGAACATTTGCTTTGAGTCACTTGAAAGAAACCTCGAGGATGATTCTCTTCAAGTCAAGGTGCTAGAAAAGTTTCAAAACGTAGAGAAACTTACCATTGGGGGAGACTTTCTTCAGGTATATATGTTTTGGTTCATTCTATTATTCTATATATGTTATATGCACCGTAGTTTCGCTATTTTACTAATGTGTGCCTTGTATTAGATGGTATCGTTTGCGGAGCTTCGTGGTGAACCTTTTCCGATGTTCAAGGTCAAAGATTTGACTATTGAGACATCGATTTTTCAGTTTGTTATTCCTGCTGGTATAAAACGAGTGTTACAAAACTCACCTGATCTAAAGAAGCTAACAATACACACAAGAACTTGTGACACCATGCCGGTATATTTACCATAAAACCTTTATTTATTTTTTCTTGACCTTTCTAACTATTGTCTGAGTTTGAAAAATCCAAGAACCATGTTTTTTTTTTCCGTTGAGCAGGGGAACTATATTGATAGGCGCTTGGATTCGCTAGACTCAGATCCGGATCCGGATCAATGCTTGCAATCAGAAGATAGGATATTTCGGAACAAGTCTCGTTGGGATGTAAAGACGAAGCACGTGGCTTCATTCATGGAACTTATGCTGAAAAACACAAAGAGATTAGAGAAAATGATCGTACACTTGGAAGACCGTTACCTTAAAGCAAGAGGGTTTAAAAGTCTGACTCGCACACTTTCTCGCAACAGCGATGTCTCCATTGTGTTCTCAACCAAACCGACAAGATCAGATGAATGGGGAATCATAGGATTTAAATTCGATTAAATTGTTTTCATTGTTCCGCAATTACACTAACACGAGTTTATCCCCGGATCGGAAAATGGTTTCAGTGAAAACATTTATTTGCTCAACAAGAGATAGGTTGCTAAGTCAGTTATAACCAAATCACAACCATATGAATGTTTTTTCTTCGCCAAAGAGAATGGGCGTGTCATGACATGGGCTGACATGGATTCTCCTAGGCCGTGGGTGGCGGTATATTCGGAATGCGCCCGAAATACCGAGATGTCCCCATGGGCATCGATTCCACCCGCCTAGGTTGGATGGTCGTGCGTCGTTGGAAAGCATGGATCCGCCTAGGCTGTCCCGAGTTGAGCAAGGTGTGAGTGTCGCCCATGGGCATCGACACCTTGCGGCTTTGAACTGAAACGGAGGTACGCGCAGGTTGTTACGTCGTGCGGAAAGAACCGGGCCTTGTGGCCTAGTGGTAAAGGGGTCACAGCTGTGACTTCCGCCACCAGGGTTCGAGGCACGGCCACTGGCAGGTTTACATAGGGGAATTGCCAGCCTCGTGGGATTAGTCCTTGGGCCTAGGAAGCCTTTGGGAGACCCGCGGTTATTCAAAAAAAAAAAAAAAAACTTTTGTTTTCCTATTGAATGGTGAGAAAACTCGAGTTTAATAGATTCAAACTCGAGTTGAATCTATTAAACTCGAGTTTTCTATCGAATCAATCTATTAAACTCGAGTTTTCTATCAAACTAATGTCACCATTTAGAATTCAAAAAAAAAATCTCTCTTTTTACCCATATAAGTTGTATATAAGGTTTATGTTAGGTTCCCTCTAGAGGAGAGTTACATGATTTTGACTTAATGAAATGTGACACATTTTTTTTTTTTTTGTTGTTGTGAACTATGACACATTTTTCAAGAATATAATTTTAGTATTACAGTTGTTTATAGATTTGATAACTGTTTTGTGAATATTTTTATATGAAAATATACTATTATTTTTTTCTTTTGCATAAAAATAAAAAGGTATTCTATTTTTCTGTTTGTGTAGGGCATTTAAAAACGTCAGACCGGCCTTGGTAACACGAGATCAAATCGAAGTACTCAAGTACATAGATCACGGGATGGATCCAGATCATGTTGGGGAATATAGACATTAAAGAGTTTGTAGATCCGAGGTCGTTGCTGCATGGAGAGTTTTAAAGCAACATAACTAATTCTGTTTTGAGGGTGCTTGAAGTTGCAGTGTCATGTGTAAATCATTTGGCTAATAATATTACAAGACCGACTATGGGGGTGATTGGTAAAGACTTTGGGGACTTTAAAAAATTTTAAAAGTCTTTAAAGTCATTATTTTTCCAATCACACTTTATTTGCTTTAGTTAATTTAAAAGTCTCTAAAGCCAATTCTATTTTTTTTACTCTTTAGATTCAGTTTTTTTCTAAAGTCACGTATTCTTGACTTTCAAAATAAAAATAATAAAAACCTATAGTTTTTTTAATTTCTTCTTTCCCATGAGTATAAAAACTCTCATAAAATTCTCTAAATAATTAATTTCAAGAAAATTTCAGTTGATTTATAATGGAAATTTTTTTCTTATTTTATTAAGATCCATTTCTCCATATTTTCGATAGTTATTTTAAATCATAAATTCATACAGTCACATGTTTTACCAATCGGTTATAAAATTTTTTAAAGTCACAGTCTTAACAGCAAAAGTCTCTACAGCCAAAGTCGTTACAGCGAAAGTCTTTAAAGCCAAAAGTAACAGTCGTTACCAATCGGCCCCTATGTCTTCACTTAAGAAATTCCTGTCCATTAAAAATGGTGAATGTAACAAGAAGATACTAGTTATCAATTTCATTATGTTTTCTTTGTAACTTTTTTTCGCTACCGTCAAGTTCGTAAAATTTTGACTAATAATATATCAAATCAAAGTCCTCGCGACAATGAGTTCAACTCTAGCTACATTTAGAATTTTAAAAATCTAATGTATGTGACTAAAAAAATATTTACAATATACTTATAAAGGTTATATTGTGTATTATTTTGAATTCATATAATTAATCTGCATTTTTTAGAGGTAGATGGTAAAGTTGCAAAAATTGGCGAGTTGGAAGATTTTTTGCACGTAACCTTTTTTTAATGCTAGATCAACGCCGATCTTTATCGGATTCCGATGAACGGTATACCGATACATAATGGTTATGGTGTTAACATCGTATGTTACGTCATACATTTAATTAGTATAGTTTATATTATACATTTGCAACCTTTGGATGGATGTGTGACCATGGAGTGACATGTAGTTAATTTAGCTAACTACCATTTCTCCACATTAAGTGATGACTTGCAAAGCGTGGTGCGGTGCGCTTATATCGCATTGACCGTATTTTGTCACCATTCCCAAAATAGGATTTCAACGCAGATCAAAAGAAAAAAAAAACATTCATATGGTTGGTTGTGATATGGTTATAACTTATATAACTGACTTAATAACATATCTCTCTTGTCGAACAAATAAAATTTCTGCACTGAATAAAAGAAAACCATGGTTTTTTAACCAGATCACTAAGATAAAATCAAACAATATAGTAGATTGAGCATTATGCATTCATCAAATCAAAGTATACTAAAATAAACCAGAATATAACTTTTATTTTTCTGTTCCTTCAAAAGAAATAATATTATTACCTCAGTAATCACACTTTAAAGTACAATATGTTCTCAAGAGCAATGAATAATTCACAAGGTCAAGCAACATAGTAGATTGGGCGTCTGTATTCATCGAAATACTCATCATGGTGCAAGAAACAAATCGCGTAAATCGCGTATATTATTCCTGGTAAGTAGCCTAAGCAAGTGAGTATCAAACAAATGAAGAACTCAACCTACACATTCAACAAAAACAAAACAAAAAAAAAATCATCAGTTAGGAAAAACAAAATTTTTAAAATTTATTTTCTAGTCCCTTCATTATGTTTAATTTTAGTAACTCACCACAATTATATTTTCAGTAATTATCTTCAATCAAACATCTTATAGATTGGTTCCCGTAAACCGGAACGCAACCAATTTCAATTTCAATAACCGTAATCAAATCAATTTTAGAAATAAGAAGCTGTGAAATTTTAGAGATTACAGATCTCAATTATTATTATTAGAGATCGAGAGATGGAACTTACAGTGCAACAGCCATGCCTGAGACAAACTCCAACAGGAGGAAGAAGAATTGCGATGAAGATCTCGCAGCAAAGCTCGCAGTTACTAGCCATTAATTTACGGAGATGAGATCAGATTTGATGACTTGAAGAAGAAGAAGAGAGAAACTTCACGAAACAACCACAAAATATAGGTTAGTGGTTGTGTCCAGCGACGTTGAATCTTAATAATTAAGATACAGAGTGTACCGCGAGATCTTTACCGTTCATTTTTCTGGATTATTATATATCCTATGGTTCATTGCTGAACTTTTTGGTTTTTGACGTTTGGCGTCTGTTGATTGGTTGACCCACGGGAGTTTAGGTATGACTTCACACACCGTATTCTATCCTTATTTCCCATTAGATAGATGAGATTACTTTTTTTTTTTTTTCGCCAGATAGATGAGATTACTAAATGAGCTAAATTGCACTGTCCTGGCAAAATAAATGGATAATGTTTTCCAGCTAAAACTGAAAATCTGAGAATTGTATGATTACTTATAAAATCTTGAAATCAATAGTTTTGCTAAAAAATCGCGGACTAATGTTTTCACATTAAAACCACAAAAATATCTGAATTGTATATTTCCATCAAGTTTGTAAGACTACAACTTTGTTAAGAAAAACTATTCTACAATTTTACGATTTTGATAAGCAAACGTGATTTCGTGTTTAAAAAAAAAAAACATAATTCTGGAAAATTCGTAATATTTGCTTCTACGTGAGCTTGGTGTCATCCCTTTGTTCAGAGTAGGGTAAGGACTAAGGAATGGATCCCATACATTAACTATCACAGATTGAAATTTACGTAGAAACAAAAGTTTTTCAATGCACCTTGAAGCCAATATGTATCAAATACGTACCGCCACCAAAGACGTTTATTACAAAACCATAAAATCGGAAAATTACAAAACAGGAAAGAGTTTTTAGAGAACACATCGTGAAAATTCTAACAACACACGTACATATGCTTAGAGAGAGGAGAAGAGAAAATATATTTAACGAGCACTTCTAATGACAACTCTAGGCTTCTTTCTGCGAAACTTTTCCATGAACCACTCGTGCTTATGTGAAATGAAGATAATGCCCAATCACCAATCCGCAAAAAACACCAGGTCCATATGCTATTGCCGCTGCTATCCAGTTAATCACTTGTCCTTCTTCCGGCTCTGATACTTCCTCTACTTCTTGTGGTCTAGGATTTGGGACATGAGTTTTTCTGCAGATATCATCAAGACCGTAAAGCTTGGGGTTGTCCATGAATGAAGAACAATTTTGGCTTTGAAACTGTGTGCCGCGTGGTATTGGACCTTCGAGATTGTTGTGGGCAAAGTTCATGGTTGACATAAAGGAGAGCTCACCAAGATCGCAGGGAATCTGACCTGACAGCTGATTCTGGGATAAATCTAATACCTCAAGATTCGTCAAATTGGCCAATGATTGAGGTATATTGCTTGTGAAAGCATTACTCGACAAGTTGAGAAAACGTAATCCCTTCAACAAGCCAATGGATTCAGGGATCTTTCCATAAAACTTGTTTCTTGATAAGTCAATGGATGTGAAGTCTTTACGAATCTTCTCAAACTCTGTATCTACACCTTTGTGCATTATTTCCATTGAAATACTGTAAGGACCATATTGGTAACCATACATAAATCTATATTCCATGTATGTATCATATCTTGGATTTAATGTAGTCATTTCAAACCAATTGGAGAAATAGAAAGTTGGGAAAGCTCCACTTAAGTCATTATGTGAGACATCAATAACTTTTAAGTATTGAAACCAAATGTAGACGTGGTCTTGATACAATGGCCCATAGAATTGGTTGGATCGGAGGATGAGGACATTTAAAAATGGCATAGAACCGAACCAAGATGGAAACTTGTCCTTGAATTGGTTTCCTTCCACATTCAAAAATTGCATGGATATGCAATTGATCAAGGTTTTTGGGAGTTTTCCTTCCAACCGGTTGCGGCTAACATCAAGTGCGTTTAAATTGGTAGCATTGACAAACACATCTGGAAGAATCCCACTGAAATTGTTGTTTCCCAAATTAAGCACTTGAAGAACATAAGTGATATTCCTTAAACATTGAGGAATTGAGCCATTGAAGCTATTGTTGGACAAATCTAAGATCTGTAGCGATCTAAACTCGCATATCCAATGGGGAAATGGTCCTCGAAATGAATTCGAGTCAAGACGAAACTCACCCATTTTTGCTTGATCCAGAACTTCTGATGATTTTCCAAAACCGCTAAAAGAGTTGTGAGAAAGTTTCAGCGATCTTATTCTCAATAAGCAACCTGGTACTTTGCCTTCCAACTTAGTGTTGGAAAGATCTAACTTTCTGAGTTTGAGAAATTTTGATATGGATTCAGGGATTTCGCCATCAAATTTGTTATCAGCAAGGTTTAGAACACTAAGGTTAGAGGATGACGATGTATTCCCAAAATCTATAGGTCCATTGAACTGGTTTCGAGCCAAATTAACTAATTGTAACGAAGGCATCGTGAACAAAAATGTAGGGAAAGGTCCGGAAACTGAGTTGTTACGAAGATGTAACTCTTCGAGATTGAGAAATTTAGATATGGATTCTGGGATTGGGCCATCGAATTTGTTATCAGCAAGGCATAGAATCTGAAGCCTAGAAGAGAGAGACATATTCCTAAAATCTATAGATCCGGTGAAGTTATTTCCCCCCAAATCAACCCATCCTAACGAAGGAATCGTGAACAAAGATGTAGGAAAAAGCCCAGAAAATAAGTTTCCACTCACAATTAAAAGCTCCAAGTTGTGGAAGCGACTCATGTCATGTAGACCCTCGGGTTCAAAATAATTATTACTGATATCGAGATGGATCAATTTCGTTAAATTGGCAAATGAAACAGAAAATTTGCCACTTAACTTGTTTTCGTCAAGGAGCAGGTACCTTAGTTTGGTCATGTTTCCAAATGAAGATGGAACTTGATCAACCAATCTATTAAACGAAAGGTCAAGCTTTGTGAGATGAGAAAGGTTCCCAAATGAAGAAGGAATCTCTCCATGGAGATGGCAACTTGAAAGGGATAGGTTTTGAAGAAATTGGAGTTTGAAAAGACCACTATTTGGTTTCAAAGTTTTGTTGAGAGTAACGCCAGAAAGATCAAGGGAAATCACCTGGCCAGATTTAGCATCACACGTGACAGCCTCCCAAGAACAACAATCACTGCTTTTGTTCCATGACTTCATATCATTATCACTCCAGACGTACATATCTGTTCCCGGAAACTCGTGTTTGATCTCCAAAAGAGCATCCCTCTGATCATGGCGGCAACGGTGGAGTGTAGGAGAAGCAAGAGTGTGTAGAAAAAAGGAAAACAAGAAGAAGAAATTCAAGGTAACAACAATACCAGAAAATGAATAAGATTGGCTTCGTATCATCATCACCTTTTTTTTAGTAGTTTGTATGTTTTGTGATAGGTTATAAATTTATAATATGGCTTCTGATCTCTCTTTATAAAGAACAAAAAACTAAATCAATTGTGGAGCACTTGACTTTGCGTCAACTTGTGGGTCAACTTGTGGGTCTTCCCTATCGTCAACTGTGACATTTAATCATTACTTCCACCTCAAAATTTATCCATCACACACTCTATTGACTTGATCTTATCGATTTCATTTTAAAATTTATCAATTAGAAACAACCATGGAAAGATATATAAGACCTAACACAAGGAGCGTAAAGACAGGTAAACAGCAGAAGATATTAAGTAAGATCTCCAGTGGATAGTCTTCACTACCTAGATGAAAAATAATAGAGGACGAAATGGTGAAATAATAGTGAATTATTGTCCCTTACACTTTATTTTCATAATCCATGGATTTTTAGCTTCTCAAATGCTCCGAAATTTCTATTAATCACCCATATTTGCTACAAAGTTGGTTTAAGTCATCTATAATTAACTCAGTTTAGAAGATGTTATCATGCGAGTTAAGCCGCTAGAGCTAATTACATACTAGTTTTTCCGGGACGCCAATGATTTTGCCGCTTTGCTCAACAGTAGTCATATACTCATATGTGGGATTTTTCACGAGTGATCACGACCAGATTGGTAGGCGGGACAATCACCTTCATAAATTGGAGATAGATTGTTCAACCACTTAAAATACATTTACCTAAATTTTAAAGTCTTTTTAAATTCTTACTTCACGAGTCAAACCCCTAGTAAGTTAGTAATCTTATATAGACAAATCGGCTAAGGTTTAACACGATTTTAAAATTTGATTGAATGATAAGTATAGAATTTTTGTAACATTTTCTTTTAAGAATCTGTTTAAATCTGGATAACGCGAGTCAAATCTGTTTAATTGACGCAAGGCAAGTCAAACCCCTACTAAGTTACTAGCCTTACAACGATAATTCGACTAAAGATTGAACCAAGTTTTTGAATTTGATCCCTTGATTAAATCCTAAAGATAAAAAAAAAAAAAGCCTTTTAACATAATTACCATCTAAAATACATTGACTAAAATTAAAATTTATTTCAATCAGCCCCCACAAACCAAAATTTTAGTAAGTTATTAACTTTTACATAGATAAGTCCGCTAAAGATTAAATACGAATATAATTAAATTCTAAAGATAAAAAAATCTTTAAACATAATATTACCATCTAAAATACATTGACTAAAAATTAAAATTTGTTTCAATCAGCACCACACAAACCAAATCTTCAGTAAATTGATAACTTTTACATAGAGAAGTCCGCTAAATATTGAACACGAATATAATTAAATTCTAAAGTTAAAAAGATCTTTTAACATAATTACCATCTAATATACATTGACTAAATTTTAAATTTGTTTCATTCAATCAGCACCGCACAAACGAAATCTCTAGTAAGTAAGTAACTCTTACATAGAAAAGTCCGCTAAAGATTGAACACGAATATAATTAAATTCTAAAGATAAAAAAATCTTTTAACAAAATTACCATCTAAGGTACATTGACTAAATTTAAAATTTGTTTCAGTCAGCACCTCACAAACCAAATCTCTAGTAAGTTAATAACTCTTACATAGAGAAGTCCGCTAATGATTGAACACAATATAATTCAAATCTAAAGATAAAAAAATCTTTTAACAAAATTTACCATCTAAGATACATTGACTAAATTTAAAATTTGTTTCAATCAGCACCTCACAAACCAAATCTCTATAGTAACATTTACATAGAGAAGTCCGCTAAAGATTAAACACAAATATAATTCAAATTTTTGAAATTATTAAAAGTTATTTTTAAAAATTAAAATATTTAAATCTGAAGTCAAATTTCTAATAAATGAAAATTTGGAAAATTTCTAATAAATTAGTAACCTAAAGACAAATTTGGCTAAGTATTACATATGATTATATCCCCTAATTTGTTTTATAAAAAAAATCTCTTAATATTATCACAAAAGTGAAAAAAAAAAAAAAAAAAAAAAAAAAAAAAAAAAAAAAAACTATCTCTGTTACTATTTAAGAAAAGCGACCGACCAGAAAATAAAAGCGATTGCAAACGATAACCCTCTTTCTCTGCTTTTTCTCCAAATTTGAATTCGATGGAATTCAGATACAGAGCCATCGACAGTAATCGGCCACCTCCTGCGACGGACACGACACCATCTCAGTCGCCGAACCCGAACTTCCCTTTGTTGTCGACGCGATCAATGTCAGGTTTGTACTGTTCATCGTCGTTTTCTCTATCGCTGTGTATACTTTCTCCTACAGAGAACATTGTTATGATTTTCGTTGATTCGATTATTATGTATATGTTGATTTTTTGAGTACTCTTTAGTTTCTGTAACGCAAATTTTGTTGGTATCTGTGAGAGTCTTGATTTCAAGAAAATTGAAGTTTGTGTGAAATCTAAAGTGCTCTTTGTCGAATCTTTGGTTTGTATTCGTAGGAAAAAGTGAGGATCAACAAGTTCGGGAAGCGATGATTCAGCGGGAAATTGAGAAAGAGCAAATCCGTCAAGAGATCATTATTACAGAAGCAGCGAGAAAACGAGAGCTTATAGCCGAGGTTTTACAAGAGATGGCTATCGAGAGAGAGATGGCGATTAGACGAGTCTCTGACACCGGAATTTCGCTAGAGGAGAAGCTCATTATGTGGATCAATCAAAGGAAACGTCCAAATCAGAATCAGAATCAGAACAACAACAACTTGTTCAGAACTAAGTATAGTTACATTGATTCTCTGATCAACACAGGATCTTACAATAGTCTAATTACCTCACCAATGATGCAATTGCCTCAACTCCAGCAAATTCCTGATGCTACCGGAACATCAATGTTGGAGTCTAACAAAGAGAAGTTGATTGTATTGGTAAGTGCTTTAAGTGATGGTCAACATAATTGATAGTTCTTTCTAGCTCTTATGCTTACTAAAATTCGGATATTTTATCGTGCACTTTCGCCACTTGTTTCATATGTGTTCTCTTTGATACCTCTATTGCAGAGTAGGGCTGATCATATAGGAGCAAAGCCTAAAGCAGACAGTGTTGGTACCATGCAATTGCCTCAACTCCAGCAAATGCCTGAGGCTACTACCGGAACATCAGTTTTGGAGTCTAACAAAGAGAAGCTGATTGTATTGGTAAGTGCTTTAAATGATTGTTCTTTCTTGTTCTCATCTTTACTAGAAGTGTGACATCTCATCGTTTGTATCCACGCACTTTTTTTCGCCTCTTGGTAAGTATATTGTATGTTATATAGGATATTAGTATTTGTTTCATATGTGTTCTCTTTGATTACTATTGCAGGCTAGAGCTGATCCTGTAGGAGAAAAGCGTAAAGCAGAGGATACTCAAACTGGTTTGAACGAAGATCTTCAAGTGAAAAGGCAGAAAGCAAAAGAATCAGAAGCAAAGACGATGTCTTTGGAAAGCGGAGAGATAGTGTCTTCGAAGCTTCCTTGTTTGGGGAAACTTGGCAATGGAAAGAAAGTAGAAAGCAAGGTAAGAAGTAGTTATAAGTTTTGGTGTGAGATTTGTAAAGTTGGGACCTATTGTCAAACAGTCATGAGAGATCATGAGTTAGGTAAAAAGCATAAGGCTGCTGTTACACAACAGAATGGAGTACCTGAAGCTGCTTCAACCTCCTTATCCCCTGCTTCAGTTACAGCGCCGCAATCAGAAGGTACTACGGTACGTGAAAATGCTAATCCGCAGGGTCAAAAAGTGGATGATATGTCGGCGAAAGAAACACCGGGAAAGACGATAGAAGGTGAGAAGAAAAAGCAGGGAACGTTTTGGTGCAAAACTTGTAATATTCAGACGAATTCTGAGCAGACGTTGAGGAATCATACGCTTGGGAAAAAACACATGACTTTGATTGAGAAACAGCAGAAGAAACTCGTTACAGTCCCAGTGAGATCTTTAAATGCTGATCCAGGAGATAAAGAATCAGTTTCTATAGCAATGGATCAGACAAAAGGTAAGGTTCATTGCTTGGAAAAGTCATAGAAGATGGTTACTTTGTTATGTCATGAAAATATACTATGGCTGAGGAATCAGAGATACAATTTTCATTAAGCCATGACATGAATGTTTCTTTTTATGCAATGTCACAGTAGGAGATTTGCACATGAGTGTTTTTGTAGTGAGATTGAGAATCTTGAGAATAATAATAACCAGTGTATAGATCACAATGATTGAATTTTGGAGTGTGTTGTCTTGTCATATTATATGTTGTTTGGCATGATAATGATAGATACGTCTTCTTTCAGGTCATAATGGCATTGACCTCTAAAGAAGGCCTAGGAGAGAAGCCCAATATGGTTTGCCTCGAGGCATTTCAAATGTTGGGGTCGAGTGTGGCTATATAAAGACGACTCCATAATAAATTGTTCTTCTCGCAATACAGATTCACAAAGACCACAACACATATGACATGTCCCATACAACAAAGAATCACGAAAGACTGTTCTACTGTAGCATGTTATAAATTTGCATCTATTACAAGAAATTGAATTATTTGAATATCAGATCTTATTTCCAACTAAAAATGTACAGGTGCTTTAAAATAAGAGTTCTTGCTTCTTGAGACTAGTGTCTTTTGTAAGGTTTAAGCCTAGTTGATTATGTTTTTAGTTTAAGGGTTTGTCCTGTATCATTTTAGTTTTGAGTTTTTCTGCTTTGTGGTTTTAGTATCTTCTGTTTCTTTCTAGAGGGCTTAGATTTCGGGGATTTCTCGTTTTTCTCCGGCTACTGACTCTGAAGACTTCTACTTCGTCTCTCGGGTTTAGTTTCTCTTGTTTGGGTTGTGTATTCTATCTTGGTTCCAACAAGTTTATCAATAACAAAAAAAATAATTCCAACTAAAAATGTTTAAAATTGTGACTTCACTCGGGGAAAAAAGATAGAGGCACAATAATAATAAAAAAAAACCAAACACAAACTAAAAACAATCTTAAGCTTTAAAGTGTTAAAGTGACGTGGCGCAAAGTCATTGGTTAAGAGCTTCAACAAACACAGAAGTTGCGAAACAAGTTGTCCGGAAAAAATTAGCTTCCGGTTTTATCTTCTCGAATTCAGAAGCCCTTCTCTAATATCTCTCTACTCGTACAACAATGGCGTCGATGGCTGCGACCACCAATTTCACCAAATCTTTACTCTTTCCTTTCTCTAATGGTTAGTCTCTTTTAAATCCCTGATTCAAAATCTCTCTCGCTTTAGGTTTCGTGACATTGGATTTTGAGTCTATATGTCTGAATTTGCTTAATCTTTCGTAATTAGACTTTTATATTTCGGAATTGAAGCGTAATTTTGTATCTCTAAGTGGTTTTGGGATTGAAAGTTTGATTCTTTTTTCTAATTGGGGGGTTTAGTAAATTTTCTGGTTTTCAGGAAATGCGAGCTTGAATTCACAGAGAGGTACATGGCCAAAGCAGCAAAAGTCTAAAAATGGTTATAGGTCTCTTCGTGTCAATGGATTATTCGGTGGTGGAAACAAAGATAATAACAGTGAAGATGGACAATCAAAGGTAGGTACATTAGATTGGATTTGTATATGTTTTTTTTTAGATATCAAACAGATTCTTCAATATGTGAACATTTTAAGTTAGGCTTCATGTTATAAAGATTCGAAGTTTATATCGAATTTACCGATGTTAACTTCTTATGATTTTGGAACTTATGAAGTTTGTGTGTTTCTCCTTTTGATCTTTTTCCTAGGCAGGGATATTTGGTAATATGCAGAATATGTATGAGACTGTGAAGAAAGCTCAAATGGTTGTTCAAGTCGAAGCTGTCCGTGTCCAAAAAGAGTTAGCTGCGTAAGTCCGGGCGCATTTACCATACATCCTAGCTAGAAGATTAGTATATGTTTCTTCTATGTCTATTGAGTTTCTTGCTGCTTTTGTTCCGTTTTCGCAGCGCAGAATTTGATGGTTATTGTGAAGGCGAGCTTGTCAAGGTTAGTGTAGAGCTTGTTTTGCCCTAGATAGATCAGTGTACACACTATAAGAATAACAAAGAACGCATTATTGTATGTTCTGGTTCTTACTTGAGTTCTGTTTCCTTAAAAAAAGAAAACTTTCTCCTCCGCTTAAGAACTTGAATTTACTATAATCACAAAACTTTGTTGTTTCTGTTACAAGTTCCGATGACCTGAAACCTTATGAATTCGTGCCAGGTTACGTTATCAGGTAACCAGCAACCAATCCGTACTGATATAACCGAGGCAGCAATGGAATTAGGTTCTGAAGTGAGTCACTAAACCTACCTTTTGTTATGGAACAATCAAAGCTAATTTCATCAGTTTCGAATGGTTACTGATGTTGCGCGTTTTCCTTTGGCAGAAACTATCACAACTTGTCACGGAAGCATACAAGGACGCACACGCGAAGAGTGTGGTGGTATAGCAATCGCAGACCATTTTATCACAACGCAACTAAATTATTTGTTTCTTTTCATCTCCTCTAATTGAACTTTGTGATTTTTTTTCATAGGCTATGAAAGAGAGAATGAGTGACCTTGCGCAGAGCTTAGGCATGCCACCGGGTCTCAGCGAAGGACTGAAGTAAGAAGCTGTTTTTGTTGTTTCATTCTACTTTCAGGTATGAGAGCGAGGTCGGCTTTTTTTGTTTGTATATCAGTCAGGCAGAAGTAAAGAGCTTTGTACTCTACTCTTGTGGAATCTAATATAAAAGATTTGAAACTTTTGGTTTTCTGCAATTTTATTCCCAGGGTATAATCTTGAATATCAACACTACTATTCTTGTATCAATATAAATCTTCTTCGAATACAAGAATGCTTTCGATATCTTATTAAATGTCTTCTCAAGATTGCCAGAAATGAAGTTGATTTGAAACATAAAAAATGGAAAAGAAAACACCGAGTTTACTCGGGTTTTGCAGGGAGCCTTGTCTCTTCTGTGTGTGACTAATCAGACCTTGGAAGTTCTTTGCCGGCCAAGAAGGACCGTAAAAGAGTGAGAGCACGCTCTGGTTGCAACACCGGCACTTCATGGCCCGCCCCTCTTACAGTCGCAAAGGTAAGCCCCTCATATACCTCTGTCCATCCTCCCACCTGTCACCACCACCATGTGAAGTCATTGGCTCTGCATAATAAGAATAGAAACGCGAATGTGATGCAAATTACCTGCTTCTCGGAGTACCAAGGGTACCAGCGAGTTTTCACAGGAAGATTGAGTTTGTTGAGGGCAAGACGAGTCCCAGTCACTGGAACCACTGCGTCTGTGTCGCCACTGCATCAACAAAATGTGGTTAAAAGATACAAAAGGTACTTTACTTGAAGCTAGTTTCATGGTTTACCTAAAGACCCAGATCCTCAAACCAGCGGCAATGAGTTCCTTGTATACCGGCAACATTGAAAACTCAGAATCTTTCCAGTTTTTATTCAAAACCATATTGCATGTGGTCCATTTATAAGGAATGGAGGTAAGATTAGCGTGCATAGCTCGTTGTACATTAGGACGGTTGTAATATATCTCGGCGTAGTTCTCTGTACAAGGATCATACTCCTCTGCCAAAAGCCGTCCATGCTGGAACTTGGTCTGGTTGGTTTGATGTACACATGAGGGTGAGTAGATGCTGTACCCATTGACTTTGCCAAACTCAATGAAGGCGAAGTAGAGTGCCCAATTGCACTTGTTCGAGTTTTTATGCGCCGTGAAGCTGCAGTGTTTGAGGATAGACTTGTAAGATTTGTCGGACATCATTGCGTGTGACCATGCATACATGGCGGATCCTAAACTGTCGTAATGCTTGTCGATATCTCCATTTCCAACCTGTGCAAAAAGGGATGTGAATCTTTTTTCTTGAATTGTTATTACAAATCTTGATTAATATTTCAGAAATGTGATAAATAGAACCCTAGTTTTACCATGAATCCTTTGAGGTTAATGATTGGTGTGTTGTTGAAACTTTTGTTGTAGAGATGGATTTTTTTTGCAAGCTGAGGAACATAATGCCCTATAAAAACAGACACTGAAAATAAGTCTATGGACTCTACACAATCATTATTTGAGTGGCCTTGACTTTAGTAAAAACCATTTAACCAAATCAATTCTCAAATTGCTCCAAGAGTGTATGTGTGTAATATGGTGACATACCTGCATAGCTTTCACCAACAATGTAGAAATCTCTATATTGATACTGAGGAAATCTTGACATCCATTTAATTAGAAATATTAAATTTTCCTGAGCTGCAGATGCAATTATATCTCAACAATCAAAATTAATTATGTAAATTCATAGTTAACAAAAGTGTATTTGTTTTTGTGGCAAAAAGTTGAGTGGTATGTAAGAAAATAGAGCTAGCAAAATCAAGGAGGCTAACTCTCTCCACGAGAGTGACACGTCAGCATTTTTAGCTATTGTGGAGCTGACAAATCAGCTTTCTATTCATCCAATCAAAACATTTCTTTAATATGAGTCAGCTTTAATTTTTGACACATCAGCATCTAATTATGAATGCCAAATGGGCTATACAAAATAGCCCATGATAGATGGCCCATATGTATTTCCAAATAGCCAAAGTTATCATATACAACTATATATTAGTCTCGCAACGATATACAAAAATAAATTTAAAAAAAATAATTAAAAAAAAAACAAATACATCATTTTTATAAAAATACAGGAATCTAATAATATATACATATAAATTTAAATAAATTTTTAAAAAATATTAAAACAAAATTTAAAACAAAATCCCGCGCGTAGCACGGGTACTCACCTAGTATATCTAATTTACTAATTATCTTTCACTTACCTATTACGAAACGAATTATTACTCCCCATAATATGATACTTTTGTATAAGCGTCTTATTTATCAAATTAATATTACAGTAAAGATTTTGGATCTATGTTTTAGTTTTGTTGGATCCATTTATGTGAATCCAAATTATAATATTATCATAGTAATTTTGTTTTTTAAATGATTAAGAAGTTCTAGGCCTACGTCCATCAGAGCCGTGCTAACATTAACACATAGCAGAAGCAACAAAAACTAGAATGCCCTAATTAATTAAAAAGTTGAGTGTAAATTTTTTTTAAAAACAAACAGAGTATATAAAAAAAAGGGAAACATAAATAATTTTATCTAAGCAGAAAAATTTGATAGAAAAACTATAGAGAGAAAAGTTTTGTCACTAAAATCAACTTGAACCATCGTAAGCCGTAACTAGAGATAAACCGAACAAACCTCTCCTTTTACCCTAATTAATAATTACAGTATTTACAACATTTAATATATATATATAATATATTTTATATATAATAATTGCTTAATTATATTTAGAAGCAATGGATGCCCTTAAAACCTTCAAAGTTGATTAAATATTATGCCCTTAATTTGTTTTTAAAAAATGGATGCCATAGGCCAATGTTTCAAATTCTTTCACTATGGCACGGCCCTGCGTCCGTATATCTCCTCATGTCAAACACCGAAATATTTATTTTGTCGCCTTCCAAGTGCTACTCGAACCGGTTATTTCTACGCTTTATTTAAAATTTTTTACCAGTTGATATATTGACACTTGGTTATCATAACAAATTTTATCTCTCCTTCTAGACCAATATTGAGATTTCTAATTACCACGTGAATTTCATAGTAGTCGAACGTATTAAAAAAAATCGATTCTAACAAAAGGCACCTTGATAACAAATAATGCTTGATAAAACATATACATAATTATAAGAAACTGACCAGTACGTTCGTCCCCGAAATCTTGAAGATCGGAGCTTGTGTTAGTGTACGAAAATCCAACTCCCGCCGGCGAATCCAAAAACCAAATGTTTGATTCTATATATGTTAATTACAAATAACAGATTCAAATACAGTTCATTGTGTTATAATGACAAAATTGAGGATTAAAACTGAATTGACCTGTGTTCCACGTAAACTTGTTGAGATAGAGACTAGAACCGGTTTTATTGATCCGAAACGGTCCAATTTCCTCAGAAGCTCCATAACCAATCGACGAGCAGCCTGGTCCTACGATTTTTTTTTTATATATAAAATAAATAAGTAAATGTAGATAGATTTATGAGAAGATTTCAAATTTTGAGATTTCACTGTTGTTTGGTTTATGGATTCTTATATATTCTTTTATAACATTTAGTTTATATAACTTGTGACTATTCTCTTATATCTTATGAGTATTGCACAAGTAGCTAGCATTAGGGTTTCCCAATTTTCATGTGTTTACTTAAGATTTGCTCTCTAACGATTAATCCATACGAACTCCGAAACTCGTGGAGATTTTACAATATTAATTGTTTTGAATAATCCATAAATATTGGAGAAAAAAAATAAGAAGAAAAAAAAGTTTAACATTAAACCAAAAAAAAAGAATAATCCATAAATATTGAAATTAAAGAAAAAAAGTAAACTCACAAAAGTAAAATGATGATGATAAAGGAGTCGCATGTTTCATTTATGAGAGTCATATTGGGTTGTTGATGTTATTTTGGTGGACAATAATTTGTTTCATCAACAATTAAAATAATGATTAAAAATTTTAAGATAACATGATATGAAACTCGTGGAAATTTAAAATTAAAAAAAAAAAAAAAAAAAAAAAAAAAAAAAAAAAAAAACTCGTGGTACGTTTTGTTGGTTTAAAACTTTTAATACAAAAAGTAATGTTAGTGGATTTCACTTTTTCTTTTTGGTTTTGAATAATGTTTTATATACGAAAATAATGGTTTTGAATGGTTGGTCAGTAGTACGCTAAAAAATTTATGCTAAATTTTTTTTTTTAATTTAGGTGATTCTAAAAGTTTTTTAGATTTAAAGACTAATTTTGAAGTCTGGGAAGCCATGTTAAAATTCGAATTCTTGTAGCCAATATTCGAATCCAGATGACGGAGAGTTTTTTTCTCATTTCCCAGAGTACTAAGACGACTTGGTTTTTAGTATGCTAAATTCCATACTAGAATATGCTTTATTTTTAAAGCAAACTAAAAAAAAAAGCAAATAGATAGTAGTAATATTTTGGTATGCAATTATTGTTTTATTGCATACTAACATGTAATTTATTGATCTGGAATTGATCTCGAAAATATCAAATAATTATGTAAATGGTGAAAAAAAATGTACTGGCTCGATTTTAGCCCTGTCCAAAACGTACCGACCAATCATTTAAAAGCAACATGTTTTATCTACAATAAGATTCGTAATCCCTTATCATTGTGGTAAAGGGTTGTATCATTGAGACATTGACGGAAAAAAGGATTCACTTTCTGTGAGCAATTGTTTAATTCATAAGTTAAAGCAAGATAAAAAAAAAATAAAAATAAATTTTTAACTATTTTAAATTTGAAACTACTTTTGTTTTTTCACTATAATTGTTACTCTCTCTATAGTCTAACCGATGAATAATCATTACTGTTTTATGTTGTTAATAGGATATATCATAAAACAGCGAACTTGATATTGCAATTGTTTACGTTTATATTTTCTTTAATGTTTGAAATTTTTTGTTTCATTAAATTATCAACCTTTTCTTGCAAATTATATAAAAAAAATATCAAAACTAAAATGAGATTTATTTGTTTCATTTGCGTTTCTCAACCCTATTTTATAAAACAGTCAAGTTTATGTTTTCTAAAGATAAAAGATAATAACTAACATGAACATCACACAAAAATAAAACTAGAACACAAACAAGCTATTAACTAACTATAGAAGACCAACCAAATGAAATTATGAAAATACAAATTCAAGAGAGATGGATGTGTGTACATAGATTAGTGGTAGTGGGGAGACAAAAGAATATAAATCTAACCTCCATTGGTGTGAGAAGAAGAAGAGGACTCAGTGAGCCAGTAGAAAAGTGATCGACCATGTGACTCGTTTACAGTCACATAACCCGAAAACTGTGAGAATCCTACTTTTGGTTGTCCTGGCAGTGCTTTGATCCTGTCATCCTCTTGCTCTCTTGCTGCTGCTGATGGTGATGATGATGTTGTTGATGATGTCGATGAAATCACTAGTAGTATAAAGATTAAGTGGGTTCTTGCCATTTCTTTGTCTTTCACTATAGTCTCTGCTTTTTCTTAAATGGGTTGGAATGCAGGAGGATGTGTTGGTACCACTAATAAATATACTTTTATATATGCATGTAAGAAAGATATCGGTTTATTGGATTATACATTGCATATGATTAAATGTTGTATAAAATATTTAAAAACTAAGTATGTCCCACACATTATGTGCGTAATGGCATAGTATGAAACCAAAGAAGAGCACATAGAAATTTTGGGTCGAATGTGATCTCCTTTTGACGAACTACTCTCATACAGTCATATGGGGCAAATATTTCCTTACCTCCATACTTTCTCTTTATGTAAAAAACAACTTTATATTATTCTTTCAATTATGTTTATAAAGACATAATTAAATTAAGGCACATGTTTATACGATAATGCCAAAAACAAAATCACTAAATATGTACATTACTTTTTGACTTTTTGTATTTAACCCAGCGAAACGTACCACGAGTTTTATACTAGGTTATATCATCTTAAATTATTCTTAAATCTTTATTGTGATTGTGAAATCCTAAAACAAATCAGCGTCCCCCACCAACATTGCTTCAACAACCCAATATGATTACTTTCATAAATGAAACATGCGGCTCCTTTCTTATGAAATAATCGATTAATCGATTATTCAAAACAATTACTATCTCCACGAGTTTAACATGCAATGAATATGTAACAATTACATAAAGAACACTAAATATGTAACGATTTTCAGCTAGTCAGTCAGGTATTCTAATATATAATCTTGAGAATACAAAACCGAGTAAACATACACTTGAAAACAATTTGTTTTGATATTCTAATATGTGCTACTATTTGTTTCCTGAGAATACAACACTGATATTTAAAAATAATCAGGTTTGTTTTATTTTGTTGGAAACATGATGAGGATTTAATTATAATCAGTTAGAAATGTTTGACTAGTGATTGAAGGAGATGGTGTTTAGCCGAGATAATATCAAAGATTACGAAATAAAAATATGTAGAGAGGTCACAATATATATAAAACTCTCCAAGAAACCCTAAAGAAATCAAGGACTCTGTTTTTTTCCTTTTTATTAGGGTTTTCAATTTTGTTACTTATACCAAGAGGATTAAGCCTTTGGCCCATAATTTCACCTCCCAACATCAAGATTCAGATTTGTAACCTTGAGGCACACTTCCTTTGAAAGGTACCGTAGACCGTATAACACCAGTAGAGCTACAAATATTGGGTTACTAATAAGATCTTGGAAGCTCTTTTCCAGCCAAGAACGATCTTAAAAGAATTAGCGCACTTTGCGGTTGGAAGAATGGCACCTCGTGGCCCGCCCCTCTTACCGTCACAAAGGTAAGCCCCTCATATACTTCTGTTCGTCCTCCTACCTGGTTCCCGGAGTACCAAGGGTACCAGCGAGTTTTAACTGTAAGATTGAGTTTGCTGAGAGAAAACCGAGTCGCTGTCACTGGAATCACCGAATCTGTATCACCACTGCATTGAAAATGTGATTTAGTGACCAAAAGATGCGTTGCTATCTAGTATTAGTATACTGAAACATAGTGTACCTATAGACCCATATTCTTAGACCAGCTGCAATGAGTTCCTTATATATCGGCAACATTGAATTGTCTGAATCTCTCCAATTCCAGTTATCAAACACAGAGTCACTGTAACAAACAGAGAGAACAAGAAATGTTATTTCTGTTTCCTTTTTGGGCTTGGTTTTAACAAAAATGTAACTGAAATTGACCTAGAGTC